GGCTCCTCCGTCACAGGGCACCCATCCTCATGCCTCACCTCCCTCCGTTCCTCATGTCACTCCCCCACACCTGAGTGCAGCAGGTAGCACCAGCAAGCACATGGTACAACTTGACCTCCTTCCCGCATGTCACCCCCCCTTACCCCTACCTGCGTGCAGACCTTCTTTGGGTGGAAGGGGGCCAGGCTGCTGCAGATCGCACCAGAGGGGGCGGACCACAACATGACCTCTCATTTCCTCATGCCCACCCCTTTCTTCCCCACCTGCGTGCAGAGATTCTTCGCGTGGAAGGGGGCCAGGCTGCTGCAGATCGCACCAGAGGGGGCGGACCACAACATGACCTCTCATTTCCTCATGCCCACCCCTTTCTTCCCCACCTGCGTGCAGAGATTCTTCGCGTGGAAGGGGGCCAGGCTGCTGCAGATCGCACCAGAGGGGGCGGACCACAACATGACCTCTCATTTCCTCATGCCCACCCCTTTCTTCCCCACCTGCGTGCAGAGATTCTTCGCGTGGAAGGGGGCCAGGCTGCTGCAGATCGCACCAGAGGGGGCGGACCACAACATGACCTCTCATTTCCTCATGCCCACCCCTTTCTTCCCCACCTGCGTGCAGAGATTCTTCGCGTGGAAGGGGGCCAGGCTGCTGCAGATCGCACCAGAGGGGGCGGACCACAACATGACCTCTCATTTCCTCATGCCCACCCCTTTCTTCCCCACCTGCGTGCAGAGATTCTTCGCGTGGAAGGGGGCCAGGCTGCTGCAGATCGCACCAGAGGGGGCGGACCACAACATGACCTCTCATTTCCTCATGCCCACCCCTTTCTTCCCCACCTGCGTGCAGAGATTCTTCGCGTGGAAGGGGGCCAGGCTGCTGCAGATCGCACCAGAGGGGGCGGACCACAACATGACCTCTCATTTCCTCATGCCCACCCCTTTCTTCCCCACCTGCGTGCAGAGATTCTTCGCGTGGAAGGGGGCCAGGCTGCTGCAGATCGCACCAGAGGGGGCGGACCACAACATGACCTCTCATTTCCTCATGCCCACCCCTTTCTTCCCCACCTGCGTGCAGAGATTCTTCGCGTGGAAGGGGGCCAGGCTGCTGCAGATCGCACCAGAGGGGGCGGACCACAACATGACCTCTCATTTCCTCATGCCCACCCCTTTCTTCCCCACCTGCGTGCAGAGATTCTTCGCGTGGAAGGGGGCCAGGCTGCTGCAGATCGCACCAGAGGGGGCGGACCACAACATGACCTCTCATTTCCTCATGCCCACCCCTTTCTTCCCCACCTGCGTGCAGAGATTCTTCGCGTGGAAGGGGGCCAGGCTGCTGCAGATCGCACCAGAGGGGGCGGACCACAACATGACCTCTCATTTCCTCATGCCCACCCCTTTCTTCCCCACCTGCGTGCAGAGATTCTTCGCGTGGAAGGGGGCCAGGCTGCTGCAGATCGCACCAGAGGGGGCGGACCACAACATGACCTCTCATTTCCTCATGCCCACCCCTTTCTTCCCCACCTGCGTGCAGAGATTCTTCGCGTGGAAGGGGGCCAGGCTGCTGCAGATCGCACCAGAGGGGGCGGACCACAACATGACCTCTCATTTCCTCATGCCCACCCCTTTCTTCCCCACCTGCGTGCAGAGATTCTTCGCGTGGAAGGGGGCCAGGCTGCTGCAGATCGCACCAGAGGGGGCGGACCACAACATGACCTCTCATTTCCTCATGCCCACCCCTTTCTTCCCCACCTGCGTGCAGAGATTCTTCGCGTGGAAGGGGGCCAGGCTGCTGCAGATCGCACCAGAGGGAGCGGATTACAACATGACCTTCGCCACCTTCATCACGCTCGCCCTCGCCACTGTCAGCAAGCACCGCACCGACATGGAACCCCACATCGCACCCCAGGTGGGTGCTTTCTTGGAAACTTCGGAACTGGCTTTTGAGACGTCTCAAAAGTTGCCCTCGCCACTGTCAGCAAGCACTGCACCCACATGGAACCCCACATCGCACCCCAGGTGAGTGCTCTCCTCACGGCTCCACAGGTGGGTCATCGCACCAGAGGGAGCGGATTACAACATGACCTTCGCCACCTTCATCTCGCTCGCCCTCACCACTGTCAGCAAGCACCGAGCTGGCATGGAACCCCACATCGCACCCCAGGTGGGTGTTCTTGGAGACTTTTGAAATGGCTTTTGAGACGTATCAAAAGTTGCCCTTGCCAGTGTCAGAGAAAGCACCACGAGCCCCACATTGCTGCACCCCAGGTCGGTGTTCTTGGAGACTCTGGAAATGACGGTTTCTTTTATTTTTCCAAATCTTCTCACAGCTCCTCCACAAGTGGGTGCATGCGCGACTGTATCATTATTTTCCTTCACATCAGATTCTTTCCGCTGTGCCTTACCTTCTCTCGGCCTTCCTCCTCTTGTTCCCTCTTTCTGTTTGACTCTCCACTCCTCCACCTTTCCCTTTCCTCCCGTACCAGGCAACGTTTGTCGCCTGGATGTAGCGTTCAGACTTGACTTATTTCAATTACCTTTTGGTCAGGCTTGAGAGGAAGCACAATCCAACCAACTCCATCCCGTTGCTGTTTCCAGGCGGACGTGTGTGACCTGGAGAGCATCAAGTACGACTGTGTGGGGAGATTCGAGCAGCTGCAGGAAACTTCTGAGGCGCCTCAAATGTCAGTTCCAACTTCCATCCCCTTGCTACTGTTTCCAGGCAGATGTGTGTGACTTGGAGAGCGTAAAGTACGACTATGTGGGGAGATTCGAGCAGCTGGAGGAAGGCGTGGAGTATGTGATGAACCACCTTGGGACTTCGCCCTTGAAAGCCTTTGGGGTGGGCAAGGAGGCTCATCGCACCGATGCTGATGCACGCCAGCGGGAAATGTACACCAAGGTAATGTGATTGATACAGAAGTTTGAAATGCTGGGACCTGTTGATGACCTGTTGATATGCACCAATACATGCATGTGATGTTTTCCACGTTTTCCTTACGGTTCTTCTTGTGCTCAGGAAATATACGAGATGGTGAAGGGGTTATATGCGTCAGACTTCAACATTCCTCTTAATGGTATACATTACGAGCCTCCAGCCGCTTTAAAGGATGTTTTTGAGCAGAATTCTTACTGATACAATCAACAATTACTGAGAAATTCTTACTAGCTATTTACATGATTTATTGTTCGTGAATTCTTTGCACATTATATAATCGGGACATTTGATACGCCCAAATTCGGCTTTTAGCCGTTGTCAAGTGACTGCTCGCAAGAGAAAAACTGCCGTTGCGAGAAGGAACAATCGCGGTTACCAAAAACTGCGATATCTCGCTTGATGGTTTTCGTGCGTTTTGTGCAGTTCCCTAGACTGGAGGTTGTTCCGCTACAATGCCCAAGCTTGTTCATGATGGAGTGCCAGATCCCGCTGTGACACCGAACTCACCCATCCCATCTTAGCTCGAGATTTGGATCCCCACGCCCTTGATTCTTCTCCTAGCCTTGTAAATCGGCTGTCAATCTTAGCATTTCGTTGCAGGATTGCTGTTTTATTTTGTACAGTCCTGCCGAAGTTACCTGGTTTCACGATATGGAGGGGTTCGATTATGAGGGCGATGCTGGCGTTGAGCAGCAGAATGCACCTGCCTCTGATTTCCAGTCGTACAACGGTGTAGAGGAGGAGCAAGAAGCAGCTGCTGGCGAATATGCTCCCCCTGCGGAGGAAAATGGCACCTTTGACGACGGAGCGAAGCTTCCTCCCCCTTCACAGATGGGTTCCGAGGAGTCGATTTTGCTAAGGTGACGATTAGGTCAGATAAGAGAAGGTGGTGTAGCATATTGTTCATCTTCGAGCAGCAAGACATCTGTGGTTTTATTTCTACTCTCTATTTTCCCCGTCAGGGAATGGAGGAGGAAGAAGGCCATCGAGCTTGAAGAGAAGGCTCGTGTCTCAAGAGAGAAGCATCAACAGGTGAGTTCTTTGTGGTAACGAATCAACTAGGTTGTTTTAAAGACTGCGACTATCAATCTTGACTTGAATTAATATAATGGACTGCGGGAATGAACAACAGACCCGGAGTATCAATGTTTGGTCGTCGATTTCATAGTCTTGGACCTTACTGACTGTTCAGGTGCTGGAGGACTCGAAAGCCGAGCTTGAAGCATTCTACAAGAAGCGTGAGATGCAAGTCACACAGGCCAAGACGAACAACAGGTTCGTGGATGTTTTATTCTGGTCAGGTACAAAAGGAGCTGCTTCAGTTCTGATAAGATCTATCGTTTGTCGTTGTCAGGGAGAAGGAGAAGGCATATGTCGACAACCTCTTGAGTCTCAACTCTAAGCAGGGTGGGAACTACTGGGAGAGTGTGTGTGCGTTCACAAACTTTGATATATCCATCAAGAAGGAGAAGGCGAAGAAGAAGGACGAGCCTACTCGCATGTCAACCCAGCTTAATGATGCTAAACCGGGCAAGCACACCGATCTAGCCCGCATGCGCCAGGTAAGCCAAGCTGTAGCACCTTACCGTGCTTTTGACGTTTTCGCGGCACGAGTTTAAACATGAATTTGTAAAATCTGGTTCATTTCAGGTATTTCTGAAGCTGAAGCACAATCCTCCTCCATCCTTTGCGGCTGCTGCCACTACTACCGCTGCACCCGCTGCTGCTGCCACCACGTCTTCCAAGTCATCGAAGTCCAAGGCAGCTGCAAAGTAGTCATCTCAGCAGTCATTGTTCCAACAGCTTTATTGTGAAATACTTTCTTAAGTCATCTTGGTTTCTTATTCAGGCTGGCTTTATAATGCTAAAGAGCCTACAGCTTTATAGTCTCATTACCATGTACTCATTCCAGCATCAGCATGGCACGGCACCTGTCATATCATCCACGGCTAAGTCACATGGAGGGTCACTCTGATACTGCTGCTACCTTGTGACCTTGTAGCTCTGCATAACAGGGAGGCAATCAGGTAAGGAGTCAGAATAATAATCTACAGCAGAGCTCTTGGAAGTTAAAGCAAAACTCCTCTTACCGTATTAAGCACAACTCTTACCTTGACTTGTGCCAGCAGTTTCTTTGCATCAGGGTTTGTCTTGAAGTGGTCTCGAACAGGCTGCACAGCAATGCTCGTGGTCAGAAAGGAGCAACAACATACACGGGTAGTGACAAGGGCGCAGTACGCGAACTGATCCGTGGACTCACCTGGAGAATCTTGTTGATTGCTTTGGAAAGAGCCAGCTTGAGGTCACCTGGGTGGAGTTTACCCTCCTTGTAGTCTGCACACAGCTGATCCGCATCAGTGTAGATGCTGAACAGGGAACATGGGAAGAGAACGGGGCAACTAAGGGGATGCAGCAGGATGGCGCGCGGTATGAGGGGGTTATTACCAGTGATTGCATGCACAACTGGGTGACAGAATGAGATTGTCAAGGGAGTGTAGGGACCAGCCATCATCAGGCACAACGGTGAGTGACAGCATGAGAGTAAAATTTATCATACACTCACACGTTGCCTCCGTGCTCCTCCTTACGCTCCACCTCAAACTGCTTGAACCAAGGCAGCACAATGTACTGCACATAGGCAATGCACGGGTTGCCCTCCACCTCCCCTGGCGGACAGAAAGCCTTCTTGATCTTCACATTCACTTCCGCCTGCCAGAACGGATGCAAGTTGAAATGTGGAATAAGTTACTAAACACATCAACTACCAAGTGCACAAGCTGGGGGAGGCACGTACTGGGGGAGGCACTCTGCGGTGGGTGCATCATGCCCAGGATGACACCCAGCCCCTGATAAAAATACCAACTAATTCCTCCCTGCATCCAGCACGCCTTACCTCCTCGTCCTCCATGAAGATTGCGGAGTTGGGGTCACTCTTTGACATCTTTTAGGGTGGGTGGGTCATGCCCAGGGTGGCACCCGCCCCTCATGCCCAGGGTGGCACCCGCCCCTGATCAAGACTTCAACCGATTCCTGCTTCTGTTGAAGAACTCTTACCTCCTCGTCCTCCATGAAAATGGCAGAGTTGGGGTCACTCTTTGACATCTTCTCCTGGCCTTGCAGCAACCCAGGCAGCATGTCTGCATGCACACCAAACCCCAGACATTGAATGCACAGAGGAGCCACAACAGCCATATCACCAGCAAATGAGTAAACAATACGAACTGACAGGATGAACTATGACGAGATTTCACGAGCACAAGCCTCTACAGCCAGCTGTGCAGCGCTGCTGGACCAAAAGTACAAAGTGCTTACGGTGGGAGAGGATGATGGGCTTCATCTTCCTCTTGATGTCGTCGCAATACTCCCTCGCCAGCACATTCACCTTGCGCTGGTCCATGCCCAGCTGACAGATGTCCGCCTGCCATTCGCACATGCGACAGGTAAAGCATGATGAACAACACATGGGGTTCATATGTGTCAAGGTAATAGCAGAGCAGACGAGCAACTGCCTCCACACTTGATATTGCAAACTAAATAGGATCTTAAAGAGAGATGAGATTGAGAAAGATGATTTCAGCACACTGCATGCACTGCATTATGACGTCTGGCTTTATTCTGACAAGTGAATTTGACGTATGTCGTGTGAAGAGGCATGCTGACCTTGAGGAAGAAGATGTCAGCACACTGCATGCAGGGGTAGAAGATCTGTGCGGCAGACAGCTCGTCCGTCTCACTGCGCCCCATGATCTGCGAACACCTGTGGTGCTCCCGGGAGGGAGGGAGTGCAGGAGGGAAGGGGTAAGACAAGGCGTACTCAGGCGAAGAGGAGAGCAGGCAAGACGGGTCTCTTGGGTACGCATGAGAAGCAGATAATTGAACTGAGGAAGTGGGAGCGGGGGAACAGTCCCTAGCAGCTTGCTCATTCTTTCCCTGATCAAGTCGGCTCATGATTCTGCCACCTGCCCTGCCCACCCGAGGATCCTGGGCAGCTTGTTCTATTCCTGCCATGTCCACCAGCATTGGCCATAACTCGCCTGCATGATCATCTGCCTGTCCCAACTTGCAAGGGAAGGAAGTCCACTCCCTTTGCTTCCCCTCTCCCAACCCACCCTTCCTCTAACTGCTCCACCTGAGGATCCTGGGGAGCTTGTTCTTTCTCGCGATGTCCATGACCAGAGGCCAGTACTCGCCCGCACGCCCATTGATCTCCTCAGACGACCACAGGAACTCCACCCGCGAGAGGTCCATGCCCACTGCGCTGAGGAAGAGCAAGGCCCATGCGACCCATACCCATTCTAAGCAAGGCCTCACCCGGGTGAGGTCCATACCCCCTGCTTCCTCTCTCCCACCCCACCCTTCCCCTCCCTTCCCACCTGAGGATCCTGGGGAGTTTGTTCTTTCTCGCGATATCCATGACAAGCGGCCAGTACTCCCCTGCACGCCCGTTGATCTCCTCAGACGACCACATGAACTCCACGCGCGTGAGATCCATGCCCACTGCACGCCACACCTCCATCATGTAGCGACCAACGGTCTGGATCTTCTTGAGATCGCCGCCCATCTTGTTGTTCAGCTGCGCGAACCAGTCCGCCACCCAGAACTTGAAGACGCACCCCGACTGGGTCAGCTTGTTCACGTTCAGTGCTTTCATCACTCCCTGAGGAAGGGGTGGGGGGAAAGGGGAGGGGAGGTGTGTGGAATGGGGTTGTGGGGAAGGGGTTGTGCGGAATGGTGGTGTGGCGAACCAGTCCGCCACCCAGAACTTGAAGATGCACCCTGATTGGGTGAGCTTGTTCACGTTCAGCGCCTTCATCACTCCCTGGGGGGGAAGGGAAAGGGTGGAGTGGGGGTTGTGGGGAAAGGGGTGCGGGGACGCGGGAAAGACTTGTGCAACGTGCGACTCACTCATGCGACGTGCGACTCACTCATGCGACGTGCGACTCACTCATGTGACATGCGACCTACTTGGGCGATGTGCATGCGACCCGAAGGCTCGAAGCCGTCGTAGGCGACGGGGTCCTTCTTCTTGAGCAGCAGGTTGCGCAGCTCGTCCTCCTGAATGCACTCCTCCCCCACGCTCCGCACCAGCGCGTACCGCTCGTCCAATGTCATCCTGCCACGTGGACGGCGAAAGGCGGGAATCGAGGTCGCTCAGTGGGGCCAAAGACAGAGAAAAGCTGACCGAGAGAGGGGGAGAGCGAGGGGGAGAGGGAGAAAGAAACTGCGCAACCCTGAACCCCTGCTACGCCGTCCGTCTTGCATTGCAACAAACGATTCCTTCAGAGTCGGCGCGACGACGCGAAGGCGATCGGTTCGAGGGCCAGACGCACAGCACTGGCCGACAGCGATCGGTCCAGGGCCAGCGAAACGGACCAGCAGCGAAGCAGGGTGAAGGAATAAGAGAACCTAATCGCACCCATTGAACGATCCTGCTAGCTGATCCACGTCAGCAGCGGGAGCGGGAGTGGAGGAGGATTCTGGTGCCGCCTGCGCAGCGGCCGCCGCCTCGGATCCTTCCGCAGACATTGCGCGGTGGTGGAAATTCGAAGGATTCGATATGGGAGAAAGTGGAAGACAATTGGGGGAACGGGATACAAGTCAGTGACTCTTATATGCGATAAGAAGTCTGTTGGGCTCGTTACTGTAGGACTCGGTACTCCCGAGGACGTGGTTTTGCCGGATGTAGGCGTGGAAGCAGAGTTGCGCTTCGCTAGCTATGAAATACAAGGCAGTAACCGTACTCGTCGAAATCTTATTTGCCTGTGGCGATGTTCGCTGTAGAACAACTGGTCTTGCTCGTTCCCGTATTTTTCACGCTCTCGGTACTCCCAAGGACGTGAGGGAGCCTGACGAATTAACACATTCGGTATTGACAGGTCGTTCACCCAAGGTGACATGGCTACACTCTAATGCTCGGTGCATGGCATCTAACATGTGCTAACAAACCAACCAGCAAGAACCTATCTAGTATCATACAAAGAGTGCCATAAGCAACCCCTGGCCTAGCCAGAGGCCTAGCCATAAGTGTCACACTATTTCTGTAGTTTTATTGCATTCTATGCTTTAACCACGCCGCTTATTGCGACCAGCACGGGCCTTATTTACCTCCCCAAAGAGCTCAAGTAATCTTGGGGGAGGTGAAAACGATATGTTGTTCAATGGCACGTTCATGTCTATGGAGAGAAACTCGATTGCTTCGTCATACGCGTTCTGCATAACCACCAAGCAAACAGGGAGAAAATAAAACATGAGAACGGTGTGTACGAGTGAAACTGACTCACATAACGATACCACATTGACATGAGCTGACCTTGTCGAATAGATCAAGGAATTTGTCGCGGGCATTAGTGGGGTGCGCTGATTTCCCAATGGAGAAGGCTTCAGATGTGATTGTGCGATTCAGGCGCTGCATCACCACCGGCACATCCTCTGCCAGGTTCTCAAAATGACCCACAAAGTCAAACCGAATGTCGTTGAGCCTGCAGACGTCCACCTGAACACATAATAGGTTTTAAGGGGGTTCGGGTGGGTGGGGAGGGAACGGGGAGGAGGATGTGGCAAGGCGGCAAGGAAATTGTTGCGTTCCTCGGAAACAAGGTCGATACAGGCAGGGCGATATACGAGGAATTATAAACTACAGCAGCAGCAGCCCCACAAAATCCCCAAACTGTTGCAAATCCGACCCGCCCTAGTGCTCCACCACCAGCCACTGGAACGGCCTCGTCCTGTGGAAGAACCTCTTGTTCCAAACGTGGGGTAACATGGGGTGAGGTAACCACCTACCTGAGGGGCAACATGGGGGTCCATGGTGCGTCGTCTCCTCTTAAACATGGTCCTCAGCAGCCCCACAAAGTCCCCAAACTGCAGCAAGTCCGACCCGCCCTGGTGCTCCACCAACCACTGGAACGGCCGCGTGCCATGGAAGAACCTCTTGTTCCAAAACGCCCTCCCCTGCGGCGGCCCGCCGTTCACATGCTTGTTCAGGTACGCCGAGGCCAGCCGCGCAAACGGGTGGCGCACGAACGTGAATTTGAAGAAGTCCGGGCGGGTGAGGAGCGCCATGACGGCAGATTCGGTGTATCCGGACGCGAGCACGTGCAGGCCTGAGTGCTTGGGGTCGTGGGCGAGGTAGACGTCTGAGATGTTGGGGAGGTTGTGCTGCTGGCGGAACCACACCTTCCAACTCGTGCAGGCCGCCTTGGGGACAAAGCAGTATATGGTCTTGAGCTCCTCTGAAAATGGGGGCGGGAGGGGGGGGATGCGAGAGGGAAAGGGGGCGAGGGAGGGAGAGCAGGGTAGAGATTGGAGATGTTGGGCAGGTTGTGCTGCTGGCGGGACCACACCTTCCAGCTCGTGCAGGCCGCCTCGGGGACGAAGCAGTAGATCGTCTTCAGCTCCTCTGCAGAGGGGGGGGCGAGGAGGATGGGAGTGGGAAGGCTGAAGTGATGGCGAGGAGAAACGAGAACGGGAGCAGGAGGGAGGAAGTTAAGGAAGCCGGATCGCCAAGAACATTTCCCATTAACGCCCATTCTAGTAAGTGGGGATGGGTGAGGGTGAGATGGGTCACTGGACCCATTGTTTGGCAGCAGGAAGCACTCACCATCCACGAGATACTGCCGCAGGAACCACATGTTCTTCAAGGGCGCCGGCTCAGGGGCCTCACACACTGACGGGCCCACCACAAACGAGGATGCAGGCAGGGCCGCCGTGGAGAAACCAGCTTCCCCTAACAAACCACCAGTTTCGCCAGCTCCAGAAGCCACAGCAGCATCAGCGGCAGCAGTAGCATCAGTGGCAGGAGCAGCAGCAGCAGCAGGAGGAGCGTGTGCGTTCTGGTTGATCCGCGCCCTGGCCTGGGCGGCAATGAAGAGTGCTTCCACAGAGGGACGTGTGTGAAGGAGGCCTCGAGCAGACGACAGCAGCAGCAGCTCCGCCAGCTGTAGCTGCTGACACTCCGTCTGGTCAGCAGCAGCCGTGCTTGTGCTGGCGCTGCCTGCGGTGGTGCTGGCAGTCCCACTACTGCTCGCGGTTGTGCTGCTCCTGCCCTTTCTTCCTCGTCTGCTGCCATTCCCACTGCTAGTGTGTGTGCCGCCACTGCTGCTATCACTGTTGCTTGTTTCTTTCTTCCTGACTTGCCAACCAACCCCCTCTGCTCCTGTTGCCTCTTCTTTCTCCCTTGTTTCCTCTTCCCTTTCCTCCCCTTGCAACTCATCTGCTTCCTCACTCCCTGCATCCTCCGCATCTCCTCCCTCGTCCAGCACCCATCTTCGCCGTACTGCCTTTGCTGGACCCCCTTCGCCCTCGCTCTTCTGCCCGCCCGCGCTCTGCTGCTCGCTCTCCCTTCCATCCTCACCCTCATTCTGCTCCCCGCTCCCGGTTCCCTCCTCCTCCTCCCTCTGCTGCTCGCCCTCCCTCTGCACCTCGCTTTCCAGCTGCTCCTCTCTCCCGCTTTCCTCCTCGCCCTCGCTATGCTGCTCGCTTTTCTTGCTGGATCGTCGAGAGGAGGTAGAGAGTTGAGGAGGAGAGGGAGCAGAAGAAAGGGAGGCGGAAAGAGGGGGAGATGCAGGGCAGCCAAGGCTTATGCGCTTGAGGGTGTGGGGGAGGAGGAGCGGGGCGCGCAGGGGATGGAAGGTGCCTGCGACTGTAGCAGCGTCTGTAGCAGAGGCAGCTGCTACAGTGAAGTCCACGTCAGACGAGTTGGATGGCACGCGCAGGTAGCGCCACGTCAGCGTGCGAAGCGTGCAGTTGAGTAGAGGGTCCTCGGGGCACCCTCCGCACGTGCCACCTGGCATCACCTGATTGGCCTGTCAATGAGCGGAAAAACATTTACAGATCAGAAACTTTTGAACAAGATAGCATGCACTGTTGAATGCAAGGAGGGTGAAACTAGCCGAAACGTCAAGGATCAACATATCTTGGTTTCTTCCTCACCTCAAGGTACACTGCTGTACTCGATTTAAGCCTGGAGAATAGTGACTCTGTGTTTCCTGCTCCTTCGCTTTTATCATCCTGCTGCTCCCCCACTTCTCCATCCAGTAATCTGCTGACACGTGGCGAGGGCTGGAGAGCGCCCAGGCATGACTGGAAGAGGCGGAGGGCGGAACAGGCCTCGGGGGGGGTCTGGGGGGAGACGCGGAGAAGACGGGGAGGGCGGGAGGAGCATGAGAGTGGTGGGGGAGAGGATTCCGAAAGTGAAGGGGTTGTGAGATTGTGGGCGAGCATACGATGGGGTGCATAGGATGGGTGCATACGATGAGGGCTTAGGACGGGGAGCATAGGATGGGGTGCACATGATAAGCGAAATCACCACTGCTTTGAGGGCTTGAAGCCTTTCATTCCAGCACCCATGTTTGAGCATCAACCGAATCTCTAGGCGGCTCCAAACTCAACTCGCATCATACCAGATTTAACGTACTCCCCCTGTTACCTACCCAATCCTGGTACATCAGCGTTTTCAGATGACGTGGCACTCGCAGGGACACCTTCCAGCCTGGATGCACGAATCCCGTGCTAAGTGTCGCGCTCCCGTTGGTCGCATCTTCCGAGCAATGAGGCACGTTCACCTGGCACGAAACGATGGGAAGGAAGTACGTATGTTTCAAGCGGTGGGGAGTGAATGGACGAGGGGAGTGGAGAGGAAGAGGGGCGACGAATCAGCGAGGAGCGTCGGGAGAGGTTCACGCATTTGTGAGCAAGGTTCAGTTTTACAGCCATCGACAGAGGACGATATCACAAGGCATCCAATCAGGAGGAGAATGCAACTGTGGAGGCGCTTGGAAATACAATATTCCAAGAAAAGCAATCGGGTGGACAGGACGAGAAAGTGGCTTATCCACACATGAGCAGCCAGTACTCACTGTGATTTCCTCCAACCCTTGCACGGATTCGCTCTCTCCGTCTCCGCCGCTTGCCCCTTCCGACACGGTCACATTCGGCCAAGACTCCGCCAATCCGCGGGGAAGGTCCATTCGGCTGCGCGCGGGCGGACCTTCAAACAGCGCGCGGAACGCCGCATCCGCATTTCCCCCTTCCGCTCCGCCTTCCGTTCCTTGTTGCGCCCACACTATCGTCATGCGCATGGCCTCTCCTTCCGCTCCTCCCGCCCCTGCGCGGAGCCCCAGACGCGTGCCCGCGGGTTGCGCCCACCCGTCCCCCGTCCGCTGCTGCTGGCGCCGCCACAGCGCTGCCGCCACCGCGGGTGCGAGACAGAGGGTCTGCAGGCGCGCGGGGAGATCGCCCTGTTGGGGGAACGCGGAGGAGAACGATGGGGGAACGCGAATACGAACGTTGGGGAACAAGGAGAGGAACGCGGAACGCAGTATGCGCGGAGGCGTGTCAATCTGTGATTGCGACACGCCGCTGATTGGCAGTGAAGCTGACACGTTACTGCAACCTGTAACCTGTGACACGTTGCTGTAACCTGTGACACGTTGCTGTAACCTGTGACACGTTGCTGTAACTTGTGACACGTTACCCTAAGAACTGTGAGCAAGCTGCCGTACCATCTACCCGTGATAAGCTCAGAGAACTTCCAAAATAGCCTACACATTACTCGTTAGTACCTCCGCTATGGCGACAGCCACGCCGCCATTCGTCTCCGGCATGCTGCTTCGTTCCGCGCGAATCTCATATGAGATCCCCTCCGTCGCCGCATCGGTCGCCGTATTTGACGCCGGAAGAATCGGCAACGAGGAGGACGCGGAAAACGCGGAGTTAAGCAGCAGCTTTTGCGGGGACTGCGGCGAAACTATCATCACAGCCGCGAGCGCTACGACAACCGCCGACGCGAGAGCTAGCGACACGAAACACCCGAACCGCACGGAGTCTGTGAAGTCTTTCTTTCCGCGAAGCTTCTGCCAGTATCCGGGGCTCGGGATAGCGGGGGACCAGCGGCAGGCTGCAGCGCGGGCGATGCTTCCGCCATCGCGGCCGTGATACTCTGGACTTCGTACCATTGCTGCAATACTTTGTATACGTTAAAAGCTTCGCAAGGGAACTGGGAATGTTGTATAATCAAGCGACGACCGTTTGAGGGCGTTTCGAAGAGGAGGTGCAGACTAAACACGATTACGCGACATTGTTTCTCCCTATACCGTCAACGATGTGGAGGCTAGGCTTTATTCACTAATTTATAGTCGCATCGATCAAACCAACCTTGCCATGTCGCCACTGATCAGTAGAGGGTGTGCCCTCTAAGAGCAAGGAAGCAAATCAATAGAAAAACAAGGGGAGTCGTGGGAATTGCGATGGTTCTACTGTTGGACCGCCCATTTCCGGATTGTGCCTTGGACAAAAGCGTTGGGAGGGAACAAGCTGGTTGGGTGCAGGGTCCGACTCAGATACGTCTCGTCACCGCACTGAAACACTGACACTATTCTCAGAACCGTTCAAAGACACGTTCAACCACGTGAAGCTGGGACCTATAATCTGGTGATAGGTTTGGCTGAGAGGGGAAGGTACACATTCACCTTTCCGCCTTGAAAATCGGCTGCTTGAAAATGGGTACGCGTGAGGCGGAAACTGACTGGTTGCGACTGACAGCCACCATTTGACAGCCCTTGCGACTCATGCGACACCTCCCCCCTCCTCAATCTCTCACGTAAACCCTTTACCATTCGTGTCGCACACCAGCAAATTTGTCCCAATTTCGTCGGCTCCTGCGCGTTTGCGAAACAGGTCTCGTTGACGTTGCCGCGCGCCATGGTGTGGGTGGCGAGGCGAGGCGAATGAACTTGCCGATTGACATGCTGCATTTGTGCGACTCGGGCATTGGGTTGGGAGTGGGCGCGCTAGATTCGCGAGGGGCAGGGCAACAGTCGACCACAGAAGTCACTCGCACTCGGCCAAGGTCTTCAAGCGACACAACATTAGGGAACTCCACAACAAAAATAATAATATAAGCGGGTGCATTTCCACCCAGCCATAACATAATATTTCTAATACGGTATATTTAACTCGTTTCAGACCTAAACTTTTCCACTAAAGCTTGTGGTGGTCCATACTCTAAACCATTTAAAGGCACGCTGAAATCTGACTTGTATGCGAACATAGCAGCCTCAAAAGCTCGCTGCACATCACAAAAAGGGATCAAAAGAAATGTTAGTTGTGCATGTTCCCTCAATTATGCAGCTTCATAGACATGGTTTGTACACTTTTTAGACTCACCTGGTCATATAACTCGAGCAGCTTATCCGATGCATTAGTTGGGTGTGCACCATGGCCAATACTAAACGCATCTTTTCCCTCCTTCCCAAACTGCCGCATCACTTTTGCCACATCCTCCTCTAGATTCTCAAACCGCCCAATAAAGTCGTATCGGATCGAATTCAGCTTGCACAGGTCGATCTGAAACTTGCAGACAAACAAGGGAACATGGGGAGTTAGCCAATCAGAGCACATACAATGAGCACATTGGGGAGGGCATGGCTCTCAAAAGGACAAATGACGCAAGGTGAAGACAAGAAAGGAAGGAATGCAAGAGGGGAGGATCGAGGGAATGGAAGATGGGGTGTCTGAAAGGAGTGAGGGAAAATAGACGGAAGGCAGAGGAAGGGTGGGGGAAGCACCTGGGGGCGGACATGGGGGTCCATGCGCGCTACATAGCGTGTGGCTTGCATCTGGAGGAATGACATGAAGGTGGAGAAGGGGATGAAGTCGGAGCCGTTCTGGCTCTTCATGAGCTCGTTGTACGCCTGCAGCCCTGCAAAGAAACGCTGCAGGCAGGGAGAGAGAGGCAGGAAAAGCGGAAGGAAAGGGGAATGGTTTTTGGTGCGGTCTCGATAGTCTGGCTCTTCATACGCCTGCAGGCCCGCAAAGAAGCACTTCGAAAACGTCTTCTGTGCCTTTCTGCTTCCCAATATTCCACACACCACGGCAGCCACACCACGGCAGCCACACCACGGCAGCCACACCACGGCAGCCACACCACGGCAGCCACACCACGGCAGCCACACCACGGCAGCCACACCACGGCAGCCACACCACGGCAGCCACACCACGGCAGCCACACCACGGCAGCCACACCACACCACGTTGCAGCAGTTTCTGGCTTGTTCCCTCTGTTATCGTTATCTCTCATACACATGTTGAGAACTCTTCAAAAGAGAACCCTCACCTCGTTCCAGTACTTGCGGTCGTGTGGGTACCCCCCATCCACATGCTTGTTCAGATACGCAGACGCAATCCTCGTAAACGGGTTGCGCACAAACGAGAACTTGAAGAAGTCGGGGCGTGTGAGGAAGCGAATGTTGTCGTGCTCCTCAAACCCGTACCCCATGATGCTCAGCCCGCTCTGCTGCGGGTTGTGCACGATGATTCGCTCCGGCACTCCGTACGACTTCATGCTGCCGAGCCGCTTGGACAGCTGCTGGCGGAACCACACCTTCCAGCTCGTGCAGGCTGCCTTGGGCACGAAGCAGTACACCGCCTTGAGCTCCTCTGATGTGTGTGGGGCGGCGGGGGGGAGGAGACGGCATCAGATTCAATCATAGGTTGGGGTGATGCATGGGATAGAAGGGATGAGAGGAACTTAAGGCAGCAACAGCGGCAGATTTGGTGCGTCGTCATAAAGACGTGTCAGCACCAGCAATGAACACGTGATGGACAGACATGTGATTCCACGCATTTGAAGCGAATGCAGTTACTTCGAGTTATGTCAAATGGAGGGCAAGGCAAAATCACCATCCACGAGCATCTGCTGCAGGTACTTTCTGGTTGACAAACCCATGCACTCACCAGAGCGTATATGTGCGGACAGAAGTATGCATAGCCATGCACAAAAACAATAGAAACTTGGTCACGTCAAGCACAAGGCGGCGGCTCACCATCGACCAGCATCTGCTGCAGGTACTTCTGGTCGACAAACCGAGCAACACGAGGGGCAGCGCACACACTCTCCTCCACCACAAACGCAGCTGCCGGGGAGACTGCAGCTGCCCCCGCAGCTGCCTGGGCGGCAGCAGGGGCGTCCGCACTGCTGCTTTGGCTCGCCCGGTGCCGTCCTCCCTGGGAAGCAATGAAGAGTGCCTCTATCGAGGGCCGCGAGTGGATGAGCCCTCGAGCCCACGACAGCAGCAGCAGCTCCGCCAACTGGTGGTGTGGGATGCAAGGAGATTGAGGGATTGGGTGCAGAGGGCGAAAGGCGAGAGACGGCGGATGGAGAAGGCAGAGAGAGAAAGCGGACAGAGAAAGCGGTGAGATGGTGGATGGTGGGATGGAAACCGCAGATAATGTGAAGGCTGCGATGCATGCATACATGCATCCACACATACATGCCGCTATATCCACCCATGCAGCCATGCATACGTACGTCCATGCATACGTACGTCCATCCATATACATGCACGCCTCCATGCAAGCACCAGCAACAATGCGTACCTCCAGCTGGCCACAGCTCCATTCCTGTCCTTCTGCCCTGCTCGCCCCACTACCGCTACTGCTGCTGTTCTCGCTACTGTCGCTGCCAGAACCGTCAGCTGGTGACCCAGACTTCTTCTCCCGCTTCTCTTGCTCCTTCTCCTCTCCCTTCAGCGCCAACAGTCGCCGCGACGAAGACGAGGAGGATGCTGGTGATGGTGATGAGGAGGATGAGGATGAAGGGGGGGCGGGGGGGGAGGAGGAGGAGGAGGAGGAGGAGGAGGAGGAGGAGGAGGAGGAGGAGGAGGAGGAGGAGGAGGAGGAGGAGGCGGCGGAGGAGGAGGCGGAGGATAAGGGAGGTACCCTCAAGGGGCAACCCATGGCCGTTCTAACGGCAGTGTGGGGGAGGAGGAGCGGGGCGCGCAGGGGATGGAAGGTGCCTGCGACTGTAGCAGCGTCTGTAGCAGAGGCAGCTGCTACAGTGAAGTCCACGTCAGACGAGTTGGACTGCACGCGCAGGTAGCGCCACGTCAGCGTGCGAAGCGTGCAGTTGAGTAGAGGGTCCTCGGGGCACCCTCCGCACATGCCACCTGGCATCGCCTGATTGGCTTCCAGATACACTGCCGTGCTACGTGCTAATCTCTCCCTAAATCCCCCCTTTACCTCTCCCTTCTCCTCCTTAATCTCCCCCTCATACTTCCCAGCAGCTGCCCCCGTTTCCCCAAGCGCCCCCTTCTCCAATAATCTGCTGACACGTGGCGAGGGCTGGAGAGCGCCCAGGCACGACCTGAAGAGGCGGAGGGCGGAACATGCCTCGGGGGGATTCTGGGGGTAGAAGCGGAGATGGGGGGTAGGACGGGGAGGGGAAAGGTTGGGGATCGGAGAAGGGGATAAAAGGAAGGGTTGGGGGAACCGGGGGAGAGGAAGAGCAAGAGAGGGGGTAAAAACTGGGTGGCGAGGACTGCAGTACGGTGGCAAACGAAGTTCGAGAAAGACGCATGGTGTGGGAAATGAGATCTAGAAAGATTTAGATAGAATCGAGACTCCGAGTAGCTTACCCATTCTCTGCTTGCCACGTGGCTTAGTCCAGAAGGGACCCACAGCGACAGTGACAAATCAGGCACCTCCGCGCTGCTACTGCTGCTGCCATTTGCCGTGCTCCCATTGGCCGATTCTGACCCCGCTTCTACGCAGGCCGGCAGGGAGACTTGCACCTCTGTCCGTGACTCTAAAAGAGGAGCAGCAGAGGCCGCTCCCGTTACAGTCACACTCGGCCAAACAGCCTTATCCTTCTCATCTAATCGTAAAGCATTTACACTGGGAAACCCGCTGAATAAATCCAAGAACCCCTCTCCAACGGGTTGCTTGTTGGGTATTCCGTCCACGTCAGCATCCGCAACCGCCGATTCATTCCATACAACGGCTACTTCCCCCGCCCTATCGCCTTCCGCCTTCCCCACGTCCGCCTCCCCTGGTGCTCGCGCGCTCCACACCGCGCTGACGGCGGGCGCAAGGCAAAGCGCCTGCAGGCGTGCGCCTAGGTTGCCCTGCGGAAGACGCGAGGAAGAGAGCGGGGGGCGGAAGTAAATAGGGAAGCGGAAGTAAAGACGGATGCGGAATCAGGAAGGGCGGGGAAGCGTGGGTAGAGAGGGACACGGAGCGTAAGTATGCGTATGCACTTCACCGAGCGTGTGTGCGAGCATGACACATGCGTACAGGCACGACGCATGCGTACAGGCACGACGCATGCGTACAGGCACGACGCATGCGTACAGGCACGACACGTGGTGACATGACATCACCAAGCGAGTGTATGTCAGTGAGGGTCGCACCTGGGCCACAGCGATCACTGCCGCGTCGCTAACTCCACCCCCTGATGCCGTCCCCGCCTCCCCAGATGACGCCTCCGTGTCCCCTAATGCCGCCCCCCCGTCCACTGATGCCAACTCCGGGCCTCCTGATGCCGGCCCCCCCTCTGCTGATGCCGTTGACTCTACCGCTGCTTCACTTTCCCGCGCGACATCCGCTTCCCGCGCGACATCCGTTTCCCGTGCGACATCCGCTTCCCGCGCGACATCCGCTTCCCGTGCGACATCCGCTTCCCGTGCGACATCTGCTTCCCGTGCGACAGTCGCTTCGGCTGCCTGTGCCCCTGGGCTGCTACGTTCCCCCTCGAGCGCGCCAGCAGCTGCCTCCGTCTTCCTCTCAACCTCCTCCTTCTGCCGCATATCGCTCCCACTCTCACGCCCTCCCTCCTCCGTCTTGCTCTCCTGCCGCGTGCCGCTCTCCTGCCGCGTGCTGTCGGTCTGCGGCGTGCTGCTGCTATCCCGCGCACTCTTCTCATTCTCTACGTGATCCTTTTCTATCCCCTCCTCCCGCCGCTCATCACGCTGCTCCTCCGTTCTCCTGTCCAATCCCTTCGATTCCGCCTCCTCGTCTTTCTCGCCTATCTTCTCGCGGGTGTCATTCTTCACTTCCTTGGTCAACCCGCCAACCTTGATCATCATCTCTTCCCGCTTCTTCCCCTTCCCCTTCTCCGCAATCTCAACACCCAGTCCTTTTCCCTCTTTGCTACCCTGTTCACCCATGCGCCCCTTTCCCGCCGCATCCTCTCCTCGCTTTTCCCCCACCTTCGATTTTTTCAATTTTCCCCGGTTGCCTTTCCGCCGTTTCGCTTCCCGCGGGTCTTCTCGGACCTCTTCCACAGTCACCACCTCCCCGGCGAACGCGCCTCGCCAGCTATCCACCCCGTCGAATTCGTTTCCGCCATCCACGGCGCTTTTGGCGGCGCCGATACCCTTCGCATTATCTTTCCAGTCGTGGCTAGTGATGGCTACTGTGACGTCATTCGAGGACGACAGAAGGTTTCGCGAGCCCTGCATGTTCTGCGGGAGCGAAAGCTGCACGACTCTCCCCATGGCTGCTAACGAAGCGACAAATACTATGGCGAGGACAACTCCGATTGCGATAAACGAGTGGATCCCCGCAACCGGCGCTGGCGGCGAATCGTCGCCCTTGCCGCGTTTCGAGCCACATTGACTTGATTCATCCAGGCTGAAGGAGCGAAAGTTCCCCGAAAGAGGGCTCCAATTTCTTTTCCCGCTGCGGCTGGTGGAACCTGTGCGAAGCGGGCTCGCGATAGGCTCATCGACAGAGTTGCGGATTTGCGCTGGTAGCGGCGAATAGGCACGCCGCTCCATGACTAACGGGATTTTTTTATTCGCTCAATCCGTCGCTCGAGTGGTCAACCTTTCCTCAACGAGCACTAAGGAGCAAGAAGTGTGTACGAGTCCGTATTGAGCGTGTCAACATCCTCCGATTAATTACAAGATGGCCCAGCAGTACTGGTGGAGGTTGTGAGGTGCTTCACATCAACCTGTCACGTAGGAACCAGAGCCAACAGACCATGCGACCTGGAAAATTGGCTGCTGGTGAGTAGACCAGCCAGCAAGGCCTGGCTGTTGCAATGATCAAGGTGGGAGCGGGAGACGATGAGAGAGATTCGAGCGAGGAGCCCATGTGCAACACGAATGTCAGGTCAGGTCGTGCCCACCAGGCCTCGAGGTTGTCAGGCAACCCGTGGCTAGAAGCCCTCGAGAATGCGCGTGTTGGGGGAGATGCGACACGGAACCACTTGGAGAACATCGCCTTCCGAACCATTCTATTAGGTCCGGGCCCCGTAGGCACTCCCCCAAAGCAGGTTCTGTAGGTTCTCACCATGAAACCTCCGAAGCTGCACCCAACCAAGCTTCAACCAACCAGGACACCATCGTACAGTACACTCATGGCAGGCAGCAGGGGCCGGAACCAAAGGCAAACAAGTCGAGCCTCCGAACCGAGCCTCTTCACCCCCGTGGTTTGTCAAGCCGAAGCCGTGCGACATCGCCATGGGTACTTTGGCGTGGTAGTGGGCGACTCGTTGGAGCATGTTTGGTGCCACCTAGCCAATGGGACGATGTTCGGCGGAACAGGTGCCAAGGGGACACACGCAAAATAAATTCTACGACTTTGGCGGCTTTCGTGCAGCGACGTGCGAGCGATAGACGGCGTTTACTGCCAGATGTTACCTCCACCAGGGGAATAGTCAACTCATTGGTTGATATAACTACAGTCGCACACCTCTAACTGAACCAGCTTAATACGAGAGTCACATGCGTTGTTGTATAGGGACTCCGAGGGGCGTTTGGTGTGGACTAGAACGCTCCGTCATCTAAATGGTGCGTTCAGCTTGTAGGTGAAAAATCGACGGAAATCTTAGGTCGAGGCAATTGGTGCATGTCCCATTTATGCACGTCGGGGCAATTCATGCCCTCCAATTACTTTTTACAGTATTTAATACGTTATTCAAGACTTCAACCTCCTCAGGCATCGTATAAATTACATCTCTTAATTACTAGTGTATACTTCTAAGCCTTGCGCTGAAGTGCAGAGCTTGGCCCATATCGAGGAAAGACGAAATATCGAATTCTGGCGGGAAATCAACCTGCACAACAGAGGGACTTGAACTGGTACTTTCTTATAAGTCATTCTGATTGGTGGTGTCAGTTGCCGGAATCAGACTGCGAGACGCAATGGCAACAGCGTGTTGATTGGTGCAGTTGTTCTGACGGAGCGCTACTTGTTGTGATTGCGCGATTTTTGCTTCACTGAGGGGACGCGACACCTCTAGCGATTTTGCAGGATCGATCGTGCAAAATTGATCCTTCACCGCTCCCAAATCCCGTTTCTCACATCTAAAACATTCAGAGTTTTCAAGCCCCGGTAAAAATCGATCCGAATCGAGGGTGATCTCATCACCATGCTATCGGATGAAGGGGCTCGCTAGTGGAAACCGAAGTAAACGAAGCGCCCACAATGTCATTGAAGCAATTTGCCGGCTCCGATACAGGCTCGGCTTGATTGCCGTTGGTGCCGTCCCCTTTACTTACCTGTCACGGCTGTACGGTGCGGCACTGCCGTCCCGTGTCACGAGTCGCACGACTTGCGCTTCTGACAGCACAGGTAGTGAAGACGCTCGGATAGAGGCTCGGCTTGTTTGCCTTTGGTGCCGCCCCCTTCACTTACCTGTCACGGTTGAACGATGTCCCGGATGGGAATCCCTAGCTGGGTGCAGCCGTTTCAGAGGTTTCAAGGTGACAACCCTGTTTGGGTGAGAGCCTACAGAACCAGGCCCGGTGACTGATATATCAATCAGCAGCCAAATTTTCAGTTCACATTATCTGTTGGCTCTGGTTCTTAACGTAATAGGTATAATCAGTTGGGAGGATTTTGAAACTTGTGTAGCTCGATTCGGATTCGTACGCGCCTTCTTTCTCCTTCGTGATCGTAAAGGATTCGGACAATTTCCGTTACGCATGGAGCGATGTGCCTATTCGATAAGTTTGCCGCTGCCAGCCCAGAACTGCGGCTCTTTCGATGAGCCTGTCGTCAACCCGCTTCGCATAGGTTCCACCACCCGCAGCGGGAAAAGATGTTGGAGCCTTCTTTCGGGGACCTTTCGCTCCTTGTGGGAGAAAACTCAATGCCGCTCGAAGCGCGGCAAAGGCGACGACTTGTCGCCAGCGCCGGTTGCGGGAATTCGTTCGTTTGCCGCAATTGGAGTTATCCTCGCTATAGCGTTTGTCGCTTCGTTAGCAGCCATCGGGGCAGTTGTTCAGCTTCCGGTCCCGCAGAACATGCAGGGTTCGCGGAACCTCCTCTCGTCGTCGGGTGACGTCACAGTTGCGATCGTTAGCCACGACTGGAAAGATAGCGCCGGGAAAAGCGCCGTGGATGGCGAAAACGAATTTGATGGCGTGGATCGCGTAGACAGCTGGCGAGGCGCGTTTTACGGGGAGGTGGTGACTGTGGAAGAGGTCCGAAGACCCGCGGGATGCGAAACTGCGGAAAGGCAACCGGGGAAAGTCGCGGGTGGGGGAAATGCGAGGAGGGGATGCGGCGGGAAAAGGCCGCACGGGTAGCAAAAGGGAGACAGGACTGGTTGTTGCGATGGCGGGGAAGAGGAAAGGGAAGAAGCGGGAAGGTACGATGGCGATTAAGGTTGACGCTTTGACGAATGAAGCAGAGAGTGCCATTCGTGAGGAGGCTGGCGAGAAAGGCAAGGGGGAATCGAAGCGGTCCGAGTCGGTCAGGGGAAGGAAGGGGCAGCGTGATGAACGGCGGGACGAGGGGAGGGATAAGAGTCACGGTGAGAAGGAGAAAAGTGTGCAGCAGGAGAGCAGCACGCGGGAGGAGAGCAGGAAGGAGGAGGGAGCGCGTGAGAATGGGAGCGATACGCGGCAGAAGGAGGAGGTCGAGAGGAAGGCGGAGGCAGCTGCTGGCACGTGTGAGGGGCAACTCAGCAGTACAGGGGCACAGGCAGCCGAAGCAGGTGGAGAGGCGGGGGTTGTGGCACAGGCGGATGCGACAGTTGAAACAAATAGCACGGCGGATGTCGCTAGGGAGAGAGAAGCAGGGGGAGAGTCAAACGCAACAGGGGAGGCGGGGACGGCGTCAGGGGGTGGAGTTAGCGCCGGTGCTGTGATTGCTGTGGCCAAGGTACGAGTCTCACTGCCGCACGCACTATATCGCACTTTGAGATACGAGTCTCATAGAATGAATTCTGAGACTTCCCAGAACTTGCTGTGGCCGAGGTTTTATTATCGCTACCATTGGTCATGTCTGTACGCATGTGTCTCTACTCCCGCTTCCCGGCCTCCCCTGCTGCTTTCCCCGCCTCCCCTGCTTCTTCCCCAGGGCAACCTAGGCGCACGTCTCCAGGCGCTTTGCCTTGCGCCCGCTGTCAGCGCGGTGTGGAGCACACGCGCACTGGAGGAGGCAGGCCCTGGGAAGGCGGAAGCGGATAAGGCGGGGGAGGTAACCGTTGTATGGAGTGACTCAGCAATTGCGGATACTGACGTGGACGGAAGTGCTGCTGATTCCGCTGGCGGCAGTCCCAAGAAGCGACCCGCAGGGGAGGGGTTCTTGGATTTATTCAGCGCGTTTCCCGGTGTAGATTCATTGGCGTTAGACGAGAAGGATAAGGCTGCCTGGCCGAGTGTGACTGTAACGGGAGCAGCCTCTGCTGCTCCGCTTTTAGAGTCACAGAAAGAGGTGCAAGTCTCCCTGCCGGCTTGTGTCAACGAGGAATCGGAATCGGCCAATACGAGCGCGACAAGTGGAAACGGCAGCAGCGCCGAAGTGCCTGAATTGTCGTTGTCACTGTGGGTCCCTTCTGGACTAATCAACGTGGCAAGCAGAGAATGGGTAAGCTACTCAAAATTTTGCACCATGTGCCTTGCTCTAGCCTCCCTTGCACCATATGTTTCCTCACCCTTCTCCGATCCCAATCCATTCCCCTCCCCTTCTCTTTCTCCTTTCCCCTTCTCCGATCCCTCCCCTCCGCTTATCCCCCAGACCCCCCCCGAGGCATGTTCCGCCCTCCGCCTCTTCCAGTCGTGCCTGGGCGCTCTCCAGCCCTCGTCACGTGTCAGCAGATTACTGGAGGAAGGGGCGCTAGGGGAAACGGAGACAGCTGCTGGGACGCCTGAGGAGTTAGTTAAGGAGGAGAGGGGAGGGGTAAAGGGGGGATTTAGGGAGAGACTAGCACTTAGCCCGGCAGTGTATCTGGAAGCCAATCAGGTGATGCCAGGTGGCACGTGCAGAGGGTGCCCCGAGGACCCTCTACTCAACTGCACGCTTCGCACGCTGACGTGGCGCTACCTGCGTGTGCCGTCCAACTCGTCTGACGTGGACTTCACTGTATCAGCTGCCTCTGCTACAGACGCTGCTACAGTCGCAGGCACCTTCCATCCCCTGCGCGCCCCGCTCCTCCTCCCCCACACTGCCGTTAGAACGGCCATGGGTTGCCCCTTGAGAGTACCTCTCTCCGCCTCCTCCTCCTCCTCCTCCTCCTCCTCCTCCTCCTCCTCCTCCTCCTCCTCCTCCTCCTCCTCCTCCTCCTCCTCCTCCTCACCCTCGCCCGCTCCGTCTGCCTCCTCCGATTCCTCACCACCACCATCGCCACTGTCATCGTCACCATCAGCATCATCGTCGTCGCGGCGACTGTTGGCGGTGAAGGAAGGGGAGAAGGAGCAAGGAGAGCAAAGGAACAAGTCTGGATCACCTTCTGACACCACTGGGAGTGACAGCAGCGAGAACAGCAGCAGTAGTGAGAGCAGCAGCATTGGAACGAGCAGGAGCAGTGGTAATGGGGCGAGCGGGTTGGAAGGGCACGAATGGAGCTGTGGTCAGCTGGAGGTACGCATGGTTGCATGTATGAATGCCTGTATGGATGCATGGATACATCATGCATCCCAGCCTTCCCATCAACTGCTCTTTCCATCCCACCATCCACTGTCTCACCCCCCCCTTTGCCCGCCGTCTCTCACCTTTTGCCCTCTGCACCCAATCCCTCAATCTCCTTGCATCCCACACCACCAGTTGGCGGAGCTGCTGCTGCTGTCGTGGGCTCGAGGGCTCATCCACTCGCGGCCCTCGATAGAGGCACTCTTCATTGCCGCCCAGGGAAGACAGCACCGGGCGAGCCAGAGCAGCAGTGTGGGGGGAGATGTTGTAGGAGCCTCTGTAGACGCAGGTGCAGTCCGCCTGGCGTCTGTGGGGGGAGATGTAGGAGCCTCTGCAGAGGCAGGTGCAGCCCTTGTGACTGCAGTCCCCCGGGCAGCTGCGTTTGCAGTGGAGAAGAGTGTGTGCTCTGCCCCCCGTGCGGCTGGGTTTGTCAACCAGAAGTACCTGCAGCAGATGCTGGTCGATGGTGAGCCGCCTTGCCCTCTATCGTGGAGGAGAGTGTGTGTGCTCCGTATTGCTTGTGCGCACTGCTTTGCACACCCAGGCCCATGTGCCCCCTCACGAGTGCATCCGTGTGTCAACCCGATGTATCTGTAGCAGCTGCTTGTGGATGGTGGATGCTTGTGCTCCATTTACATGTTTCTGTTCTTTCTATGATGCATCGGTTTTGCATCGCTCCAAGCGGTGTACTGCTCGGTCCCCTTTCCTCCCCCCTCTTTACCGCCCACCGCCAGACAAGCTCAAGACATTGTACTGCTCAGTCCCCAAGGTGGCCTGCACGATCTGGAAGGTGTGGTCTTCGAGCAGAATGGGGACCGCACGGTGTGCCCGTGACTCAAAACCTCAACCACTCTTAACCCCCTCTAACACCCACCCTCCCCCCCTCAACCACCAGAGGAGCTCAAGACAGTGTATTGCTCTGTCCCAAAGGTGGCCTGCACGAGCTGGAAGGTGTGGTTCCGCCAGCAGCTGGCCAAGCGGCTCGGCGGCAACAAGTCGCCCCGCGTGAAGCTGTTCGCACGCACCTCCGTGCACAGCCCGCTGCAGAGCGGGCTGAGCATCATGGGGTACGGGTTTGAGGAGCACGAGAACATTTGGTTCCTCACGCGGCCCGACTTCTTCAAGTTCTCGTTCGTGCGCAACCCGTTTACGAGAATTGCGTCGGCGTATCTGAACAAGCATGTGAATGGGGTGGGCTTGCAAGGCCGCAAGTATTGGAACGAGGTGAGTGTTGTCCCTGGGATTGATGTGTGAGCTAATTAGCACTCAATTTGCGTGAACTGTGTCGGTGTATTTGAACAAGCATGTGGGCAGAAGGGGTTACGCACAGTTGTGAGACGGCTCAAAAAGGGGATGCGGTGAGGCGAGGGAGCTGTTGCTTTCCGTTGCTTGCTCCCATCCATGTCCGCACCCCGTGCTCCCATCCATGTCCGCACCCCCACCTCCTCCCCTCCCCCTCTGCCTCCTCTCTTCTGTCTCTCTATTTCCACACTCCTCCCCACTGTTCATTCATGTCAACTCCACTCTGCATTCCGTTCCACCCCCTCCCCTGCGTCTCTCCCTCGCTGCAGCGCTTCTTTATGGGAATCCCGGCGTACAAGACGTTTATGAAGAGCCGGAACGGCAGCGACTTCATCCCCTTCTCCACGTTCATGTCATTCCTGCAGCAACGAGCCACACGCTGTGTAGAGTGCATGGACCCCCATGTCCGCCCCCAGGTGCCTTCCCCACACCCTTCCCCTCCCTTTTTCTACACTCTCCCCCCTCCCTTTCCCTGCACTATTTTCACAAACCCCATCTTTCTCCCTGAATATTTTGTCGTTCTGATCCAAGCCTTCCCCCACGTGGTCATTGTTTGTGCTCTTATTGGCCCCTATCACTCCCCATGTTCCCTCGTTCGGCCGCAATGCTCAGATCGACCTATGCAAGCTGGATGCGATCCGATATGATTTTATTGGGCGGTTCGAGAATCTAGAGGAGGATGTGGCAAAGGTGACGTGGCATTTTGGAGAGGAGGAGAAGAATCCCTTTCATGATGCCCATTGGGCACACCCAACTAACGCTTCAGCAAGGCTTCTCGAGCTGTATGACAAGGTGAGTATTTCAAACCGTGCAATTGTCTGATTGAAGTTGCATCTTAAGGACCAACAATCAACCACCCCTTTATCTCATTCCTGTTTGTCTTGTGCAGAGCGCATTTGAGGATGCTACAATCGCATACAAGTCAGAATTCAATGTTCCTCTTAATGGTTTAGAATACCGACCGCCACAAGCTCTAGTGGACAGGTTTGAGACCAAGAGCTAAAGAAATCAGATGGTGTAAAATGTAGTGGAGGGAGATCATGATGCTGAAGGGGCTGAGGATGGAGCAAAGGAGGAGTGTAACCAGAATACCGTACATGGACTTTATTGCATAATGATCTGTACACACAAGCTCAGAGGGTGGACCAGCAAGTGCATTGTTAAGCAGGTGCATTCTTGCCTGCTCAGATACCTACCTACCTACCTAACAATCCCTGGTGGCACCAGCCCAGCACAACACTCTGCTACTCAGGGGTGCAGAGGTTGCTTTTCAGCAGATTGAGAAAGCTTGCTTTCTTTCTTATCAATTGGCATCGTTCTCATTACAAATGGCTTATTACAACATTTGCATCAACGTTGAACACAAGCTAGTGCAGTCTAATAACACTAACTAAGATGTACCCTATCCAAGTGGCATTAGCAAGGCGGTTTACTCTGGGGTGGGTGGTGGGAATGTTGAGTGAGCCGTTTGAAAATCGAGAAACGTGGGTGGAGGGAAATGAGCTCCAACCCACGGTTTTTGTAGTTGGAGAAGGGCGTTTAGCGCGCTTCGACGATGCCAATTGTGCAGTACAAGCAGCTTCGCTTTCACAATACACAATTTAAAAAAACACAATGTGTGTTTAAAAAATATAATTTCATGTAAGTATGCAGACTCAAGTGATGCCCTCGAGTCATTAAGTCTGTGGATTACAGCACTAGCACTCGTAGTAGAAAGCCAACACCGATTTTGCTAATCTGCACCACCGCGGATCATCCGCGGCAGTGCTTTCTTGTTGAAGCTCCTCTTTCACCATAGCGATAGCAAGCTGCTCCATTTGCTCTTGGCTTTCCAGTAAGAACACCGGATAAGGTCCGTACGAGATCTCCAGCTCCCCCACGCTTGCAGATTTCCTCATCAAAACGCGAAAGCCCATTTGCTCCAGTTGCTGCTTGAAGGCCTCCAGACAGTGCACTTTCTTCATGATTTCTGGAAGCGGGAGTTTGGTGAAATTGAAGTACGGCCCGTGAGCGATGGTGAGTGACAACCTCTGCTCGTCGGAGAAAATCGCATTCGCTGCTGCAGCCTCCGCGGCAGCCGCGACCCATTGGGAAAAGGCGAGCATGATGTGAATGTCTAAGAGATTATGATGGAATGGCGGATGTCTGCCTTCTGAAGTAAGGCTGGCTGAGATTGACAATGACAGAACGTGGCTTGATGAAAGCCTTTTATGCTTCTCGCTCTCGCCTCTGCTATCGTTCTGGCTAACCTGGCGAATCTCCTTATGATTTCGTTTCTGACCATTTTTTAGCTCACGGTAAGCCCACACGAAGAAAATCCGCACAAGCAAATCAACATTCGCCGTCGCATCGCATTCCGCCATTATGGCATTGACACCGTGCCGCAGACCACGTGTTGCTCAACTGGGACCAGGGCTGTCGATTGGTTTTAGGCCAGCACGCACAAGTGGCTGGGGTCCTTAGTTTCCAGCCCTGAAATTTCCGGGAAGCGTCAGGGAAAGGATCATGGCCGGTGTCTAGCGTCGGGCTAATCATGGTCTCAGACCCCTCCAGTGAAGTCTGACACAAATCAGTTTTTTTTCCTCATGCCCGTCAATTCCACCTCGTAACAAGCAGCTTGACCCCAACGACCCTAGTCACCAGCCAAGACCGACCCTAAGTTGTTTGGACTACAATATAGCATTCACGGTTCCGGACTACAATCAAATGCAGGTCTAACTCAAAGCCACCACCTACCACCAAAATTGTAAGTGGCAGGCTTGCGGCCCTAACAAAGAGGGAAGAGGGGTGGTTTTGGAGGGGGGGGGAGTTTGAGGGCGGGGAGGCTCCAGGGAAGGCCCGAAGCTTGTATGGAGAATCAGGGCAAGCCCCCAAGTGCGCCTTGTACACTTCAGGAAAAGGCTCTTACGACACTCTTTAGAATTCATGGCTGTACTGAAAACCATTCCTTTACATTCGGATCCTGGAGCGATGTTAACCCAGAATGTTCAGGGCATAAGGGCATACCTATGCCCCTGAATCGTGAAGCCTGACTGGGACATGGGGGTTGTAGCCGAATTTTTTGGGGCTTTTGCGGGGCAGAAATCCGTAGAAGTGTGCACCCTGAAGGGAATATGCGGCTCCTTCCAGTCGGGCAGAGGACAGTTGGGATTGCTCTGTGAAATCTGCCAGCATGCTCTCTCGACGACGAAATTTCGGATCACCCGCCTCCTAGAGACGGATATTGTAAACTTTTCAAATACGTCCAAGGAATAGTTCCACTGTTCAGTGTGTTTCCGCAGTTCAGTGTAGCGAGAAACAGGGTGTAGTGGGCCTGAAGTATTTGCTGTACGCCATCGCAGCACTATCTCTGCGAATAAAGGAGGGACCTTGACAGTGCGACACATCCGTGCGGCGAACAAAATGGGGTGGTTGAATGACGTTGAAGAGAAGTTGCTGGTTGGATTTGGCGAACACCTGCAGTGCGAGGGAAATTATACATTCTGTTGCCGATAATGCAAAACCCGTTTGCACGATGAGTCCCCAGGAATATTTGTAGGAAACTGGGTAGTGCGCAAACATCGTATCTGTATTGAAACTCGATTTGGTTACGGTAACTTCTTACGTTTCGTGAAGGCAGCGACGCACAAAAACGAGCCTCTTCCCGAACCGAACGCATTTCCTGCCACGTAAGTGCGGTCCGCAACATTACCAACCTGAACGTGGCAGAACCACCGCCGAAACCCCAACTACCCCCTTTGCCTGCGTGGATTTCACATTATACATCGACAGCTGTCGATAGTGGCGTCACTCACTCTAAACCGTCCGATGAAACGAGGGTTTCCAGCCCAGCACTTCCATGTCAGTCCCAAGGCCAGCGTGTAGGAGGTCGGAGCAGACGAGGGTTTCTGGATCCAAACTATGGCCGCTCCCCGCCTGCCATGTCCTCCCTCCCTCTCCACCTGTGCACACTTTTCCCTTCAGTATTTCCCAGTACCTAGGATGATATGGCAGTTTTTTACTGAGTCTTGCTTCCTGACCTACCCGCCTGCGTTGCTTGCGTTCCCACACCGCACTACCGTGTCGCCTGCGAAGCAAAGCATTTGAAAAAAACATTTAGAAAACTTGCTGCGTCGCGCTTGAGCAATGGATGCTGCCGACCGAACTTGCTGGTCGACATGACGTTTGTTAGTTTCCCGACTAAGGAAGTTGTCAGCTTGCTAAAGCAAGATTAGGTGTTGTATGGGGTGTAGTTAAGAGAAAGAGGCGATAATACTGTTTCTTCCCGTCGAAAAAGTTGACGCTAGGACGTAGCCTGCCGAGGAAATGGCGGACGAGCAAGCTCAACAAGGCATGTACCGCGCGCCTAACGGCGAGCATATGTTATTTCGCTCTAGCATTCCTTTGTCGTAGGCCTTGGCCTCAATCGTTTTCGGAACGGCCTTCGTTAAGAGTTCCTTAGATTTCACGTTTTTTCCTTCGTTATCACCCGCAGGTGATGTGTCTAAGGACCCCTCTAACGGGTATAACGATTGGGCTGCAGCTGCTATGCAGGTGAGCACGCTTAGAAACGAAGCTCAGTATGTGGCGACACCTGTAACGAGTAGGTTGCAGCTGTCATGCTGGGGAGCACGTTTCTGCTCAATCCTACGAACGGTACAGCATACGCCGTCAGCAGCCAGCGATGGTCACGGCAGCTTGAGTGATTAGCGTACCCCGAGCGATCATCGCAGTTTAACGCCCTCAAGGTAGTTCTCTATCGTTTCAGTTCCACTCAAACCGGTCAGCGGACCTCAACCCTTGTCAGCAGATCACATTCCAGTCAGTAGACCCCCACAATCAGGAGACCAACCCGGTCAGCAGTCAGTCAGCAGATCTCAACCCAGTCATCAGTACTTAACCCAGTCGACAGATGTTAATCCAGTCAGCAGACCTCAACTCAGTCAGCAGATCTCAACCCAGTCATCAGTACTTAACCCAGTCGACAGATGTTAATCCAGTCAGCAGATCTCAACTCAGTCAGCAGATCTCAAACCAGAAAGCTCTGATCCCGACCGATGGCGACAATCCCCGCTCTTTCGTCGGTCCTTGCAGTCGTGTAGCCCTGTGCGCTGGAAGCGAATCTTTCCTACCCGGTTCCTCACGACGCCAGTGACCTTCTTTTCCCGCGCGTCCCGCTTTGCTCCTTAGGTCGAACTTCTTAATGAACTGGGTGCAGTCGGAAACTCTCAGTGCACTAGTCCTTAACGTCCGCTAAACGGTCACTGAAACTTTGATTTTGTGCCGTGCCATGGTGGCATGCAGGCGTATTACAAGTCGGGAGGGCAAGCGGCGCATGCAGGGGGCTACTACGGCGCACCAATGGGAGGGCATCCCCATCCGTACATGTGGGGACCACAGGTACGCGATTTGAAGCGCATTGGATTCACGCAGCTGTGCATTAGTAGCGCCCTTTCATTCATCGTCTCTCTGTTTCAAGTTCCCGCTTTACTCTCACACCTTCCTGTAACCATTGTCGTTTGATTTCCTCGTTGTCTTAACCCCCTCTCCTTCTCAGCCAATGATGGCAGCGCACTACGGTGGTGTACCACCAGGGCCCTACGGCTATGCGGCCATGTATGCTGCGCCTCACCCGGGCATGGCCCAAGGCGCTGCAGGGGCAGTGGCCCCATCCCCTTATGGTTACCCGCCTCCCCAGTCGGTAAACTCTCTACATAAATAGTGATGAACATCCCTGCCTTCCCGAGTGCTGCTCCTGCTGCTTCCAATTCTGTTGGTGCTTCTGCGTCTGCTCCTTTGGCAGCTGCTGTTGCACCTTAACCGTCTGCTTTTTGCCTTGATTTAACCCAACATGCGCCTCTCGTGTCTCCTACTCTTTTACCCTTGTGCTTACCAGGCGGACGGCTCTGAGGTGCCAGCAGCAGCAGCGATGATGGGAATGACCCCCATGGGCCCCATGGCCATGCCAGCAGCGCAGGGCTACCCCGGGATGCAAATGGACTACTCCCACGATGCCATGGCTGCTGCTGCCGCCGCCGCCGCCGCCGCCGCCGCCAGTGCTGCCGGCGGGGCTGCTGCTACTGGGTCGGCCCCGCCAGCAGCTGCAGCTGCCCCTGCTGCGCCTGCAGCCCAAGCTGCCCCTTCGAAGCGCAAAAGGGCGACTCAGCAGTCACATGGTCAAGATGGTGCTCTGGCTACCACTGGAGGGTCAAGCCTCGCCCATCCGCACGCCCAGGCGGCACCAGGCTCGGGCCAAGCCTTGGCCCTGGCGTCAGGCTCGGCGGGAGAGTACACATCCACGCCTTCAAGCCCGTCAGAAGGCCCGTCTGCTTCGGCAGCAGCTGCGGCTGCGGCTGCTGGGCTAGGCGGTGGGGGTGGTGGTCATGCTGCTGCTGGGGGGGCAAGAGGGGGGGTGGGAGGCGGAATGGGGTATAACCCGATGGGTGCGTCTGCTGCGGATATGTGGCCTGGTGCTGCTGCTCCTGCTGCTGTGGTGCCCGCTCCCTCCTTGGGGCAGGGCGTTGGGGGGAAGCTGGGGGCACGTGCGGTAGGGGCGCGGGCAGGAGGGGATGGGGGCGACGTGGGGGGGAGTCTGATTTACCAGGTGCCATTTCGCGGGGTAAGAACTCTCCGCTGGCCTTGCGTTTCTCCCACCTTGCCCGTTATGGCTTGTTGCGGAACGGGGAATTTGTTTGTGATTCTCCCCGTTGTGCGTCCCATCTGTCTGATGCGTCTAAGTTCCTCTCTATGTGTGCTGCTCGCCTGTTGTGTGTGTGTGTGTGTGTGTGTGTGTCACTCACCTATCTGCTCGCTCCGTGCACGTGATACCTTGCAGGATGAGAGGGAGGTGAAGCGGCAGAGGCGGAAGCAGAGCAACAGGGAGAGCGCAAGGCGGTCGCGGCTGAGGAAGCAGGCAGAGTGTGACGAGCTGATAGCGCGGCAGACTGCAGTGCAGATGGAGAACATGGGGCTCTCCTCGGTATACCTGCCCTTACATCTTTCCCTTTCTCTCTTCCCTTCTTCCCTCTCGTTTCTTTCCTCTCCCAACCTCCCTCTTCACTTTCCGCACTTCCCTCTTCCTCATCCCTTCCTCCTACTTTACACGTGAAGCAGAACAGCCATCTGAACACCTGCTCCCATCTCTCGTTCTTATCCATTTTATCCTCTACCGTTTCACTTTGCCCGGTTCCCTGTCAACAGGAGCTAGCAAAGGTGCGGGAGCAGTACGCCTCCCTGTGCGCTCAGAACGCTCAGCTCCGAACCATGGTAAGATGCCCTGCCCTGCCCTGCCCTCATCCGTTCCTACCCCACTTTCACGGTTCACATTCCTTTGCTTGCTACCTCTTCTTGCATGCTGCTTTGCGCCTGTCTCTTGCATGTTCCCATTTTGCCCTCACGTCCTCATTCCTCTGTTTCCCATTCCTCTCGTTCGTTCCTTGCCTTTTCCACGCAATCAGCTTCAAGAATCGGGCATAGACCCATCAGCAGAAGGAGCTGCCTTCCCACCAGCATCATACAACCCGATGCACAAGTATCAGCTCACCTCCGTACCGCCCAGTACGGCTCATGCACCACCACCACCGTACGAGCCTTCAACTGCCCCTCCTCCTGCTCTTCCTCCCCCCTCTCCATCAGCACTTGAACCCATACAACCAACCCCTCCTGCTCTCCTCCCTGCTCCTCCCTCTGCGCCTCAATCCGCCTCTGTTGCTGCTTCTTACCTGTCTGGGAAACCCGCGCCTGCACCCCTACCTGCTCCGGGGCCCCTTCAAGAAGCGGCATCCGAGCCTTCGCCCGAGCCTGTACCAGATCCTGCACTAGAGCATGCACCCGAGCCTGCGCCTGAGCTTGTGCTTCAAGTTCAGGTACCCGAGCCTGAATTTGCAGGTCCGGTGCCAGGTTTGGCAGAGGAGCAGCAGCTGCTGTTGACAGGGGGGGAAGAACCAGGGTTGGGGGGCGGGATAGGGGGGGAGGGTGGAATGGTAGGGCTGGGGGTCCAAGGAGGGAGTGAGGGGTTAGAATCTGGTCAAGGTGATGAAGGTGGGCCGAAGATGGGGGGAGAGCAAGGAGAGGAAGTACCTCAGATGGTGGAGAGTGGTACAGGGGCAGGCGCCGAGCCAATGGTTGTTATGATGGAGGTGCAAGAAGGGGTGGCACAGGGAGGGGATGAGATGAACATGCAGGTGATGCAACAGGCGGAGCAAGTGGAGCATGGATTGCCTCTTGATCAACAGCAAGAGGAGGGGACGGGAGCACAGGAAGAGCGGAAGGAGGAGGAAGCGAAGGAGCAGGAGCAGCAGCAGCAGCAGCAGCAGCAGCAGGAACAGCCAGAAACGGGGCAGCAGTCCGAGCAGCATGAGCAGCAGCTTGAGCAGCAGAAGGACGAAGAGGTGGTTGGTGCTGGAGGGGAGGGGATGAGAGAGGTGGATGGGGGAAATGAGGGAGCAGCAGAGGAGGGTGGAAGGCATGAGGGTGCCCCATTGGTGGGCGGGGAGCAGCAGCAGCCTGTGGGCGACAACAATGGGAGCGGGCAAGCGGTCGCTGAGCCTGCTGAGACTGAGCGGGGGCAGGAGGCTGCTGTGGTGGATGGTAGGGAGGTTATGGGTGAGGAAGGGACAGGTGAAGGGGCAGCGGGTGTAGAGATAACTGAGGCGCAGCAGGAGAAGTCAGCAGGAGGAGCCAAGGAAATAGACCAAGCGGCAGTTGCAGATGAGGGTGGGGCAGCGAATGAGCATGAGCAGCACAAGAGTAAAGTGGATCATGGGGTTTCTGAGTCACCTCAGCCAGTGGCAGAAGAGGGAGAAGAGCAAGCAGAGGCTCTGAAGGATGCAACTGATGGTGGTGGCGATGCTCCTGGTGCTGAGATTGCCCAAGGAGAAGTTGCAGCAGCGGCTGAGGGGGAAGAGACTGAGATGGTAGATGCTAGTGCAGCTGAACAATTGGCAGGTGAAAGGGAGAAGCAAGGGGGACATGAGGGTGAGTCTCATTTGGCAGGTAAAGTCAGTGAAGGCTCCAAGGATATTGCGGGTGGGGGAGAAAGCATGGAGGCTGGTGAAGATGCAGCAGGAGGGGAGGAGCGAGAGAGAGTCAAGGACGGTTCGGTTGCAGGTACGGGCATGACGGCAGCAACGAGTATTGGTGAAGCCATAGCTGGGGGTTTACCTGCTGAGGCCTGTAAAGGTGCTGAGGGTGCGCCTGTTGCTGATGAGCATGCAGCACCAGTGGAGGGCGCTACAGGGGAGGGCGCTACAGGGGAGGGCGCTACTAGAGAGGGTGCCACTAAGGAGGGTGTCGCTGTGGAGAGTGTTGCAGGCGAGAGTGCTGTAGAAGCAACAGATGATGGGATAGGAAGTGTGGAGAAAGGTAGCCATACGCAATCAGGTGAAAGGACGGATGTTGAAACGGGAGACACATAGAAGTACGACCCAATTATCTGGGTTGTGCAATTGCAAAACGGGGTAGATAACGCAGGGGTGAGCTTGATTCGGTGGGCAGTTACGGTACGATACTCGTGCTAATATTGATTGAGACGATACTTATTGAACCGTTAAGATAGTGTGTGTATAATTATGTCTCTGTTGTACTGTTTCGTGTTAGTGATTGAACACCACCAAGCATATCATAAGAAGCTGTTAGAATTACTAGCTAGATGAGAAAGTGTCGATTAGGTAAGGGGGGGGGGGGTACAAGGACTATCGAGAGAGATTGTTGTACCCTCTAAGGAAAGAACCCTACACAACCTAGAGTGAAATAAGCAGAACAATATGTTTTGACACACCCCCATAGGTGAAGTAGGGGATAGCCAAGCCTAACAGTGGTCACAAGACCAGACAAGCAAGACAACAAGCAAGGCAAAGCCCAGGGTGGATCTCAAGGACACCACACAATCTGAGCACAAGTAGGCAGCCACAAGGCCAGTTCACATGCAGATTTATAAGAGCAAGGCAGTACACAGATCACAACCTAGCAAGAGGAAACATGCAGGTATAAAGATATATAGCAGTGTACAACAAGAGCAAGTCAAGCAACCAGCAGGTGAGGCAGAGTGGGCACAAGCCCAAGAGCAGTGCAGAAACGCTGATGATCACCAGCCGAAAGGGCCTTGGTGAAGACATCAGCAGTGTTGGCCCGAGAGGCCACGAAAGCAAGGCGCAGCTGACCACGCTGCTGCAGCTCACGCGCAAGGAAGTAGCGCAGAGCAATGTGCTTCGTTCTGTGCTCCAGTCTCTGCTCGCGACACAAGGCAAGCATTGCCTTGTTGTCGACGTACAGAACTGGAGGAGAACGAGGCCGCTCCCCCAAGTCGGTCAGCAGGTAGGTCAGCCAACGGAGCTCCTGTGCAGCCATGGCCCCAGCGTAGATCTCGGCCTCACAGCTGGAACCAAGCACAGAAGAAGAACGAGTGGACCTCCACGAGACAGAACCAGCGCCAAGACTGAAGGTGTAGCCTTGTGACGAACGCTGAGTCGCCTGGTCGTCGGCCCAAGAAGCGTCAGAGTGTCCTGTGAGGACCACCGAACCCCGTCCTCCAAGCACGAGCCCCATGCCCGATGTGCTGCACAATTAACGCAGTACCCTCTTCGCAGCATCAAAGTGCACCTTTCGGTGCCTACCGGGTGCCACGTAGCGAGCCAGAAGGCTGAGAGGGTACGCGAGGTCAGGTCGTGTGCACGTCATCAGGTACATGAGGCAGCCCACAAGCTCTGGGTACGGACCACTCGGCTCTACGGACTCGTCCGAAGGTGGAGCTGAGAGCGAGTGGCTGGTAGCTAGAGGAGTGGGCTGTGGCGAGGAGTACGTGAAGCGGAAGCGCTGAAGGACCTGGTGCACCATGTGTGACTGAGTGAGGGTGATGGTGCGCCGTGCTCTGTCCCGGGTGATCTGCAAGCCAAGATAGCTCCGCAGCTCACCCAGGTCAGTGCAGGTGTGTCTCTCCTGCAGCTCCGCCTTCACTAGGGCCAGTGCCTCAGTGTCAGCAGTAGCAAAAACCAAGTCGTCAACGTACACGAGGATGTAGAACGGCGGCAGAGTAGTGTCGGTGCGTAGAAACAACGACGGGTCAGCAGTCGAAGGAGCAAACCCAAGAGCCGCAAGTGTCGTCCTCAGTGTGTCGTGCCACTCGCGGGGCGCCTGACGCAAGCCGTACACTGGTCGGCGTAGGCTCCACTGGGTACCCTCAGGAAACGACCCAGTGAAGCCCTGTGGACGGCGCAACCAGATGGCCTCGTGAAGGCTACCCTGCAAGAAAGCTGTCGAGAAGTCGAGGGAGTGCAGCTCGTAGTCACGCTGAGCTGCAACGTGTAGCAACACCCAAAGAGTGGTCATCTTCGGGGTGGGGGAGAAGGTCTGAAAGAAGTCGACCCCCTCACGCTGACTGAAGCCTCGAGCAACGTAACGTGCCTTGAAGGCAGGCGGAGAACCCGGCGGCCGCTTCACCCTGAAAATCCACATGCCACTGACGATGTTCGCCCCAGGTGGGGGAACCTCGTCGACGTAGGTGCCTGTGGACTTCCAGGAAGCTATCTCTGCGTCCATGGCTGTCTGCCACTGAGAGGAGTACTCACCCGAAACCGCCTCCCTGTAGGAGCGCGGGGTGGGGATGTCAAGTGCATCCGGGTCTCCCTCAGGGGCAAGCAGCATGGTCGCGTGATGGGGTGAAGCGGCAGCAAGGCACTCCAGCTCCTCCTGTCTGTCCTCAAGAACGTCACAGCCAAGGGCAGTGCAGCCAAGAGCAGTCTCACCCCCGACGGACGGAGGACAGGCAGGGACAGGGTCAGAGACAAGACTCGCAAGGTAGTCTTGGCGGTACATAGCAGCAAAGTCAACGAGCTCAGCTACTAGGGCAGACGCAGCAGGAGACGAGAACGTAGGGTCCGTCACAACCGTAGCAAGAAGGCGAGTAACAGTCGGACTGGACGCACGAGCAAGGTCAGACGGAGGGTCAGCAACGTCAGGCAAAGAGGACGCAGGAGGTAACGGTTGGACAACACGCTGAGGAACAGAGGAAGGACGGAGTGTCATATCGTGAGTGCCGGGGACAGCCGGAGCACGCTGACGACGAACACGAGGAACACGAGCACGGACAACAGCTCTAGGCTCAGGCTCAAGGTCAAAGCTAGACTTAGGCTCTCGACGCTCAGGGGTGGAAGCACGAGTCTCAGGCTCTCGACACTCAGTCAGGGACTCTGACACCGCAGTGTAAGGAGCAGGAGCAGGCAGTGGGGAGTGTGGTAGCAGCGGCGGCTGTGACTGGTCCGCCGGTGGACACAGCAACGGAGGAGTAGTACCTGCCACAGGGAAGCCAGTAGCACCTGGCTGAAGACTGAGAAGGTGGCGAAGAGCACCAGTAGCTCCACCAGGACCTCCAGCACCTCCAGCACATCCAGCCCCAGCAGCTCCAGCGCCTCCAGCACCAGCAGCTCCAGCAGCTCCACGACCTCCAGCACCAGCAGTACCTCCAGTACCTCCAGCACCAGCAGCTCCACGACCTCCAGCACCAGCAGCACCTCCAGTACCTCCAGCCCCAGCAGCTCCACCAGGACCAGCAGCACCAGCAGCTCCCCGACCTCCAGCACCAGCAGCACCTCCAGTACCTCCAGCACCTCCAGGACCTCCAGCACCAGCAGCACCTCCAGGACCTCCAGCACCAGCAGCACCTCCAGTACCTCCAGCACCAGTAGCTCCAGGTCCTCCGGTAGGAGCTCCGACGACACCAACACCAGAAGGACTCGCAGCACCCCTAGAGTCAGCACCCGAACTCGCAGCACCCCAAGAGGCAGGACTCTCGGTCTCAGCACTCGCAGGCTCAGTACCCTCAGTCGCAGCACCCTCAGGCTCAGTACCCTCAGTCCCAGCACCCCCAGGCTCAGTACCCTCAGTCTCTGCTCCAGTGTCCACAGCAGCAGGCTGCAGAGGCAGCGAAAACGGCAGAGGTGGGAACCCGGGGGGTGTAGCCAGACGAGGAGAGCGGGCACCCCCAGACTCACCACCCCCAGACCCAGCTCCAGTAGTCTCAGCTCCAGAGTCCACAGCAGCAGGCTGCGGAGGCGGCGAAGACGGCCGTGGCGGGAAACCCGGGGGGGTCTCCAAGCGAGGAGTGCGGCGAGTGGTCGCCGTGTCGTCGGCGACGGCGTCACCCCCCTCAGGTGAGTCAGAGGAGTCAGAAGAGATCTCAACTGGCTCATCCAAGGGGGGTAGGTTTACCCGGGACACACCTGAGGGAGCAAGACCCTGTGGGGGAAGGGGGTCTACCGGGGGGGGGACTGGTACCAGGAAGAGAGGTGCGAGGGGGACCGGGTGGGACGCGTGCGGGTGAAGTCGGTAGTAACAGACCGACTCGTCGAAGGTGACGTCCTGAGAGGACAGAACACGACGCGAGGCAGGGTGGTAGAACTGCCAGGGTGGAGCGTTGGTGGGGAAGCCCAGGAAGACACAGCGGAGAGTGCGAGGGGAGAGCTTGCTCGCTTTGGTATCGCGAACAAGGGAGAGCGCGCCCCAGACCCGAAACGACGACGCATCACCAGGCTGTCCCGTCCAACGGAGTGTGGGCGAGGTCTCTGGAGCAGAGACACGGGGCCAGAGGTTGAGCTGATGCGTGGCGTATCGGACCGCAAACGGCCACAGGAAATGGGGAGCAACAGCATGGATCATGGAGGTACGAGCAACTCCATGATCAGGCCAATGCGACGCTCAGCGATCCCATTTTGCTGCGGAGAGGCCGGAAGCGTAAACGACTGGGCGATGCCCTCATCCTGGCAGAACGTCTCAAGGACGCCAGAGGAGAACTCACCACCCCTGTCAGAGTGCAGACGCAGGACTGGAAAGTCCCGCCGAAACCGCTCGCGCAGCTGGTGACGAGTAGCACGGATCCAGGGGATCAAGACACCACTGACATCCGCCTTGCGACGCAAGGGGAAGAATGTGGTGTAGCGTGTGTAGTCGTCAACCACCAGCAGGAAGTAGCGCTCCTGGTCCGTTCCACCGACGGGGGCCGGGCCCCACACGTCCAGGTGGAGAGTCTGCAGAGGAGCAGTGGTCGGAGGAAACTCGGAGGAGTGAGGAGCGGCGCGCTGCCGCCCCTCGACGCAAGGAAGGCACGGCGGCGCAAGCGAGCGCGGGAGGGGGGGCAGGGTCGCAGGGAGACCAGAGACCAGGAGCCGGGAGTGCATGCCGCGCAGACGCAGCTGCGACGGGTGGCCAAGACGGTGGTGCCAAAGCTGCGCAGGGTGGGTGAGGAGGCGACACGAGCAGGACGCAGCGAGCTGACCGGACGCAGCCACCTGACCAGACGCAGCTACCTGTGCAGACGCTGTGGTGAGTGTGTACAGGTTCGACCCCGGCTGTCGTGTGAACGTAGCCAGGTGACGGCCTGTCTTGGCGCATGTGCAGATCGCCACACGCTGACCTCCAGGAGTAAATGTGTCAACCCATACATCCTGAAGGACGGCGTTGCTCACCGGGTTCGTCGAGAACGAGGGGAGGTGGAGACCGGACAGAGAGCCAGAGGGGACAGCTGGGCACGGGAGGACAGTGGAGTGGCGTGCAACCACCGGGCCCCCAGAGGGGTCCGCCAGTGAGACTGGGACAGGGGTAGTGAGTGGGGTGACAGTGGTGCTGTCGCGAAAGAAGCAATGTGACGCACCAGAGTCAAGTGTGAAAGTGTGCAAGACCTCAGCAGGAGCAGCAGACTCACTAGCACCTGGGGCAGTAGCGACACTAGCACCTAGGGCAGCAGCAAACGCACTAGCACCTGGGGGAGCAGCATCACCACCAGCATCGCATGGCACACACGAGTAACACGCACCCTCAACACTATAGTCAGAAACATACATAGCATAGAGAGCAGCATTGATCTTAGCAAAGTCAAGAGCAAACACATCTACCCCTTTCCCATCAGCTGCAGCCAGTTCGGGACCTGCTGGTCCTCGGTGTACTCAGTCACCCAGGCGTCCTCAAGACGCCCGAAGCACGTGTACTCTGTGTGCGGCTTCCCGCAGACTGTGCCCTTCAGAGGCCCCGTGCGCCGGACATAAGGGCAGCGACCAGAGCCCCCACGCTGGAGAACCCACTCACGGAGCTGCTGGTCGGTGGGGTTGTCCGGGAGGCGTGGCAGCTGCTGACCACTCCCGTAGCCACGGGAGGGTCCACGAGCGCCACCACCCCTGTCAGACCCACCCCGACCTCCTCCGCCTCCCCCGCTACCCCAACCGCCTCCCCCACCACCGCCGCCTCCTCCACCCTGTCCGCCTCCTCCACTGCCGCCACCCCCAGAGCCACCCCCAGAGCCTCCACCACCCCCGCCACCACCCCCGCCACCCCCTCCGCTGCTGCCACCACCACCACCCCTGCCCCCTCTGCCCTTGCTGTTGTTGCGCCGTCCACTGGGAGCAGACGCAGCGCCAACGTCCTCAGCACCAAGGAGGTCGACTGCAGCAGCGGTAGCAACTGAGGGGAGGAGAGGGGAGGGAGTACACCCTTCAAAGAAGGGGGAGCGGGGGGTGCCACGAGAGGCAGCGACAGCGACAGTGCTCTTCTCAACCTCGAGAAGGGCCTTCTCGAGCGAGTCAAGTGTGAGCTCAGTGGGGTCCATGGCTAGGAACTGGTCCCTGACAGTGCGAAGGGAGTCAGGGAGGCGAGTGATAAGAAAGTACAGGGTGAAGTACTGCGGGGGGGGGTTCTTAGCGAGAAAGTCCGGCTTGAGAGCGGCACGGAAGCGATCCTCACTAGAGCGGAGGTGGGTAAAGAGGTCAGAGACAGTGCGGAACTCAGCTAGATCGGGATGCAGGTACAGCAGCATGAGACGACCTACAGCAGCAGTAGCTGGGGAGGAGTAGCGAGAAACTACAGTGCCATAGAGATCCTTGGCCGTTTTCTGCCGGCTAAAGTGCGCGCGCTCAGTGACTGGCAGGTGGTTGCGGACAGCAAGGCGGGCAGCTGCATCACGCATGAGCCACTTAGACAGATTCTCTACAGCGTCGGCAGCAGGGGGTGGGAGCTTTCCTTCAGTGTGCAATAACAGGGAAACACCATCCTTAGACTCGCTCTGCAGGAACAGCTGGAGATCGTCGAGCCAGACATCAAAGGTAATCGCGCGGCCCTCGGCATCGAACGTAAGAACTGACAGGTTAGCCATAGCAGCAGTAGTTGCAGCAGCAGCAGCAGTGACAGCTCGGGTTGGGCGGCGCGGCTCGGACTCAGTGGCGGAGCAGCAGCGGCAAGCAGCAGCAGCAGCCGGCGTTCAGTAGCAGCAGCAGCAGCAGCAAGGAGGAGCAGCTGCAGCAAGTAGCAGCAGCAGCAGCAAGGAGGAGCAGCTGCAGCAAGTAGCACGGGTTGTAGTAGCAGGAGCTTCAGTAGCAGCAGTAGTAGCACGGGCTGTAGAAGCAGTAGCTTCTGTCAGTAGCAGCTGTAGCAAGTGCCTTAGTAGCAGCAGCAGCAGTAGCACCAGCTGTAGCAGCACTAGCTTCAGTAGCAGCAGCAGTGAGTAGCACTAGCTGTAGCAGCACTAGCTTCAGTAGCAGCAGCAGTGAGTAGCGCTAGCTGTAGCAGCACTTGCTTCAGTAGCAGCAGCAGTGAGTAGCACTAGCTGTAGCAGCACTAGCTTCAGTAGTAGCAGCAGTGAGTAGCACTAGCTGTAGCAGCACTAGCTTCAGTAGCAGCAGCAGTGAGTAGCACTAGCTGTAGCAGCAGCAGCGTCAGTAGCAGCAGCAGTGACAGCTCGGGCTGGGCAGCGCGTAGTAGCAGTGGGCACGCGTGGGCTGTGGGCGTGCAAACCAGGGGCGCGCAACAGGTGCGTGCGGGGCAGCACTACGAGGAGCGCGCATCAGGTGCGTGCTAGGGGCTGGCGGGCAGCGTGAGTGGCGCGCGCAGCAGCAGGAACGAGGGGGGGACCGGGCGTAGGGGCTGACGGGCCGCGCGAGAGGCGCACGGGGCAGCTAGGGCTCGGTCAGGGGGGTCGCACGTGACTAGGAACAGAAAATCGCGTCTAGGCAGAAAAAGGAATCGTCTCGCCTAGTCGCATTTCGCGTTTCTCCTAGGGGCGCGACTCGGGCAGCAGGTCGAAATAGTAGTGGTGGGCCCTTTTAAAATTTCGGTCCTAAGGAGCATTGTGCTCTTAATACCATGCTAGAATTACTAGCTAGATGAGAAAGTGTCGATTAGGTAAGGGGGGGGGGGTACAAGGACTATCGAGAGAGATTGTTGTACCCTCTAAGGAAAGAACCCTACACAACCTAGAGTGAAATAAGCAGAACAATATGTTTTGACAGAAGCCGCCCTAGAGGTCAGGAAGCATAGTAAGGCATGAATTGATTTGGATAAAGATTCTCAACCTTCATTTCTATATCGAGTTTGTATAAACGACTGCTTACAACGCTTTGGGCCCCGAACCAGGTACGGGGGACAATCACCGTGACGTGTGATGAACCAACTCCGCCGAACCTTCCGCAAAACCCCGACTCCTTTGCCCCCAAACGCCACATTCTCATGCTTCTCCGCGCGCGGAGCAGCACAAATTGGCACGGCGGGCGGAGCTTCAGAGAGAAGGAGGGGTGGGGGAGGGGAAACCGCTAGGGTTTCATCATGGCTCCGCACTTACCTCATTTTCCCTTTCCCTTCCTGCAATACTCCCTAATCTTCCTTTCGCTAGACCTCTGCTGCCGCCTGCCCTTGCCGGCACCGCCTCTTAAACCGAGTGCTAGCGCTTCCTGTCAACATGGTGAGCCCCGCGTCGCGATGTTTTAGTCGTCTATATATTAGATAGTGCCCAGGGGAAGTGCATCTCTCAGTATCTGATGATGTATCTTAGAGGTTTAGTGGGGAGTTTAGCAGTTAGAAGGTCAGCGTCCATTTCTGGGTGATACTAGCTCGTAACAGTGGTTGCAACCACGTGATCCCCTGATACGAACGCATTTGTCGCTGTGCTGATTAGTTTACTTAACGCACTCAGATCGCGCCTGGTTACCCCTCTATTCCTGCCGTGTACATCGTCGTTTCCGTCGTCGCGCTTTCCTCTCTCTTTTCCGTCACCGTCGTTTACCTCCGTTCGATGGCTGTCGCATTCGCTGTTATTCGCCGTCATTTGCTGCCATTTGCAGTGCCGTCGCTGTTCAACGTGTTTTCACGTCATAATTACCTCTCTTACGACCGTCGTGTGCAGGACTCCCCAATGAAGCTGGCGATTGTGGAGAAGGTGGTGGGCCGCACGGGGTCCCGCGGTCAAGTCACGCAAGTGCGCGTGAAGTTCATCGATGAGGATCGCTACATCATGAGGAACGTCAAGGGCCCTGTGCGCGTAGGTGTGTAACATTAAAGCGGGTGTGTGACAATATAGCGAGGTGATTGGAGAGGTGACTCACCTCGCGTGAAGTTCACGGACGAGGACCGTTAGATCATGAGGAACGTCAAGGGCCCCGTGCGCGTAGGTGTGTGACAATAACGCGAGGTGACTGTAGAGTCGACTGAGAGGGTACGCAGGTGCGCGTGAAGTTCCACAATGAGGACTTTTATATCACGAGGAACGTCAAGGGCCCCGTCTGAAAAGTTGTGTGACTGTAGCGGCCCCGTGCACCAAGGTGAGTGGCAGCAGCATTGACGTATGATTCAGGATGTAGAGGTTAGGGTTTCCCATTTTCCCGCGTTGGCTGCATAGTCGATCCCTGCTGGCGTATGAGATCGGTTCATTCCACCCTGTGTGATAGTCTGAACGAGAGCCTATGACACCTCGTTTGGTAGCTGCAGCAGCTTTTCATTGGGCCCGTTTCACGACATGGTTAGTCATTACAGCCGGTTTGGACGAGGGTAGTTATTGCAGCCAGATTGTTGGTCATCGTTTTAGTCGACCTCTCTCGAGCAGGCGGGTTATTTAGCAAGCAGTAGGACCTACCTTCATTCGGTACTGCAGCCTGCCAGTTCATTTCAAATTACGTCTGGTCGTCTGCACGTTGGGCTGATTATAAAGGGGGGTAATCGTGGTCGTACCAGGTTCTCTGATCTTTTAGGGGTTTGGTGTAATCCCCCTGACCGTTCAGTCTACCGTTCCTATCCCGTTTCTGAATTGTTCGGGAAGGTGTGATTGTTACCGTGTGCTCAGCAAGCTTCTGCAGAAGGTATTTTTAAATGGCCTTGTGATTTTGTTGAATTTACTTTAACTCTCTGTGCCCTACCCCATCACTGATATCATTGTCGCAGGAGACGTCCTCACCCTCATGGAATCCGAGCGCGAGGCTCGGCGGCTGCGTTAATCGAAGCTCTTTCTACATTCTTACAGCCGTTGGATCAGCTTTATGCGAACCAACAGCAGCCGTCCGTTGTTCCGAGAGCGTCAATTGCCTTGCGGTATTACAATGCTGCTCGAGATGGGGCTTCGTCTCTAGTGCGTTGCTGCAAAGTCACGTGTATGCTTGTATCAATGCCAGCATGTTACATCAGTGGAGATTCTTTTACTGTATGAGAGCTACAAACGAAGATCACTAATAACTGAAGCCCAGTGTCCGAAGTTCTCTACAGCTGAAGTGCATCCAGTGAGTGATACAGCTAGGAAACATTGTGATGCCAGCTTTCACCTAGCTCTTAAAACCGGGGTGCACATTCAGCTGAATGTGCATCAAAGGTTATCCCTTGACTGAGTGGGTTACGAGGTGTGCTTTCAACCCCTTCAAGTCGAACTTCGTTTCCCCCCTCCCCCGCAATTTCGTTTCCCCACGCCCCCGCAATTTCATTTCCCCCTCCCCGTCGAAATTCGTTTCCCCCCTCCCCCGCAATTTCGTTTCCCCCCTCCCCCGCAATTTCGTTTCCCCCCCCTCCCGCCAATCTGTTTCATCCCTCCCGCCATTCGGTTTCACCCACTCCCGCCATTTCACCCCCTCCCGCCACCTACGAAATGCCCGAAGCTCTAGCGGAATCATTTTTTTGTCGCCCCTCGTGAGCCAATCACTGTTTTTCTCCAAACCCCCTTCCCAACATCTCAAGCCGAACCGCGTTGAATGTGCACCCTGGTTTTAAAGCCCGAGTCCCAAATTGCGAGGCGCGTGGGTCAAGCTTTTAAAACTTGACGGTGAGGAGCTTGTAAACTTGAAAGAAGTTTCACTTGCAATTTGGGACTTTCGAGCTCCTACCAGGGGGAAGACGCGTTTTTGGCTGTGTGTTGCGAAGAAAACGAATTTGACGAAATAGGAAGATATCAGGGCGAAAAAGCACTGTTTTCATCATCCAAACTTTTCAGATCGAACTGATGTGATTGGCTATCGCCAAAAATGATAAAAAAAATCGCTCCCGCCAAAAGAATGTCAGCCGTCGCACGTCTACATGCTGCACTCGCACGAACATTGTAAGGCGATGGGTTGAGTCGCCTGGCCAACTTCAGTTTCAAGCTGGAAGGGGGTTCATATCTCTATTTCACACTTCCGTAGTCTAGTTCATGTCTAGCTAAGAATAGCTGAAATCCTAGTCGCCCTTCTCATAGGCACGCAATTAGCAAGCTAGCTCGAGTGCGTAATGTAGTAAGACGTGGCCTCTCAGCGTAATGCTTTTTTTTTTTTTCATCTCACGCGAAATCGTCAAACTCCCGTCCATGGCGTATTTGAACCGTGCCTTGCCTACCATCGCCGCTCACTCGTCGCTATCGCGCTCGCCTTTCACTACAACCCTCCCGATCTCCCCTCCCATTCCGTCGCCCTCCCCTTCTCACGTTCTTTGGCCCGTCGCTCTCACTGTCGCCGCTCTCCTCCCGTCGCTCTCACTTTCTCCGCTCTCCTCCCGCCGCTCCCGATTTCTCTGCTCTCCTCCCGTCGCTCTCACTTTCTCCGCTTTCCTCCCGTCGCTCTCAATTTCCGCGCTCTCCTCCCGTCGCTCTAACTGTCTCCGCTCTCCTCCCGTCGCTCTCACTTTCTCCGCTCCCATCCCATCGTTTTCACCATTTCCCTTCTCATCCCGTCGCTTTCGTCCTTTCCCTTCCCGTCTCGTCGCTTTCGTCCTTTTCCTTCCCGTCTCGTCCTACCGACTTTCTGGTGTTCTTCGCTCCAATCCCCTCGCCCTCGATTTTTCCGCCCCCCTCCCATTACCCTCGCTGTCGTCTCTCCCTTCCCATTGCCTTCCCTCCCCCCGTATTTCCCCTTCCCTTACCCGTCGCTCCCTTCCCGTCGCTCTTTCTCTCGTCGCTCCCTCCCCGTCGCTCCCTGTAACGCTTCCCTCCCTTCCCGTCGCTCTTGCTCTCTCCCCTCCCTTCCCGTCGCTCTCTCTCTCGCCGCTCCCTTCTGGTCGCCCTCGATGCACGCGTCCTCTCACACCCCCCATCCCCCACCCCATCGCCATCCTGCTCGTCACGAAACGCCCTCCCATCCCCCACCCACTTTCTCCTCCCATCTCCTGCCTCGTCGCCTTCGCACTCTCCCTTCCTCTCGCCGTTCTCCCCCCCTCTCCTGTCGAGCTCGCTTTCTCTCCCCGTCTCCCGTCGAGCTCGCGTTCTCCCCCCCTCTCCCGTCGATCTCGCTTCCCCCCCCCCTCTCCCAACATCACCATACTTGTCCCTATCGGCCTCTCTCCCACCCGTAGCGTCACAATTCCCGTCGCCCCCTCCCTCTCACTCCTCTCGCCTCCCCTCCGAAACACCCTTCCCGTCGCCTTCGCGCTCGCACTGAAACGCCCAATCGCGCCCTGCCTCTCTCCCTCCCATCACCCACCTCGCCGGCCTCGAGCTCGCCACGAAATGTCCTCTCATCTTCTTTTCATCTCTCACCTCCCATCCCGTCGCCCTCCTCACGTTCTCCGTCGTCCCGTCGCCTACATGTCCCCCGCTTAATCCCGCCCCCTTCGTGTCCCCGCTTGTCCCGTCACCCTCATTTTCCCCCTCGTGGAAGTCCAAGGCAGCACATTGCTGGATGCGAGTTTGGTGAAGTAAAGGCTCTGGAGTGTGTGTTTGGCTCTCATCATGGAACTGTGTGTCTGCTTGGGATGTGAATTGGAGAAGTGTTGGCTCTAGTGAATGCAGGAGTGCGCGTCGCTCAACTTTGCGCCAAAATCGCACAAGTGCCTGTGAGAGATTGTGGCTGCCAATCAGAATTGAGGAAAGACTTTTGTTCGTAATCCACTAAGAACTCGACCGAAGGCTGAAAAAAAAACACACCTCGCTTCCAACTTTCCAAAACAATACAAAAAGTTCTTGAGTAATCAAGTTGGACCCAACTAGAAGGGGGGGGTCACTATTTTAGCTGCTGGCTTTAAAACTTGTGCAATTTGGGCCAACGGCTTTAAGAACCTACTTGCTTGAGTAGCGAGAGAATGGGGATGCTAGGTCAAAGGGAGGGATACAACCAAAGTGTCGAGAAAGATTTGTACCCCCTAACATCCAACTCACTATAGCATATCTAACTCTATAAACATAGTTTGACACACCCCCATAGGCTAAGTGAGGGGCATCAAAACAGGTATGACACGCATGTGGTCACAAGACCAGTCAAGAAAAGAAACACAGCAAGCTCAGGGTGGATCACGAAGTCACCACACATTCTGAGCACAAACAAGAGGCCACAAGGCCAGTTCAAGCGTTCGCAGACATATATAGAAGTACAGCAAGCAACAAGAGACAAGACTACTGTAGCCACGAGCCTAAGTCAGGAAAGAGAAACGGCAGAAAGAGGCGACCAAGGGAGGCGGAGGTGGGAGTGGAGTAACGTGTCTTAATGGCAGTGAGCAGGTCCTTGGCAAATCGAACCTGAGAGAAGTGAGCCTCCTCAGTCTCGGGGAGAAGGCTGGAGAGGGCAATGCATGCCGCAGCGTCACGCGACTGCCACACTGAACGAGCGGTACGGGCTTTATCGAAGCGCGCCTGGGCCGCCTCGTCCGGCTGAGCACCCAGGTCAGGAGGGGACGGAGGCTCAGGCAGGTCACCGGAAGCGTGCGCCCAGAGCGTATCATTGTCCTGGCGCTGACTCTTGAGAAACCGCTCGCCACGGATGAGCCAGGAGGGGAACTCTAGGGCTCTACCCTCAGCATCAAAACGCAGTATACGAGGGGCCGCCATAACGAGGGAACTACCGGCCTAGGAGCGCAGAGCTAGAAGGGGCCGGAGCTAGAAACAAGTGAGGCGTACGGTGCCCGAAGAGACGAGGCGAGGAACTGCCTGAGCTAGGAGCGACCTAAGCCAGAGTGGCGAGGCCTAAGTGCTAATTGAGAACCGAGTGAGGCGAGGGACAAATGAAGTCAGAGGTTCAAGCCTAGGTCACGCTAGTAGAGAGTACTGCGGCCGCCAGCCGCTGTGAGTGGAAAGCCAGAGGCAGTAGGCGGTAGGAAGGTGCTGCACGTGCAGAAAGGAGCGGTCAGGTACGGTTCAAAGCGGTGGAGTGCAGTCAAGAGCGGTTAGGAGCGGTGAGGAGCGGTTAGAGGCGGGTATGAGCGGTTAGGAGCGGTGAGGAGCGGGTAGAGGCGGATAGGAGTGGTAAGGAGCTGGTAGGGGCGGATAGTAGTGGTTAGGAACGGATTCTGGAGCACGGGCTGCAGCTGCTGCGCTCGCTGCAGATGCGGAGGCAGGTGCTGCGCTTGCTGCCGCTGCACGCGCGTGGCTGCGGCTGCTGCAGGGCGTGCGTGCGAGTGGCTGCAGAGGAGTGTGCAGCTGCTGCTGAAACCGTGCGTGCAATGGCTGCTGCGTGCGCGAGAGGCTGCTGCTCGCACGCGTGCAGTGACGTGCGTGCTCGCGGCTGCTGCAGCGCGTGCGGCTGCTGCAACGCGTGCGGCTGCTGCTGCGCGTGTTGACGCTGCTGTGCGCGCGTGGCGAGCGTGCGTGCGGACGGCAGCTGCAGTGCGCGGCTGCTATTCGTACTGCTGGCGCACGTGCACCCGCGTGCGCGTGCGCTGCTGCATATGCGTGGCTGCGCGCGCGTGCGACCGTGCGAGCTAGGGGGGGGCGCGCGGGCTGCGCGCGAGGGTAAGGGGCAGGGTGGGGCGCGGACGGGTAAGGAGCGTGACGACGGGGCAGGCTAGGGGCGGGGCCTGCGAACGGACAGGGCGCGGCCTGCTAAGGGGACGGGGCACGACGTGCTAAGGGGCGGGGCGATTCGGGGCTAGGCTAGGAAGTCACCTACTCATGATACCATCTTAAGAACCTACTTGCTTGAGTAGCGAGAGAATGGGGATGCTAGGTCAAAGGGAGGGATACAACCAAAGTGTCGAGAAAGTTTTGTACCCCCTAACATCCAACTCACTATAGCATATCTAACTCTATAAACATAGTTTGACACTAGCTTCTCTATCTCCATTCACTGCCTGACCACGCCTACATGCACCCAGGATTGAAATGCACAGCACCAGGATGACAGCAGAGAGCAGAAGAAACACGAGGGACGGTGATGGCTGCAAGAGAAACACTTGTCGGCACAGTGAAGATAGAGTTCTGGAGGAGGCAGAGCTGACGGAGACAGATTCCACCCACCGCTGCACGGGTCTCTCTCCCATCCATCTCTCCACCAGTAGCTGAGTCCTGCTGGCAAAGGGCTGCAACGCAACACCTTCCACTGCTTCCCTGCTGCTTGACCTGACTGGGTTCTCCAGCTACCAGTACGTCCTCCTCTTCAGCTTCGACCCATTCGCCCAGGACCTCTTCCTCCTCATCCTCTGCGTCATCATCTATACTGTCGTCTCTGTTATCCAGCGTGGATTGGTCTTCCTGCTGCTGATGCCCCTGTCCCTGGAGCTGTTGAAGCTTTCCCATAGATGACCATTGCTGCTGCTGCCAATGCAACAGTTGTTGCTGCTGCCGTAGTAACCACTGAAACAGCCCAATGACCAGCTTTCTTACAGCAGCAACGGCTCTAAGCACCCACTGCATCCCGGCACAGAAAGCCATAGTTGGGTTAGCATCAGCTCTGGCTTTAGCAGGGAGGTTGATGCTTTGGCCTGGAACCAGCTTGCCAAGCCTCAGGCCCGGGTTGGCTCGGGAGAGGTCCGTCAGAGAGACTCCATACCTGCGAGCTATCAGCGCTCCCCATTCTCCTTTCTGCACCACGTGCCTTTCTGTGCCGCACTGCAGAAGCAACCTTCCCAGCCCTGGTAACTTGCTTGCCAGTGGGAAGGCCACCACTGGACTTCCACTAGAACCATCCCCACGCGTCTGCATAATGCAAGGCGCCTGAGTATACAAGCCTGGGCCCTTGCTCCAAGTACCGCCAGCGCTTTCATTCTTAAATTCCATGCTGTTCCCTTGATTAGAAGCTTCCTCAACCTCAGTTACCTTAACCTGGGAGTTCCAGGTCACCAGGGCGGCAGAAGGGGTAATTTCTGGGGTTACCCCTCGGGTTACCATGGTGGCCGGCCCGACCACCCGCACCTGGGCGCCGGTAGCAGCGGCCTCGTACAGGTCCCACTCGTCCGCTGGAAACAACCCCAATTTTCCAGGAAAGTCACTGGCGATGCTCTTGCTGCTCTCGCTCCTCTTGCCGCTCCCGTTGCTCGCAGTACTGCTCCTGGTGCTGTTCTCGCGGATTTTGCTGCTTCCCATGCTCAACATGAGATATTTCTGGTCCGAAGGCGGTGTCTGTGAGACTTGATGCAGGTTTCTACGGCAGCCATCGAATCTCGGAGTTATTGGCTCGATATCAATCGATTTCCCTGCTGCTGATGGACCATGGCCCAATGAGGAGCTTTTGTGTTTGTATGGGATGATCCGTAAGTGCTGGGTCGTGCGATAAGAGGTTTTGAGAATGATAACTGGCCTGTCGAATAGACCTGCTCCTTTTGGCTGGAGCGAAGTTGCAAGTAATAGGCTGGGCGGAGCTTGTACAGGCGGTAGTAGCCATGGACCCATATTTCCCACACACGAAGGCCAGGGGCATCTACAATATCCAGAAAATCGATTTTACTGCCAGAAGAAACGATTTTACTGCTCTCCGTCTCGTTGGATATTAACTAAACGGCTTGATGAGATTGAGGAAACCACGAGTTAGGATTGAAGGAAGCTCAAAAGTCTGACCAACGCATGCAGAAGAGGTGCTGCTGTTGTGTGTGTGATAGATGGGTTTGAGGTGAAACAATTCAGTAGACAGGCATTTCGTGTTGGATGGAAGTTGGTTTGATGTGTGATTGAGCACATTGCGACTCGAGTCCTGCAATGTGATGGATTGTGGGGAGCGGAGTTGAACAGCTGAAGCGCGAACTGCGGAAGGCCAGGATAGGTTCGTTGAAAGGGGGTTGATGTGATGGACGTCTCAGATCTCAGCGAAGACTCCAAACATCAAATACTGTATTTGTTTAGAGTGATTCGATAATGACAGAATTACTTTTCGCAGACAACGAGGTACAGTTATGGACACTTACAAAATCCCCCACACCTTCAGGTCATCATGCCTACAAAAGCTCCCTAAACTCATTTGCCTTGTTACTAAAGAGCTCTACAGATTCCTAGCCTTCCGGCACCAGTAATTCTCGCGTAGCCTTCCCACGCAAGTGGTTCTCGCGAGAAGCTTCTGTTTCGGCAGCGGACGAATCTATGGCGAATACGCTCTGCTGTCGAGGTCCTCTTTTAAGGAGTCTCTCGGGGTACGTTCCCCTCGCCGTACGCAGCTCATTCCAGTTTCCGCTATCACCGTCTGTTCCTTAAATCGGTGCAGCATTCACAGGTTAATTTACTACCGTTATCGTTCCGTTGCTTTCTCCTCGTTAATCTTAGCTCCGTCGTTGAGTCCTCCACGTGGCAGGCTCCAACTGGGTAATCAGTTGCGATGGGAGACAACGGTGACTAACATTCTCAACCGCAGATTACCCTCTCGGACCGCACTAAATGCTGCTGCATCGCCGCGCTCTAATCGATCCTTAAAGTCACATACCACGCGTTGCGAGGCTGCAGAGAGTTTCGACGGCTCCAAATCGGAAGCGGGAGCCAATCCACGGCTCTCCGTGTTCGGATCACCCCGTCCTTCCATTCTACAAAATTCTTCTGGTTTGTTTCCGTCGCCGCTCTGGGCTGTCGATGAATGCGCGTGTTACACCTCCCTCAACCCCCTCACCCTCCCCCTCCCCCCCCCCCCCCCCCACCCCGCTCAACCCCTTCACCCCGGCACCCCCCTAATTTTGCTTGTTTATAAGCGCCCGTGTTTTTTGTTTTATATGTGATCTTTCCCTCCTGTTCCAATTACCTCCTGTTGTCCAATTACCCGCGCACATCCTCTCACCGGCACGCATCCTCCCATCCGTCTCCACCCCCCCTTTGCACCCGTCTTCATCATCCCCTCCGTCTCGAATTTCCTTTTCCTCCGTCCTCCCTCCCTTCTCTCCCGCCCTCAGCTCACACCCCTCGGCACATCGCGAGGGCGCGCAGGGGGTTCCTTTCCGAGCTGCAATCAATCAAAGACGAGGAAAACGTCGGTCAGTGCTGCTCCTGTAGCTCGTCTGTCTGTAGTATGCTGTTTATGCATGCGAGGTGCCTTTTGAGTCGGCTGAAAGGTCTTCTCTTTGAGTTGCGATCAATTAAAGACGAAGAGAACGTTGGTCAGTGCCGCTGCTATCGCTCGTCTGTCTATGATCTGCTGCTCATCCACCCTCTATCCATCGTTACTATGCATACTGCAGGCCAATACCTATGTTTCCGCTCATTTTCTCTGAATTGATCCTGCTTCCCATGGCCACCCCATGAATCGAGTGACCCCTTCCCTCATTCCCTATTCCCCAATTTGTCTCTTCATCCACTTGTTCAGCGGGCCCCATATCGTATGAGTCACCGCTAGACATAGTGCTGCAACCCACACCGCCCTCGTTGCCCCCATCCCATCTCCGTCCACCCTCACCTTTCTTCCCATTCACCCATGCAGCGGGGCCCATATTGTATGAGTCACCGCTAGACATAGTGCCACCCCTTCCCCGCTCATTCCCCCCACCCCACCCCTCAATGTTTCTTCCCATCCACCTGTGCAGCGGGCCCCATTACTTTTGAGTCACCGCTGGACATAGTGCTGTACCCGGACCCGCGCTTGAGGGCGCCCAACAAGCGCGTGAACGTCTTTGATGAGTCGCTGCAGAAGCTTGTAGCGGAGATGTTTGATGTCATGTACAGGTGAGAGCGTGTCATGTCATGTACAGGTGAGCGTGCCATGTACAGGTGAGAGCGTGTCATGTCATGTACAGGTGAGCGTGTCATGTCGTGTACAGGTGAGCGTCTCATGTACAGCTGTACGGGTGAGCGTGTCATGTCATAATGTCATGTACAGGTGAGCGTGTCATGTACAGCTGTAGGGGTGAGCGTGTCATGTCATGTACAAGTGAGCGTGTCATGTACAGGTGAGCGTGTCATGTACAGGTGAGCGTGTCATGTCATGTACAAGTGAGCGTGTCATGTACAGGTGCGCGTGTCATGTACAGGTGAGTGTCATGTACAGGTGAGCGTGTCATGTACAGGTGAGCGTGTCATGTACAGGTGAGCGTGTCATGTCATGTACAAGTGAGTGTGTCATGTACAAGTGAGCGTGTCATGTACAGGTGAGCGTGTCATGTACAGGTGAGCGTGTCATGTACAGGTGAGCGTGTCTATCATGTACAGTCGGGGGGGTCATGTCGTGTACAGGTGAAGGTGTCATGACAGGTGAGGATCCCTCTCCCACTCCCCCCCTCTTCCCCCCTCTCTCCCCCACCCCTGTCTCCCCCCTCCCCATCCCCCCCCTCCCCGCGCTCCGCCTCCCCGTCTCCCCCCGCACGTGTCCCACATGCCATCAGGACGGAGGGAGTGGGGCTGTCAGCGCCACAGGTGGGGGTGAACGCGAGGCTGATGGTGTACAACCCGGTGGGTGAGAGGGGCAAGGGCGTGGAGATGGTGCTGGTGAATCCACGCATTGTCAAGTACGCCAAGGCACGGGACGTCATCGAGGAGGGGTGCCTCTCCTTCCCTAAGATCTATGCTGATGTCGAGGTGAGTGTGTTGGTTTTAGGAATTCTGCAGAAGTGGATGTAGTTTTTGTCTGTGTCGTTTATGCTGGTGTGAGTAGAATGAAGCCTGATTGCTTTCGCGTGTGTTTGTTTGTTGGTTTCTACTATCTACTCTGTTTGCAGCGGCCACTGGGTGTGAAGGTGGATGCTCAGGATATCAACGGTCGGAAATTCAGCATCAGTCTGAAAGAATGGCAAGCACGCATCTTCCAACATGAGTACGACCACCTGGAGGTATGCCTTAAGACTCAGCACATGGGGCCCTTCATTCTCTTTTTGTGTGAGCTGAAGAGCAAAAGAGTTTTGTGCCTGATAAAGGCGAAGTTGGCTGAAAGTGTTACTTGCTGTTGTTTGTTGTGTTCTCAGGGGACCCTTTACTTTGATCGAATGACCCCAGAAGTTCTCGACACTATTCGCAGCAAGCTCATTGTAAGTATTCGATTCTCGCTTGCATCTTTGTTGTTTGTTCACTAGAGCGATTTGCATTAAAATATGGGATGAATCTATTGTTTGCTACAGGAGCTGGAAGACAAATATGCCGAAGCCACTGGTGCTCCTCCGCCCGAGTCTGTTGCAAAAAGACCAGTTGCTGACAAGGCTGCAGAGGCTGTTTCTTCATGAATTTCTGAACTGTACCTGTGTCCCAAACCAGAAGTATAGTTGAATAAATGTCATGTTTGTCATTTATAAGAGCTTTCTGGACGAACAAAATGTACTGCGCGTATTCTGCCAATCAGAATGTGGGGCTTGAAATTTCCGTCATTCAAACCAAACTGGTCAATACTCAAAACGCCGACTGTGCCTCACAAACCTTCGAGCTTGCAGGCTGTTATTACCTAGGCCAATTTTGCAGGAGTTGTCCGCCATTTCCATTCTCCTTCAACAGACAGACTTATTATTTTGCCCGTCCGCGTTCCCTCCGTAAGAATGGGTCCAGACGAGCGTCGCGTGGGAAAGCGCGACGACGAGGAGGCGGAGCGGCGAGGCGAGGAGGACCCGTGGGACGACGACGAGTCGAGCGACGAGGAGGAGGGCGACGATCGGCGAAAGTGGAAGCGAAACATGCCGTTGCTGTACGACTGGTTCGCCAACCACCACCTCGTCTGGCCGTCGCTCTCGTGCAGGTTCGGACCAAGCCAGAGCTTTTTGCATAATAGCCCTTGTTTGTGGTATGACAACGTAATAGGCTTTCTTACAAGGCGTTTTCCGTTCATTAAGACTCCCTGTTCCCGTAATGGCGACCCCTAATTTTGCTCACCCTGATAGCTTCTTTGAAAGCTCTCCGCCTTCTCTTTTCGCATGCGCATGTGCTGTTTTCGCGTGTGCGTGTGTTTTTTTCGCATGCGCGTGTGACGGCAGGTGGGGTCCGTTGGTGGAGGACCGCACGCATAAGTACAAGCGACGCCTCTACCTCTCCGAGCAGGTATGTCCCTTTTTTAGGGCTACGTGCATCACACCATAGCTTTAGTCAAGAGCATTCTGTTGCCTGGACGGCTTGGCGACGCTTAAACGCGCGACGCTTGAGAATAACGTGCAGCTAACGTCCGTGCGTTCATTCTTAGCGACATTGCTCCAGACAATAGCATGCCCATCCTCGCTCTCATTCGGCGTCCCAAACCGGAATCTCTAACTTCCTTCGTTTTTCTGAACCCCCATCATCAGACGGACGGCACAATGCCTAACACTCTTGTGGTCTCCAACGCGTATGTTGTGAAACCTCGTGTTGCTGCCCCACGGGACATCTGCCGGGTACGCTGTACTGTGATGGTGCATGCATGACATGGCAATGATAGTGCATGCATGGATTGTGCATGCATCGTGTGACAGTGGTGATGCATGCATGGCTGGGTGGCGCATAACTATGCTTTGATTGACTGAAAAAGCTGCATGTCCTCTCGGTCTCACGTTTGCAAGCCCTATAAAGCGAGTGCAAGTACATTCGACAGATGGACCGAAACAACTCATTTTGTCGTCTTACTCTCTCTCTCTCTCTCTGCCCCCTTACTCCTTTCCCCGACCCCCCGCCCCCCCCTTGGCCCATGGCAGTTCAAGTACGACAGGCGATCGCCCTTTGTGCGCAAGTTCAAAACGATCGTGCATCCGGGCGAGGTGAATCGCATCCGAGAGCTGGTGCAGAACCGCAACATCATATTCACACACACCGACAGCCCCGACGTGCTCATGTGGCACGTGGAACGGCATCCCTTCTGCACTCCTTCCTTCAACACCCCCACCTCTACTCCTGACCTGGTACGTGGCATCGGGTCAAGTCAAAAGAGATCACCGAATGGTATGAGAGCGAGAGCTGGTGCAGAACCGCAACATCATCTTCACACACACCGACAGCCCTGATGTGCTCATGTGGCACGTGAAACGCCATCCCTTCTGCACTCCTTCCTTCAACATGCCTGCCTCAACGCCCGACCTGGTATGTTTGTCTCAATGGGTCGATCCATAGTTGATTGGTGCATGGTGCATGGTACGAGAGGTGCTGCGTGCACCCATGCCCCACCCTTCCTCAACCATGGCGAACTGTCTGCACTCCTTGTACACCCATGCCCCACTCTCTCACTCCGCCGCACCCTCCCTCTCCCGCTCAGATCCTGGTGGGGCACACGAACGATGCCGAGTTTGCAATGGGTGCATGCTCTCCATACTTCCCTCCCTCCCTGTCGCTCCTCCCCCCCTCTCCCGCACCTACGCCTGTCAGATCCTGGTGGGGCACACGGAGGATGCGGAGTTTGCCATGGCGACCAGCCCGGTGGCCCCGCTGGTGATCAGCGGGGGCAAGGACCACAACGTGCTGCTTTGGAACGTGGCGGACCATGTCACGTCGCTGCAGGTGAGGCATGGTTATCAAATCTTGGGTTAAACAGGTCTCGTTGAAGCGACTGGATACCAGCTCGTGCTGGTGATCAGCGGGGGCAAGGACCACAACGTGCTGCTCTGGAACGTGGCTGATCATGTCACATCGCTGCAGGTGAGGCATGGTTATCAAATCTTGGGTTAAACAGGTCTCGTTGAAGCGACTGGATACCAGCTCGTGCTGGTGATCAGCGGGGGCAAGGACCACAACGTGCTGCTCTGGAACGTGGCTGATCATGTCACATCGCTGCAGGTGAGCCACTTGCAGGTCATTGAGGCGTCTCAAATGCAGATCCTGCTGGTTTTGTATGTTCTGAGCGCTTGAAAAACACCCTGCTGGTGATCAGCGGCAGCCAGCAAGGATAAGAATGTGCTGCTCTGGAATGTTGAGAATTATCTCTATAAGGCAGCAGCATCTCATCGCTGCAGATGAGCCACTAGGCCATGCTGTGCTGGATCCCGTGCCCCTCTTGCCCTTACCTTCCCTGCGCCTTTGAACCTCCCCTTGTCCTTCCCTTCCCCGTCACTGCAGTCATCTGCAGCCCTCCGCAAGCCCCACCCTGCTGCCAAGCCGAAAGCCAAGGCAGCTGCTGCTTCCTCCGCGCCTTCCCGCGCTGGCCCCTCTGCCCCCCTTTCCTCCCGCGCCCGTGCTGACTCCCCTGCCCGTAGCAGGGGGAGAGGCGGAGGCGGGGGAGTGGGTGGGGATGGGGATGGGGGAAGCGCGGCAGGGGAAGCTGAGAAGAAACGGAAGCGGGAGGAAGGTTTGGTGAAGGGAGAGGAAACGAAGGAAGGGGAGAAGGAGGATGGTGGAGGGGAGGGGGAGAAGAGAGTCAGAGGATCGGAGGGGGCTGAAGTGGGGAGCGGTAAGAAAGAGGAGAAAGAAGAGGAGGGAAATGAGGGAGGGGCGGGCAAGCAGGAGGAGGCGAAAAGGGAGAATGGGGAGAAGGAGGAGAAGCCGGAGGAAGATACAGTGGAGGAGGGAGAGAAGAAGGGAGTGAAGAAAGAGGAGGGGAAAGAGAAGGGGGAGGATGGGGAAGAGAAGGAAGGGGAGGAGAAAGAAAATGAGGGGGAGGGAAAAGAGAAGGAGGGGGAGGGGAAAGAAAAGGAGGGTGAGGGAAAAGAGAAGGAAGAGGGTACGAAGGTAGAGGAGGAGTCTAAGGAGAAAGGTACTGAGGGAGAGGAGAAGGTTGTAGAAGGTGAAGGGAAAGCAGAGGAGGGGGCAGAGACGAAAGAAGATGCAGAGGGGAAAAAAGGTTCAGAAGCGAAAGAGGAAGCAGAAGAAAAAGTGGGGTCAGAACCCAAAGCGGCGGACAAAAAAGAAGAGGGGGCAGAGGCGAAAGAGGGGGGAGGGGCAGGAGAGGAGGCTAAGGCACAACCCGCAGGAGCAGATGCTGATGTGGTAATGGCCGATGCTGATGGTGCTGCTGCTACAGCTGCCACTGCTGCTGCTGATGCTACTGCTGCTGATGCTTCTGATGCTGATGCTGGTAAGGATGCCGTCGCCGTCAGTGGTGTTGCTGATGCTGATGATGCTTCTGTGGCTGGTGCAAAGGTGGAGGAAGAGGCAGGGAGCGATGATAAGACAGGGAAAGGTGAGGAGGAATCTGAAGCAGTGAAGGCAGCCGAGACAGGGGAGAAGGAGAAGACAGAAAAGGAGGAGAAGGTAGAGGGGGACGTAGGGAGAGAGGAGGCGGGAAGGGGAGGGGAATTGGCAGGGAGCAAGGATGAAGAAGAAAAGAAAGAGGGTGGTGGTGATGCTGAGAAACCTGCCTCCGCTGCTCCTGCTGGTGCGGATGCAGATAAACCTGCAGAGGCAGGAAAAGAGAGTGAGGGCATGGAATTGGATAAGACAGGGGGAGAGGAGGGTGAGGGAGTGAGGAAGGGTGATGCGGCAGAGAGTGATAAGGCAGGTGGGAAGGAGGGTGCAGAAGGGAAGGAGGATGGTCAGGCAGGGAAGGGTAACGCAGGGGGGGATGAGGGCGTGGAAGCTGGGGACGAGAGTAAGGAGGTGGAAGAGGAGCAAGCGGTTGAGGAGAAGAAAGAGGGGGAGAGCAAGGAGGGAAGACCGATCACAAAAAAAGATGGAACAACTGACGGGGCACCAACGGGAATGGTCATTGACGAGGCAACTGGTGGTGGTGGTGGTGGTGGTGGTGGTGGTGGTGGTGCTCCTCCTGGCGATGATGAAGCAGAGGCGGATGCAGACGGTGCAGGCAAGCCCACTGTTGCAACCCGATCCTCCTCCCGCTCCCCTCCACTCAACCTCGGATCCGCCGCGAAATCCACCAGCCTGGCCCCCCGCGGGATGTTCAAGGGCCACACAGCAACCGTAGAAGACGTGTGCTTCCACCCCTCGCACTCCCAGCAGTTCTGCTCCGTTGGCGACGACTCGAGACTGCTGCTGTGGGACGCACGGACTGGCGGAGAGAAGGGCCCGTGTCAGAGGGTGGAGAAAGCGCATGATAGTGACGTTCACTGTGTGGATTGGAACGGGCGGAACGAGCATATGGTGGTGACGGGGGGTGCGGATAAGAGCGTGAGGCTGTTTGATGTGAGGAAGCTCGGGGGAGGGCCGGTGGGGAAGGCGGAGGGGGAGGCGAGGGGGAAGGCGGAGGGGGAGGCGAGGGGGAAGGCGAAGGCTACGCATGCGTTCCGCGGAGGGCACCAGGCAGCTGTGCTGTCCGTGCAGGTGAGTGGTGCTGTGGTGTGGTGAGTGGTGCAGCTGGTGTGGTGTGAGTGGTGCTTGGAGGAAGGCGGAGGGGGAAGGCGAAGGCTACGCATGCGTTCCGCGGAGGGCACCAGGCAGCTGTGCTGTCCGTGCAGGTGAGCGGTGCACTTGGTACGGTGAGTGGTGCTTGGAGTGGTTGTGATTTGACAACCCTTCCCTGCGTGTACGCCTGCAGTGGTGTCTCGACAGCTCCACGGTGTTTGCCAGCTGTGCAGAGGACGGGCTGGTCAACATCTGGAGCTGCAGATTCTCCTGCGTCTGGAGCTGCTGCCCTGCGACCCCCCCTCGCACCCCCCTCGTGTCGCACTTCGGCTCTTGAGAATTTCTACATTCCCCACCACCCACACACCCCACCACCATCTCCCACGTCAGCCACGAGTTTCAAATCCTCCCGCGTCTGTAGCTGCTCCCCTGCGACCTTTCTATCCTTGCTGCATCTCCTGTTTCCTTGTCTCTTCAAATGCAATCCTCTCGTTGAGCCAAAGCATCAAGCCACAGACCCCTTTTCTTGGGTAAACCCCCCCAGGTAACAGCAGGTATTCTCTCAGGTTAGGCCTCCCTAGGTGTGTATTCTTACAATGATTATTCCTAGTCACCACTTTCCACCCCTCTTGATCGCTTCACCTACTGTATGTGTGCAGTGGTGTCCCGACAGCCCCACGGTATTCGCCAGCTGTGCAGAGGACGGCCTGGTCAACATCTGCCCACGATTAATTTTCCCTCTCACCGCTTTCCACCTCTTCCCCTGCTGTATGTATGCAGTGGTGTCCCGACAGCCCCACTGTGTTTGCCAGCTGTGCAGAGGACGGGCTGGTCAACATCTGGGACTGCTCCCTGGTGAGTTGACTCGCACCACACAGGTGCCTCTGATGCTGGTGGTGCCATGCTGGGGCTTGCAGTTGTTATTTGTAGACAGCCCCACGGTGTTCGCCAGCTGTGCAGAGGACGGGCTGGTCAACATCTGGGACTGCTCCCTGGTGAGTTGACTCGCACCACACATGCTCCCCTGTAGGTTTTTCGAGGTGACTTTTGAGTCGACTCAAAGGTCACCCCGCTGTGCAGAGGACGGTCTGGTCAACATCTGGGACTGCTCTCTGGTGAGTCGCACCACAGCCGTCCCTCATGGTGTTCTCTCCTCATTACAAACCCCTGCCCCCTTCCCCATTGCTCACCACCCCAACCGCCCCCGTCCACCCTCCTCACCACCGCAAACCTCTTTTCCCTGTGCCTTCCCTGTGCCCCCTGTGTCCCCTTCCGCCCCTGTGCACCCCTGTGCACCCCTGTGCACCCCTGTGCACCCCTGTGCACCCCTCTGCGCCCCTCTGCACCCCTTTGTGCCCATCAGTTGCATGTGGAGGCGGTGAAGTCGTCTCGAGCTGACGGAGTGCCGCCTGGTCTGCTCTTCCAACACGTGGGCCACCAGTGAGTGCTGCCCTCATGCCTCCTCCCCTTATGACTTCTGCCCTGCATCCTCCTGCCTGTTTCTGTTGTCTGCAAGTTTTCTGTATTTTTTTAGCCCCCCCCTTCCCCCTCCTCCCCCCTCCCGCGTTTTTTTAATTTGACTAAAACAAGTGTCTGTTTTCCTTCTTTCCTTCAATCCATGCAGGGATCGAGTGATTGAGTTCCAGTGGGCACCAAAGGACCCATGGACGTTTGCGAGTGTGTCAAGCAACGTGAACAAGCGAAGGGGAGGAGGCACGCTGCAGGTGAGCACTGATAGCTCGGGGTGAAGGCTTTTGTGTAGTGAATGTTTATTTTTTCAATGGCATTCTTGACAAATTTGATCTGCTTTATTTATTGCTGGACGGTTTGTGCAGATGTGGCGAGTTTTGGACCTCATCTACCGCCCGGCTAAAGACGTGGTTATTGACCTCAACCGTTACGTTTAGTAACCCCTAACTGTAGCATAAGAACACTAATATGCTGCTGGTGTAGACTTCCAGCTTTACGCTGGAAACCTAGGCTATTAGAGTCCCTAACATAGAAGGGCCGCATTTTTTCCCCCAATTCGGGCCCTGGATTTAGTGAAAGTTGGAATTGTTCCCAATGTTGTTCTAATTCAATAAAGGGGATCTAATTGACCTAAGGAAGGGTCCAGCTCGTTCATTTACTGTTCGTAAAGCCCTTCAGTTACCAGATTTTGCGTTGTAACACTGAATTTCACAAAAATGCCAGACACGATCAGCTCCCGTTCACGATACGGCACACCCCCTGCACGTACCTCGAATCGTGTGACGCACGTTACAGAAATCAACGTGCGCATCGAACAATGGTACAGAGCCGTGTCCTGCCCACTACAGTGAGTGCCCATCGTATCGCGCGCTCGATTTCGCCAGTGCAGCCTGACACGCGCCAAAACCAGTAGTGGAAGTGTTGGCTTGGCGAAAATTCCAATGCTTTGGTTGACGAGGGAACCGGTTACCTCGTTTCAATAGGCCACTGCACTGTTGAAGTCTGTGTGGGGGGAATGTGTCCGCGCGCTAGAATTGACAAAAAGGGTGCACGCGACGCAGGTCGTATTCGATTATAGGTACAGTGATCAGTTTTGAACCCCGGATCGTGAGGAGGTACTAAATTTCCCGAAATGAACGAGCTGGACACACCCTAAACACAACACCAGAAACCTTCAACCCTGAACCATCTCGGTTCACAATACCTTAGTTTCTGGCATGTCGATTCGTTCCGACTTTTTCCCGTTCCTCCACCACACAACTCTATCGTCGCGTCGCTCGTTTCTGCGAATATACCGCGCGAGGAACTTAACTCCTGGATAGTTACCTTATGCTTCAGGCGGCATGGCGATGAGTATGGACATGGTGTTGCCGGGAACCGTGCTTCACACGGACCTTGCCCAGGAGCTCGCCTCGCGGGGGTTTGTCGATAACCTTCGCCCGCCCATGGCGGCGGCCGCGGAGCTGCTTAGCGCTGTCGGAAGAAGCGGAGAAGACAGTAACGAGGATGACGACGTGGAGCTCTGGCTCGTGCAAATGCCAGACGCCAAAAGTGTACGCGCTAAGATCTTCACCGCATTTTTATTTCACATATACAATACCTGCCCCACATGACCTATGATTTCTTACATGTTGGTATGCTGGACCGCTTTTTCCTCCTCCAGTCTCCCGTTTTGTCCCTTTTCTTTCACCTCTTCCGCTGAGCTTCCCCCATCTCCCGTCTCCGCGCAGTTGGACCTCCGCGCTCTAGACGGCGCGCAGTTGCACGTACAGGCGGGCGCACGGGGGGAAGCGGGGGCACAGGCGGACGGTCGGAGGGTGGAGGTGTGCCGGTTTGCGCCACCAGGGGCAGCGGCCGCGGGGCGAGGCGCAGCAGGGGGGAAGGGATTTGTCTGGGGAGGCCAGCCAATTACGGTGAGGCTCTTGGGGACCTCGGTAAGAGATGCGAGCCGAAATAAGGGGATGGGGAAAAGGGAGGGGGAGTTGGAATAGAAAGGGAAAGGGGAGGGGCCATGTGCGGGGATGTGGCAGGGTAGGTTAAGTTCCACGGGACAGCGCGTGAATCACTTCTGAAAAAACTCAAGTGATTCTCAAAAGTGATTCTCAGAAGTGATTCGGACAAATACTGCTGACCAGCCCATGCGTGTCACCGAATGTGATACTGATTGGGCCAAACGTGAACACCACCATCGAGCTTTTCACACACCGTGCCAAGTGTGTGCATACACGTGCCTCGGTCTCATTCTGTACCCCTCTGCCCCCTCGCTCCTCACTCTGTGCTGCTGCGCCCCCGTTCTCTCAATCTCTCACTGTGTACTCCTATGCCCCCTTCTCTCCCTCTCTCTCTCACCCTCCCAGGAGCTCGCACTCGTGTCAGACCCACTGCCCCGTGGGAATCTGGTGGCGGTTCTGCCTGGCTGTGACGGCCGCCCTCCCATAGGTATGCCTGCCAATGAGTCACTGGTGGGGGCATGTGTGTGACTGGGGCATGTGTGTGACTGGGGCATGTGTGTGACTGGGGTATGTGTGTGACTGGGGCATGTGTGTGACTGGAGCATGTGTGTGACTGGGGCATGTGCGTCACTGGGGCATGTGTGTCACTGGGGCATGTGTGTCACTGGGGCATGTGTCTCACTGGGGCATGTGTGTCACTGGTGGCTCTTCTGCCTGGCTGCGACGGCCGCGCTCCCATAGGTATGCCTGCTTCTGGTTTACTGGAGCATGTGTGCATGCTGTATGCGTTCGTGTTCACATTCTATTCTCCTTTGCATCCCTCCTCGCACTCGTTGCCTTCAGTACCTGACCTCGTCTTTCTCACTATTCTTTCCTTCCCTCCCCAACCCTTTCACCTTCCCCACCACCGCTTTCCCTGGCCCCGATTCCCTTTGTCGCCTGGTACCTTGTGCTCTTACCAGTGCGGCCAATCACTCGCTCCGTAACGTGTGTGTCTGCTGCTGCCGTGCCACAGCCTGAGTCCACTCCAACGCCCCCTCAAGGTGAGCTCGCTTCCTTACACAAGCACTGATTGACACTGCAAAGCAATGCGCTCTGTGTTGGTTATGTATTGACACATGAGTCTTTCTAGGGAAGGTGAATTTGCCTTGACAGATGTAAGCCACAGTAATTCTGTGCTGACTGGACTCACCTGCCAACTTCCTGCTCTACTCAATTCTCTTCTGTTTGCACTGAAATCTGGTATTCTTTCGCAGCTCAGCGTTTTGTGTTGTTTTTTGTCGCAGAATCTTTGTCTGCCAAGAAGAAAGGCAAGCAAAAGAAGCTTGCTGATAAGGCGGAAGTACCACCGGTAGGAGAGAAGGGTGAGACTCCCAGAATGAAGAAGAAAAAGCGGAAATCAGATGTTGATGGAGATGGTAGTGGTAAGAAGTCAAAATAGAAGATGGAATGGAAGCTTGATTGACATCATGTGAACATATACGATCACTGTATATGTTTCCTAACGTAAATTTGTCTAGAGTAGAAAGGTGATGCCTCATCCCAGGCATAACCTAGCTTTGGACAAGCTGCTAAATATGAAATATGGGTAGTTTCTCAGATAAGGGAAGCTTATCAATAAGTGGGATTTTTAAGAGCTCGTTACTGTAGTGCATAAATCCAAGTGCCGTCTTCGTCCTCATGCGCACTGTTCCCTCGGGAGTTGGGACTCGAGACCATCGGCCCCTTCGCAAATGCGAGCCAACTTCAAGGAACGAAGTAATAGCGACAATCCCGAGGAACGAAAGTTTTGCTCTGGGAATCCCGCGCACAGCACAGCATAACAAAGCATTCTCACGTATCATTCCATCCTGAAAAGAGGTTTGTAGCTCCAGCTTACACAGCCGTCAATGAAAGATGTCGTTGGCTCACTGGTGCTAGCCTGACAGTTCGATAATCACCGTGCCATTGTTCTGAGCAGTCATTTATGTCAAGGAATGTAAGAAAGTAGTATGTGTAGTTCGTTGCAGGAAATATGGAGTTTCCAATGTCTAGCTGTTGATGACGAGATTCTTCAGTTGGTCATCCTCAGTATCGTCGCCGGCGCCGCTGACTATCAATGAATCTAGCAGGACTGCAAGCCGCGCCGAGGTTCCTGTGCCTCTGAAAACGAGTCCGAGGGAATCAGACGATCGCTAAGGATCGTGCGTAGACTCTAACAGTCCACCGCTTAAAAAACTGAAGATCAGGACTATCTGTTCAACGTGTCGGGTCACAGCGGGTTTAATTCAGGACAAACCCGTCGCCTATTTTTGACGCACCTAAAGGATAAAGCTGTTCAGACTCCCACGAGGATTCGAGCGGTCTCGTGGAGCAGACTGACTCTGAGCCGTGCATTTTCTAAAATAAGCCTGAAAGCCTAAGCTCACGGCGGGTTTGACCGGATCGCAGCATTTCCAGGATGAACCGGTCTTGTAGCGATGGGACCTTTAACGCTGTTCGCAGTATCGACGGCATTGGCGAAATCTCCTTCGCGAAGGATCGCGACGTCACCAGCATCTCTTCGGCTCCTGACAACCCCTCTCCTGCTGCTTCTAATAATGTTGCGAAGGCAATTAGCGAAGGAATGTGCGAACCAGGCTTTCGTTCTCAGTCCCTCGCAGCCTCACCGTCCTTCTCAATTAACTTCGCAAATGATTCCAATAATCCTATCCCTCTCCCCTCAGTTGCGGCCACTGATACGACAGCGAAGCAGGATCACATGCTTTTTCCAAAAGAGGGTTTTGATCCCATTTCATTCGAACCAGCCGTGCCGACGCACGACATGGAAAGCATCTGTACTCCAAGGGTCTCGTTAGCCTTGCCCAAGAGCGAGCGCGCGTTGACGAGCTTGCCAGAATCTGTCGTTATCGCTGACAGTTTCGGTTCCCCGTCTGGCGTGACTGAGCGTCCGCTAGCGGCAACAGCATCAGACCCTCTCATCAACGCTTCAGGCAGACACATACCCTTCCATTTTACCCTCTCAGATAGCAACTTGCCTTCCCTGTCTTCATCTGCGAAAGATTCCTCTGCTGCTGATTCTGTTGCTGTTCCTGCAGAAGCTGTGACAGCACCTGTTCACTCTACGAAGGAAGGTTCCCCTGTTCAAGTTTCTGACGTCCCCCACAGCGATTCTGCAAGCGCCTATGGTTTTCTGGAAGGCAGGAGCAAAGTAATATATCAGAAGTTCATTCCGATATCTACTGATGCGGACACAATCGACGGCTCTCAATCACCCTCGCCCAGGCCGGACATCTCGCATCCGCGTCGCCTGCACCACAGCGGGCCAGTCGTCATTGGTAACCGGAAAAAGGCTCTCTTCGCTGCTGCTCTCGAGGCAAGGGAGGCGAAGAGGAGCGGCGCCGCGGATGGGGCTGTTGATGCTGACGCTGATGCTACTGCTGGTGCTGCTAGTGCGGTTGCTGCTGCTGCTGGTGCTGCAGAGGAGTTAGTTTCTGCTGCTGGAACTGGAAGCTCTGGTGGCGCTTCTGTTGCTGGTGGCGCTTCTGTTGCTGGTGACGCTAATCCATTTGCTGCTGCTTCTGTCAGTGACAGCAGTGGTGCTGGTAGTGAGGCTGATGATGGTGGTCGCTGTGATGCTGCAGGTGCAGAAGCCGCGACTGCTAGCACCAGTAGTGTTGTTGCAAGTGCTGAAAGGAAGGGAGTAGGAGGGAGCGGGAGCCTTACCAGTGACCCGTTCCGGTTTCTGAAGAGGATTGGTAGGCGTCACTCAGCCGGCAAGTCTGAGGCCCTGACGCTGCGGGAAAGTGCAGCAGCTTATGTCATGTCTAAACCCCAGGGAACGGAGGAGGAACAGCAACGATCACAGCAGCAGTCGCCTCAGCAGTGGCACCACCGGTGGCAGCAGCAAGCTTCTACTCCCAGTGGCCCATTTGAGAATCCCAAACCGGGTGACTTACCCCAAATTCTCTCCACCACTCCGCCGTCACCCTCTCCCAGCCCCCTCACCTCTCCTCCCTGGTCGGCCAAGCCCCCGCACTCCCCCAAGCTAGGCACACATGTAACCTCGCCCCCATTACACACGAACCGTGCCATTAAGCGTGCCAGTAGTAATACTCAAGGACAGCGCACCACAGATGGCACACAGAGCGGGGTGCAGCAGCAGCAGCAGCAGCAGCAAGACGCGGGCATCATGGAGTACCCCTCATGTGCCTCAGAATCTGTGGTGGATCAGCGGCAGCAGCGGCCGCGGTCGCCTCAGCTGGGCTTCAGGTTCTTCTCCAAGCCACACAAGCGCTCCGGTAGCCGTGCCAGTGGTGCTGCTGCTGGTGCTGGCGGTGGTGACGGTGGTGGTGGCAATGACTGTGGTGTGGTTAGCAGCAGTGATAGCGTCACGAGTGACACTGCGAGCATTCTGCACAGGACGAGTAGTGACACTGCAGCAGAGCATATCAGGCACACGGTGTCCCCTCAGCCTGGCGGTGACTTGGTGGCCCTTGCTGTTGCCTGTGGAACCACCATAGACACACGTGGCTGGAGGGAGCAGCAGCAGCGCCAGTTTCAGAAGGATTTGCAGCAGCAGCAGCAGCAGCAGATTCAGCAGGAGTTGACATCTGAGGCCACCACAGGGCAATTGTCTCCTCCCAATCCCCTCTCCCCTCTGAGCGATGGCTCTTCCGACTCCTACTTTACCTCTCCTCCACATGCTTTGGATCGGTGCGTGACTGAACCGGGCCAACAGCCGTCAGCGCTCTCACCAACCCCAAATATGCACAGCAATGGCACAAAAGCAGAGGGGTTTGACGACGCGGAGGAGGGGGAGCGAGAGCAAGAGGAGGGGGCTGGGAAGGGGTTAGGTGCTGGAGTGATGCGGCTTCAGTCCAAAATCTCCAAGGCAGTGGACAAGAGAATGTCGGCTCGCGGGGGTGAAGCGGGCTTTACGTTTATGAGGGGCTTGAATGGGAGGCGCAGAGACAGGAAAGGAGGCTCTGGCGCAGCCTCTCAGGATTTTGGCAAAGGAGACAGCGAGGGAGGAGTTGGGGCAGGCGCAGGAGGAGGAGCAGGAGGAGGAGGAGGAGGGGTAGGAGGGGGGGGAGCAGGGGGGTTGCGCTTCCTGTCGCCTGGCATGGCTCGTAACCACAGTGTTCCAGTCGCCGCTAGTGAATCCGCACGCCCTCCCAAGCTGGATAAGGTTGTCTACGGCCCACCTGTGCGTGTCCCAGTCGATCCCAGCCGTCCAATCGCCCTGTCGATCCGTCCACGCCCTCGATCTGGGACCCTGCCCCAAGGGACCCCCATGGCAGCCGAACATGCCTGCTAGTTACCCTAGATTCTTCCATTTTCCTGGTTACAGATGATGGGATCAGGGTGTGGGATATCCAGCACGTGATGACTTCACAGGGAGCCTCGGGATTGGGAAACCCAAGGGGGGATGAAGAGGCAGCAGCGTTCTTCTGGGTGCCATTCGGGGCAGGTGTGTCTGCAGCCAAGAGCATTGCCGCGGATGTTAAGGGACGGATGGTGTTCACGGGGCACAGGGATGGACGGGTGCTGGTGTGGAGGGTGCGGGAGAGGGGAGCAGAGAGTGCGGATGCTGCAGCAGGAGGCGACGGAGCAGTGCAGGGTAGCAGCAGCAGCAGCATGGGGGAGCGAGGAGGATGGGGGGCGAAGGGTAGAGGGGGAGCACCGATGGGTAGGAACAACTCAGGTGTTGGGGCAGGGGAGAAGGAGCCTGGGTGGAAAGTATGGGCAGAACTCGTGGCAGAGTGGCAGGCACACGCCACCACTGTGACAGCCCTCGTAGTCACGTCACACGGCGAGCTCTGGTCTGCAGGGGACAGGGGGGTGATCAAGGCGTGGCCCTGGCCCAGCCTGTGCAGCGAGCTCTCTCGAGCGTCTTCCTCGCCCAGCCCAGCGCCCACGCCGCCCGCTGTTCCTCTCAGCAGCACTGCTCCCCTTCGAGCCCCTTGTGTGATCCGCCCTGCTGCCGTGCCCGTGCTTCTGCACGCGTCCTCCTGTAACGTCCAGGTGCCAAGAAACCGCGTTGTAGTTGCATCTGCCTCAGCTGCTGCGGCTGCTGCTGCTGCTGCAACACCATCTGATGATGGTGATGATTCTAAGGCAACTGGTGGGGCAGGAGGGAGCACTCCTGTCACTGCAACAGAAAGCAATGGCAGTGGCAGTGGCAGTGTAGCTGCTGCAGCAGGAGGAAGTGGTGGGGGGGGTGGTGGCAGCAGCGCTGCTGCTGGGACAGGGGTAGAATACGAGGGTGGCAGTGGGGGCGTGGTGTATGGAGTGACGTCCGTGCGGCGATTGGTGTCAGACCCGGCAACGGGGCAGGTGTGGAGCATTGGAGCTGCTTCCATCTCCATCTGGTATGCCCATACACACCCACCTACTCAAACAGTCCCCGTTCTTGCATGTTGCCTTTTCGTTTTGCAACCTTGGTTCGTACTAAACTCTTCGTTTTCCCACCCACTACCTTACCCTCCGTGGCCCCACCTACCTACCTGCCCAGGGACGCGAGGAAGCGAGCGCTGGTGTGTCATGTGAAGGTGAAGGACGAGGAGAGGGCAGCTGCGGATACCTCCTCTGGCGCTGTTGCCTCTGGGGCCAGCAGCGCTGCCTCCGCTACAGCCAACAGCGCCACAGCCCCTGGTAATGCTGCCCCTAGCACGCTTAGTGCCACCAGTGCTAGTGCTTCTAGCACTTCTAGTGCTCCTATTGGTTCAGTGACGAGTGGTGACAGCTATAGAGAAGCACCAGTTGTAGCAGGCACACCAGCACCATGGGAAGACGAACCCCTCACCTCCTCCTCCTCCTCCTCCTCCTCCTCCTCCTCCTCCTCCTCCTCCTCAGCCTCCTCCTACTCCTCCTCCTCCTCCCGTCCCCCCAAGCGCAAGCTCCACGCGGTCGCGCCAGCTGGCGACGGCACGGTGTGGATCGGGCATGGGTCGGGCATGCTGAGGCAGTACGACTGGGCGGGCGGCAAACTGCAGGAGGTAGTGATGGAGGCCGGCGTGTGTTGTCTGTGTGTGGTGGGGCTGCGGCTATGGGTGGGCACGGCGGATGGAAGCATCACCGTGCTGCATGTGCGCACAGGGAGGCAGATCGGGGCATGGCAGGCACACCCTCCCGCACCATGCTCCAAAGCAGCAGCCAAGGCGGCACGAGCAGCAGCAGCAGCATCCCCTTCCCCTTCCACTGGAGCAACATCAGATCCGGCCCACCCTTCGGATGACACAGCCCTCTCCTCCCAGGCGTCAACAGCGGCAGCGGCTGCAGCGGCGACACCAGCAGCGATCCGGCAGCTGGCACGGTGCAGCAGCTTCATTGTGTGTGTGTCCCGCACGGGGCAGGTGAGTGCATGGCTGGCGGCTATCCCAGGCCCTGTGGACCCTGCACTACGTGCCACCCTCTCCTCCTCCTCCGCCCTCTTCACCTCCCGGCAGAGGTTCCGCCTGGCTGCCTGCACGTGGAACGTCGGGGAGGAGAGAGCGGTGCAGAGGAGTGTGGAGGCGTGGCTGGGGGAGGTGGCAGGAGACAGGCTTGAGGGCGAGGAGGCAGCAGAGGGAGCAGACTGGGCGGATGGGACGGGTATGGGGAATGGGGTTGGGGGAGCAGCGGATTCGGGGAGTGGGGCAGGAGGGGGAGGAGCGGATATAGTAGCAGTGGGGTTGCAGGAGGTGGAGATGAACGCGGGGGCGATAGCCATAGCAGCAGCCAAGGAGTCAGTGCGTCTGGGGCTGCAGGAACGAGGGTCGGCGCTGGGGGCTCACTGGGTGGCGACCATTGGCGCTGCTCTGGCGTCCCGAGGGGCGTTTGTGCGGATTGTTTCGAGACAGATGGCGGGGATTCTCATCACTGTGTGGTGAGTGTGTGGGAGAGAGTGTATGAAGGAGAGTGCATGTGAATGGCCCACTGGGTGGCGGCAATTGGCGCTGCTCTGGGGTCCCGAGGGGCGTTTGTGCGGATTGTTTCGAGGCAGATGGCGGGGATTCTCATCACTGTGTGGTGAGTGCGTGGGAGGGAGTGTGTTTGGTTGTGAGAGAGTGTGCCTAAGAGTGTGGGTGAGTGTGTGTGGGGGGGAGGGGGAACAGGTTACCTCAAAGCACACATGAGTTTCTCCAGCAATCACACCTCACAAAACATCATTCCTTGCTCCACTGACTACCCAAACTCCCTTCTAACTATACTTGTTGCACTTCCCCTTATGCGCATGTCCCTCAGGCGAGGGCGTTGTTTGCTTATCTCAGTTGGGATGTGAAGGTGACTTTTTGAGTCGACTCAAAAATCACTTGACTTGTCATTCACACACTTGCTGCATTCCCCTTGTTCTCGTGTCCCTCAGGGCGAAAGCGTCGTTTGCCCATCGTATTCGGGATGTGGAGGTGGGGGCTGTGCCTCGGGGGTTTGGCCGCACATTGGGCAACAAGGTGAGCCAAGGGCAACAGAGGCAGCATTCTCTGAATGACATTTAGAAGCAACTCCCTTCCAACTCCCGTGTTCTCGTCTCGGGTCCCACAGGGCGAGGGCGTCCTTTGCCCATCTTATTCGGGATGTGGAGGTGGGGGCTGTGCCTCGGGGGTTTGGCCGCACGTTGGGCAACAAGGTGAGCCAAGGGCAGCAGACAGACACAGCATATCTCAAATTAAATTCTCGCCTTATATAGCACTTCAGCAAATTTGGGAGAGGTAAGATTATGGAGGAGAATTGGACAGTGGTGCACTGGTGCTCTGATTGGAATGATAAACCCCCCCTTCCTGTCCACACCACCCCCCTACGACTCCAGGGAGCGGTGGCGGTGCGCATGAGTGTGTGTGGGCGCAGCGTGGCGGTCCTCAGCTGCCATCTTGCCGCTCACATGGAGGGCGTGATTAGATGCAGTAGCAACTGGTGCCAAACCCATAACCCCCACTGCACTGCGCACACCTTACATGCCCTGCCTCCCTCTCTGTCTCCCAGGGAGCGGTGGCGGTGCGCATGAGTGTGTGTGGGCGTAGTGTGGCGGTCCTCAGCTGCCATCTCGCCGCTCACATGGAGGGCGTGACCAGGGGAAGTGACTTGTGCCAAACCATGGTCCATAACCCCGCCTGCTGTGCACACCTTACCCGGCCCCCACTCTTTCCCCCAGGGAGCGGTGGCTGTGCGCATGAGTGTGTGTGGGCGCAGCGTGGCGGTCCTCAGCTGCCATCTCGCAGCTCACATGGAGGGCGTGGTGAAGCGCAACGAGGACTGGCGCCGCATCTACCGCCACCTCTCCTTCTACCGCCCCCAAACCACCCTCGCTGCTGCCTCCTCCGCTGCTAAAGCTGCTGGGGGTGGCTTGAAAGGTGACATCCATACTCTCATGGGGTGATGGGCTGTGCACAAGGGCGTTAAGAGTGTTAAGTTGCGGTTATGTTGTGATGGCCTCCGAGGAATAACAACTGGCACCGGATCTACCACCACCTCTCCTTCTACCGCCCCCAAACCACCCTCGCTGCTGCCTCCTCTGCTGCTAAAGCTGCCGGGGGCGGCTTGAAAGGTGGGTCCCATGCTGTTATGGGCTGATGGGCTGTGCATGAGGGCTTGGAGGGTGTTCTTGTGATAGCCTTCGAGTGATGACTGGCGCCGCATCTACCGCCACCTCTCCTTCTACTGCCCCCAAACCACCCTCGCCTCCGCCGCCTCCTCCGCTGCCAAAGCCGCTGGCGGCGGATTGAAAGGTGAGGTGGGATGAGGTGAAGTGAGGTCTGGTGAAGTGAGGTGAGGTAAGGTGCGGTGTGACTTCTCTGCCCTCCTTCCAACTTTGCTGCCCTCCTCTCCCTCCTCACTAAACGATTCCTCCCCTTCCTCCCCACTCCCCCTTCCTTTGCACACCACTAGCTGGTCTCTGCAGTCAGCAGTGCAAGGCATGGTGAAGGCTGCAGCGATAGCTAATTGACTCGAGTCAAAATCTACTTCCCATCTCCTCTCGTACCTTCCCCTCCCCCCTTCCCGTGCACGCCACCAGCTGGTTTGCAGTCAGCAGTGCAGGGCATAGTGAAGGCTGCAGCAGGGGCTGCAGTGGGGGCAGCAGCAGCAGCCGCAGGAGCATCAGGAGCAGTGGCAGGCGCAGCAGCAGGGGCAGCCGGAGCAGGGGGCGTGGGGGGCGCAGGAGGGGCAGGAGGGGCAGGAGGATCAGCAGGGGCAGCAGCAGGAGGGGGAGGGGCAGGACCGGGAATAAGTCCAAAGAGGGGAGCGTTTGGGAGTGGGAGGCACGGTGGGGAGTCAGTGGGCGGCAGATTTGATTGGTCGGACGATGCCACGTCATGGATGGACGATCTGGTCATTGGGCGGGACGGGGAGGAGGTGAGAGAGAGGAGGGGATAGGGGATGGCAGAGAGGAGGGGATAAGGGAGGGCAGAGAGGAGGGGATATGTTTGGTGATGGGGGAGGGAGGAGGAGATAGGGTTGGTGAGAGGGGAGGGCGGGGAGAGAGGAGGGGAGAGGGAGCGGAGAGAGGTGTGGAGTGAGGGCGAGAGAGAGTGGTCAGCAGAGTGGAACTGTATGCATGGTAGTTCAGTCTAACGGGTGCCTTCTGCATCCCTCCCTCACTAGCAATCCCTCTCCACCGCTCCCCACCTCTCCTCGCCTCTCCCCATCTCTCCCCACCCCTCCCCTTTAGGACCTGGAGGACATGAAAACGCCAGAGTTAGCAGAGGTGGATCTGCTGGTGTGGATGGGCGACCTCAACTACCGGGTGGAGGGCGTGTCACACGAGCACGCCAGGCACCAGGTGGCGGCCCGCAACCTGCCTGCCCTGCTGGCGAGCGACCAGCTGCTCAGAGAGATGGCGGTGGTGTCACACGAGGCAACAGCACAACCCGTTCCCATACCTTCCCTCCTCCCACCTCTACTACCTTGCAGGACCTGGAGGAAATGAAAACTCCAGAGCTGGCGGAAGCCGACCTGCTGGTGTGGATGGGGGACCTCAACTACCGGGTGGAGGGCGTGTCACACGAGCAAGCGAGGCATCAGGTGGCGGCCCGCAACCTGCCTGCCCTGCTGGCGAGTGACCAGCTGCTCAGAGAGATGGCGGGCGGGCGTGCATTCCGAGGCATGGAGGAGGGGGTCATCTCCTTCCCCCCCACCTACAAGTTTGATCGCGGCACACCCGATCCGCTGGGTATGTGTTTTTCTTCCTCTGTGTGTGTGTTTCTTTGCTTTTGTTTTGGGTTTTTCTCCCCACGTTTTCTTTTTAAGAATACCCTATTCTGTGCACGGATTCAGGGTTAGGCGCTGTCGGATCGTTGTAACCAGTCGACCTCCTCATTGTGCCTTCTTTGCGAAGCTCACTCTCAACTCCCCGTCTCCCTTCCTACCTTGCCCAACCCTTGCCTCGTCCCACGCCCTGCCTCTCTGCCCCACGCCCTGCCTCTGTGCCCCACGCCCTGCCTCTGTGCCCCACGCCCCGCATCACAGCGTATGACTCGGGGGAGAAGCGCCGTGTGCCTGCTTGGTGCGACCGAGTGCTCTTCCGCGATAGCTTCACTCCAAGCCTGCCGCCCACGCTGCCGCCCACTCTGGGGCCCACACTGCCGCCCATCCTCGCGCCTTCTCTGCCTCTGTCTGTCTCCTTGCCTGCTGCTCCAAACAACCCCTGCCAGCCTCTGTATCCTCCCGCTTCTCCTCCCACCCCCACTACCAACAGCCCCAACCTCAGCCCCAGCCCCACTCTCACTTCATTTGATCTACCCACCGTCTCACCTCCTTCCACAGCAGTAGCAGCAACAGCTGGCACCGCAGCAGCAGAAACATGTGCAGCAGCAGCAGCAACAACAGTGGCAAACACTGCTTTGGTTGACAGAGAGGCAGATGATGAGGTCAGCAGCCCTGCACTGGGTCGTGAAAGTACAGCTGGGTTGAATGGTAAGGAAGGGCCGGGTAGCAGCACGAGTAAGGATGGGGATATCAGCTCCCAAGCACCTGCTGGTGCTACTACTGCTTCTCCTGCTCCTCCTGCTACTGCTTCAGCTTCTTCCGCTGCTTCTGCTGCTGCATCCGCTCCTGCTGCTCCTGGTGCCGGTCTGACTGCGAGTTCGAGTGTGAGCGCACCTCAAAGAGCGATCGAGGAGCAGGAGTGCACGCTGGCGCAGCCAGTGAAGGCCCATGTGTTGCGCTATGACGCGTGCATGGAGGCCATTCAGAGCGACCACAAGCCAGTCAGATGCCTCTTGGATGTCTCCGTTGCTTCTGTTGATCTGCCCGCTACAAGATGCCTGCTCGGGCGGCTTCTTACTCTCAGCTCCCAGGTCCGGGCAGCCCTGCAAAATTCTCACCACCTGCCCGACGTGCCAGCTGCCGGCACATGTGTGGATGTGGATCCTTCGACCGGGCAGGCTTCGGTGATTGTAATGAATCGGAACGAAAGTGACTCTATGGGGTTTATCGTGCAGTGTGAGGGGGAGACTGTTTTCCAGTCTGGGAGGAAGGAAGAACAGGAAGCAAGTGAGGGAGGGAGAGATGAGGGCGCTGAAGGAGGGAAGGTCATGTTGGGAGGCACGTGCGGTGGCAGCGGGCGAGGGGATTGGCAGAGGAGGCAGATGGTGCGGGCAGGTGGTGGATTTCCACTCTGGCTCAAGGTAATGCTCTGCTATGCTATGCTTCTCCTGAGTTCTGCAGCTTGGTTACTTCTTTAGCTTCACCTGAATAAAACTTATCGCCAGTTGCTGGAGTTCATGTGCTGTTATTAGAGTGCTGCTTGTAACCTACCATGGTTGTGCCTGTGTGTTCTCATGTGCAGGTGCTACCTGGTGCAGGCATCCTCATTGCAGGTGGCAGCATGACCATCAACTTCTGTGTGTCCACTTCCCGTGCTGCACCGCCTGGTTCCCCTGCTGCCAAGGAGCACACAGAGAATACAGGGCACACAGGGAAGAGAGCGCACACAGGACACACAGGGCACACAGAGCAGCATGAGCAGCACGAGTCAGGCAGCGGTCTGTTGCTGCAGCCAGTGGAGCAGCAGCCTATTAGAAGAGGGTCTGATGGGGAGGAGGCGGAGGCAGGGCAGGGGCAGGTTTGTGGGCAGGAGGTGCGAGGGCAGGTGCAATCGGCAGGAACAGGAGAGGGTGAGAGGGTGTTAAACATGTCTCTCACCACCTGGGGCCCAGCGCCGGTCAGCACACACACGCACTGCTTCTCCCTCCGCATCCCACCCTCCCTACACATTCCGTGTGAGCATTTCGAATCAACAGTAAAAAACAAGTGAGTTTCTGAGGCAGACAGTCCTCATGCAAATGAAGTGACTCATTCTGTAAATAGCCAGACCACATGCCATGCTCCAACTCTGAGACCTCAAGCCTAGCCTAGGCTCTCACAAGCTCCAACTGTGAGACCCTAATACGGCAGCCTAGCCTTTTAGCCTAATTAGTCATACTTGGCCCTGGTTGTTAGTGTGGCCAAATGACGTTCGTCCTGTGTGATTTCTAGCCACCAGGGAGCACCGAAGGGCGAACTGTTGTCCTTTGGAACAATGACTTGTAGGTTTTGATTCATGTAACAGTTGATCTGGATGTGCCTTTTGGAGTTGTGTTTGTAAGGTGTACATGTCATGTCAACACATCATCATCTGAGCTTTGCTGATTCCGTTCCCTATTGCTTCGCTCGGTATGATGCCTTTCGCCCGGGCTGGGACGAACAATGTTCATGACTCGTTACAAGAACATACCCGCCGTCACTTTCTCTTCTCTGACCAATCCGTGCGAAGCTAGTGCGACGCGCGCCGACCCACGAAAACTAGCATTCCGCCATCCCCGCGGTTGAAATCTCCCCGAAATGTAACGTTCCAAGAAGCGCAACGCGCGATTCATTTCTGCGAATTCAGGCAGGGACCTCAGCGAAAAAAACGACAGCACATCACCTTCCAGGCTCCACCCTAGCCCTTCGCAGAAACCCACCCCGCCGTCACCCGTTACAGCAGCAGCAACCCCACTTCCAACTTCGCGCCTACCACGCCCTCCTGTCGCCATCCTCCATCCATTCCATTCTTCCCACCCACATTTCACATTTGGTCGGCGCTACGAGGAAAACTCGTACTTTTTGCTTGTCATAGGTGATCAGAGTCGTGTTTTCTGATTTCAGCCATCCGTCAACCACATTCGCAACCCCAGCTAGCTCCTCGTTTGCTACGGACTCGTGGACACTTAGTTGAATTCTCCTCCGTATGAATCCCACTGCTAGATCTCTCCTTGACTCGTTTTGTACGCACGCAAGCAGCCGCGGTGGCAGCGCATCGCCATGACTGCGCGCACCTCGCGCATCCCCGCATTCGGCGACTGGGCTCTCGACGACCACGATGACAGCCAGGGCGACGAGTCGGACCGTCGATTAAAGTACACTCACGAGTTCGCGCTCCTCCGCCAGAAGCCCCGCGGGCCTCCGTCCCCGCATTCCCTGCTTCTGGACGCCGTCTCTTTCGACTCCGCAACTTCTTCTCTCCCCCCCTTGTCCTCGACACCTTCCGCCGCCTCCGCCGCGTCCGCCGCTTCCGACGTTTCCGCCTCTTCCTTTGACACAGCATCTCGGCATTCCCGAGGTTCGAGCAGCGATGGCAATGGTGACGACAAGGAGCTTCCTTCAACTACGAGAGACGCGAGCGCAGGGATCCGTGATGACGTGGACCGAATCCTGGCGTCCACGTCAGCCCTGTCCCCCGTGTCTCCAGCGGCGGACACGTGTCTGTTCCCGCAATGGGCGCCAATCCTTCCGCAACGCCGAATCGGCCAGGGTCGGAAAGGCGGCTTCCTTGCAGCTAGCAGCAGTAGGAGCAGCGGAAAATCCGTCAGCAGGAGCAGTAGCAGCGGCAGCAGCGGCGGCGGCGGCAGCGGTAAGATTGCGAGCAAGCGAAGGGAGCTGCCGGTGCTGTTAAACGCATCCCAGCTCGACCAACTCAACATGCCTCCGCCGCCACCGCTGCTTCCTCTCTCCGCCAGCTCCTCGCTGCAAGCCTCCGATTCCGGTGCCGACTCTACCGACGCGCTACTCGCCGCCAACGATGCTGACGGTTCGAGCTCGCTTGCGACACATCGCACAGCCGAGTGCGCGTCGCCGTCTCGTCCTCGTTACGACCACGGCGGAAGCGACTCACCGTCTTACGACTCGCCTCCCCTTCCGCGGTATTCCTTCACCTTTCACTCGCCGGCTCCCGGGACATTTTGCGCCTCAGGCGCATCCTGCGCCGATCCTTCCGCTCCAGGCGCAACCAGCGGCGAAGCTTCCCCAGGCGAGGCGGCCGAGCGAGTCCGCCAGCGGTTGCGCAACTCGCGCAGCCTCCGCATTTCCGTATCGCGCCAACTCATGGACAGCAGCAACAGCGCGCCCTCCTCCCCCGTGCGCGCATCCGGCGCATTCGGTTCCCCCTTCGGCTCCCCGTCCGCATCCGATTACGAAAACGGCTCATCCGCGACCCCTGGGCGGAGAGGGTCGCGCGCCCAGGGCGCGGCGGCGGCGGATAGATGTTGGGACGACTCGTCGGTGCTGGCGCTATTGGAGCACAGCCGGCTCTGCCGCCAGGAGGTGGTTCAGCTGCTCGGGCTGTGCCAGCCTGGCCTCGCCCCGCTTGCGCCGTCGGCGCAACCTGCGCCAGTTGCGCCAATCGTCGCAGTTGCGGAGGTCTCCTCGGTCGCTCCTACCGCGCCAGCTGCGCCAGTGGTGTCGAGTGCGGGGCTCATGAAGGAAACCAGCGGGGGTGAGCTTCAGGCGGAAGCCTCTGCGGGGGCGCACACAGCAGGCGGGACAGGTGAAGCAAGGTTCAAGATTGAGACAGCGTGCGCTGAGAGCAGAGCAGAGCCGGTCAGCAGCTCATGTGCAAGTGCATGCCCTGCCGGCATGACAGCGCCGCATGCCTACCCTGACAGCACCATGGCACACAGGTCTGAGACTGATGCCGGGAAGAATGACAAGTCGCTGACTGGAAGTGCGGGTGGAAATGCGGGTGGAAGTGTGATTGGAAGTGCGGGTGGAAGTGTAGTTGCTTGCTGCCCTGGAACGGGGGGAATGGGCGGAATGGGCAGAGCGGCATTGCGCGTTGCAGCAGCCCCACGTGCTCCGTGCAGTGTTGCTTCCTCGCAGTCGCGGGGCAGGGCTGTCCCCCCCACCATGTCGTCCGCGTTGAAGTACAATGCGGGTGCGGAGGATAAGGGCTTCAGCGTGATGTTTGCCGAGATGCGGGAGAGACGGCAGCAGGATAAAGCAGCTTCTGAAGCCACTGGCGCTGCTGTTGCTGCTGCTGGGATTGCTGGAGATTCCTTAGAGAATAGCATTCATGGTGCAACTGTAGCAGCAGGTTCTTGTCAAGACACGAGCAAAGTCAGTAGCAGTCCCCCCAGGACCAAATCTGCCTGTCGCTCCAGTAAAGGCCTACAGTGGATTGGTGTTCGGGCGGACGATATGGATTTTATTCTGAAGGAGTTGGCAGAGGCAGCCATGGGAGGAGGGGAGGAGGTGGCAGGGTTTGATGAGTTTGCGGGAGAGGAGACTGAGGACGATGGAGGGGGATTATCGGAGAGTGATTATGTCAGTGAGGAGACTAGTGATTGTGATTGCAGTGAAGCGGAGAGACAGGACAATGAGTTGATAGCAGTGCTGAGGAAGGTTCAGGGCAGGGAATGGTGGGGTGGAACCTGTGCGGGCAGTGGGCCTGAAGAAGCTGGGCAGCATTGGTTGCGACGAACTCAAAGCAAAACCAAGGTACGGCTGCTTGCTGTGTGTGTGCTGCTATTCCCTTGTCGGATTTCTGATCCTTTAACTGTTATTGTTAGATACTAATTTCGCTTGTTCTCTTTGCAGGCTGCTTTCCGTAAGCTGCGGCACCTGGTTTTGGGCAGGCCATCTCAAGTAGCGCCATAAAAGTCATGCAAATGTTGCAGACTGCAAATAGTGGAGCCAGGAGTTTTATTAAAACGTTTTACGGTATCTGTGCATATGAATGCATGTTTATGTGGAGAAATGGCAAATCAGAATGTCTGAACGTAATGTGCGCTTGTACTTTGCGCAATCATGTAGCTGGTTATCTGGCAGAACTCCAAGCATATTCCCAGTGAACGACATTATCGAGGGGATCCCAGTCGTGTCGGGACAGGACCGTCCAATTGTGTCACCTTCACTTCACTGCAGCCTCAATTCTATCCTCCGTTGGAGGGAAACCTCGATTTTGTCATTCTCCCTCCGTCGTCCTTCTCACTCCGTCAGTAATTTCCCGTCTTGGTTCTGAACCTACAGTAACGCTCCAACCAACTCCACTTCCCTGACTCCTACAGTCTAGCTTCCTACAGTCTAGGCACGTAATTACTCGTCTTTTTTGTCAACTACATTGAGCCCGCCTTTTGTACTAAACTAGGACCAGACCTGCAAGCTAACCTAAGGACGAACTATTGGTGTCACTCGCTATCGTCAAGTGCCACATTGTTTCAGATACCTGCGGTTTTATGGAGTCACTGCATGTCGATTGGTGCCTGTCTTTGTGCCGAAATGTTGACCAGAAAAAATAGTCGGGCCGCTTTTTTGTCAACAATACCGACCTTTAAACGGTTTGATGTCTAGCCTGTCGAGCCTGTTTATCGTTGACCAGATATGCGTCTAAGCTTAACATACCTAACTCACGACTTACTTTTCATTGTCCACCTCTAGCTGTCGTCAGCCTCTTAGGTAGGTATCCAATGGGCGCTTGCGCGGGAAAAGAGGCCCCGCGAACTACCGATCGTTCAGACTACGTAGCGCAGACTCCACAGCAGCAGCAGCAACAACAACAACAACAACATCAGCCGCAGCAGCAGCAACAGCAGCAGCAGCAGAAGCCGCCTCCGCCTAGCAATGTCGCACCTCACCAGAACTCCGCAGCAGCATCCGCCGTTACAGCGGTTCCGAACCAATCCGACGGTCCTCCCGCGCAGCCGCGAAACGATGTCGTTCTTCACAACCCCTTCCCGGAAATGGTAGACCGATCCATTGCAGAGTTCTTCGTTTTAGGTCGAGAGCTAGGCCGCGGGGAGTTCGGCGTGACGTGTCTCGCGACTAGCAAGGCAAACGGCGAGCAGGTGGCCGTTAAGTCCATCCCTAAGCGGAAATTAAAGACGGCCGTGGATATCGAGGATGTGCGGAGGGAGGTGGCAATTATGCACCACTTACCACCGCACCCTAACATCGTGGGACTTAAAGGGGTATTTGAGGATCGGCACGCGGTTCACATCGTTCAGGAGCTGTGCGAAGGCGGGGAGTTGTTCGAGCGGATTATAGCGAGGGGGCATTATAGCGAGCGAGCGGCGGCTGTTATCACACGGACTATCGTGGAGGTCGTGCAGGTGCGTGTGAAGGACGCTGGTGTGTGTTAAGAGTTCTGGCGGGTGGGAATGGTGCAGTGCAGGGGAATGGCGCTGGTGAGTGTGCGTCGGACGTCGTTCAGGTAGCGGAGAACGAAAGGGGAGTGGGAGGGAATAGAAAACGGTGTAAGAGAAAGAGCGGTATGGAAATGGTTCAGAAATGGTACGATGGAATGGGACGGAATGGGATAGGCGTGGGAGGCAGGGTTCAGAAGACAACGTAAAGAACCGCAACAAAGTTGGTCAAGTGCACGCGCAAAGCCTCAAAATTCTGAAAACTGCAATGATCATCTGAGCTCCTATTTCTTCATCACCCTGCGCCTTTTGCTGCACTTCCATGTGCTCTTTTTTAACCTCCCCTGAAACATTCAAAAGCCCTTGCGTGCCCTCCCATGCGTCCCACAATCACGGAGTACTGCACCAGCCATAAAGCCCGACCCTGCTAGCAAGGAATAAAACTTCGAAACGCCTTGCATCGCTGCAACCCGCCCCGCCCCCCCCCTCCAGGTGTGCCACAAGCACGGGGTGATGCACCGGGATTTAAAGCCCGAGAACTTCCTGTTCGCGAACAACCAGGAGGACGCGGCGTTGCGAGCGATCGACTTCGGCCTGTCCATCATGTTCAAGCCGGGCGAGACGCTGAGCGAGATCGTGGGCAGCCCGTACTACATGGCGCCCGAGGTGCTAAGGAAGAACTACGGACCCCTGGCGGACGTGTGGAGCGCAGGCGTGATCCTTTACATCCTGCTCTGCGGCGTGCCCCCCTTCTGGGCAGGCAAGTACCCGTGCTGCTATGCTCACTGCAAACCTACACACTGCTCACACCCCCCACGCCGTTCTCATTCCCCTCACCCTTCTCACCCACCCTCACACCCCCACCCCCACACTCCCCCTCCCCCTCCCCACCCAACCCCCCTCTTCCCACCCCTTCACCCTCCACACCTCTCACTTTCCGCACCCCTCTCCCCCACGGTACCAGCGACGGAGCAGGGCGTGGCACAGGCGGTGCTGCGGTCGCAGGTGGACCTCAAGCGCGTAATGGCGAGAGCACAACTCACTTCCACAACCCCCACACCAATCTCACCCCTCTTCCCCTTTTCCCCTTCTCCACGGCACCAGAGACGGAGCAGGGAGTGGCGCAGGCAGTGCTGCGGTCGCAGGTGGACCTGAAGCGGGACCCATGGCCCAAGGTGTCGGACGGTGCCAAGCACCTCGTCATGCTCATGCTTCAGCCCGACACCTCCAAGCGCCCCACCGCGCAGCAAGTGCTCCGTGAGTGCTCCCCTTCCCTGCCTGCCATGCGTTTTTTACGGTCATGATGCCTCTAGTAGCCATACTCGCCTCTCGAAATGCTCATGCTGCAACCCGACACCTCCAAGCGCCCCACGGCGCAGCAAGTGCTTCGTAAGTGCTCACTCCCTCCCTTCCCCTGCCTGCCTGCTGTTTTTGTCTGCCTCCTTGCTTGGTCACAATGACTCTGGACTAGGCCTGCTCCTGTCTCTGCTTCCTCCCTCTCCCCCCCCCCTCCCTCCCTTACCCTACCTCCTCTCCCCTCTCTCTATCCCGTCGTGCCGTAGCTTGTGTTTGCTAGAATCATGTTCACCTGCCTCCTTGCCACAGAGGGACTCTTATCACAACTGTCTCGTTCCCCTGCGCCCATCAGAGCACCCGTGGCCGAAGGATGCCAACGAGGCGGGTTTTGACGCATCTCATTGATATTCCTCCCCCTCCCCCCCCACTCTCTTCACCTCATCCCCCCGTGCTGCGGCCATCAGAGCACCCGTGGCTGAGGGATGCCAACGAGGCGCCAGACACGCCGCTGGGAGTGGAGGTGCTGTCGCGCATGCAGTCGTTCCAGGCCATGAACAAGCTCAAGAAGAAGGCGCTCAAGGTGAGTCTCATGACGCCCATTGTCCATGCTTGAGACTCACACCAGTCCCGCCAGGGATGCCACATGCCATTGCGTGCACACACACTAAAGTAGTTCCACAACAGTCGTTCCCCTAGGTCATACCTTCCTCGCCGTACCTTCCCTTTTGAGAATTCTCCAATGCCTCCCCCTCTTTCGATCTCCCTTCCTCACTGTACCCTACCCACATCCCCCAACCCTAGGTCATCGCCGACCAGCTGTCATCAGCGGAGGAGATGCAGGGGCTACAGGAGGTGTTCAAGATCATCGATGTGAACGGGGACGGCACGCTCACTCTCGAGGAGCTCCGCAACGGCCTCCGCCGCATCGGCTCTCCGCTCTCCGATGCTGAAGTGCAGGCGCTCATGGATGCGGTGAGTCCAGTGTGATGTGTATGCTATGGATGTATATTGGTATCAGTCCTTGGCTCGGTTGCATTGGCTCCCTGCCCTCCGCAGCTGTGGATATGGTACGTGCAGGTCTATATATCCATGCACCCATCCAACCACCCACCCACCCACCCGTCCACCCACAGGCGGACATTGACGGCAACGGTGAAATCGACTACAGCGAGTTTGTGGCGGCAACGATGCATCTGCAGCGCGTGGACAACGAGAAGAACCTGCAGGCGGCGTTTGACTTCTTTGACTCGGACCGCAGCGGGTTCATCGACATTGAAGAGCTGGCGGACGCACTGGGGGCGGACTTGACGTCACTCAAGGAGATTCTGGCTGAAGTGGACACCAACAATGTGAGTCGAGCAAAGGGCATATCAGATATAGGGCAGTAAGAAGGTCAGAACCTGCAGGCGGCGTTTGACTTCTTTGACTCAGACCGCAGCGGGTTCATCGATATTGAGGAGCTGGCGGATGCGCTGGGAGCCGACCTCACGTCTCTCAAGGAGATTCTGGCTGAAGTGGACACCAACAATGTGAGTCGAGAAAAGGGCATGCCGGGTGTTTCTGAGATACTCAGAAACGCCCTACTCGTTTGACTTCTTTGACTCAGTTCGCAGCGGGTTCATTGACATTGAGGAGCTGGCAGACGCCCTGGGAGCAGACTTGACTTCACTCAAGGAGATCCTTGCTGAAGTCGACACCAACAATGTGAGCTGGCAATAACCATGCCCATAAGCACGCAATAACATGCACATGACATGGATCTGAGGCACACGATACGTATCTCCGTCCTTAGCTGACCTCCCGCCCATTACATTCGCTTGCTCATCTCTCTGCCCCTCTCTCCCATCACTCTGCTCCTCTCCCCCGTCTTTCTGCTCCTCTCCCCCGTCTTTCTGCTCCTCTCTCGCATCGCATGTTGCTATCGCTCCAAACCTCAGGACGGCAAGATCAGCTTTGACGAGTTCAAGGTGATGATGCGCAAGGGCACGGACCTCAGGGGCAGTTTGCGCCACTTCTCCAAGAGCCGCTCCTCGCTGCGTGCCCTGCTCAAGCTCAGTGAAATAGACCTGGCTGGAGGCGCCACCGATGGCGCCCCGGCTGACTCTTGACCGCGGCGCGGGCCTTTCTTGACGTGTTGGTGGCGGTGTAGGCCTGGACTGGAGCGTTCTGATCTTGTTTAGTTTGTTTTGTATAGATGGGTGCGAAATGGCTAACCACCATTGTTCGTTTCTAGCTTCATGATTTGCTGTTTGCAGAATAGGAAGCATTGCATGTCGTAGCTCTTTGTAGAGAGACGCGTAATTAGTATAGTGGGCTGTGGCTGGCTGAAGCTGTCGGATTTGGTTGGCTGTAGCTTCTAACAATATATTGGTGACCTACGTAAGTGACGTTTATAATGTCTCAGTAATTGTCCAATCCATTCTGTGCATGTAGGGGTCAACGGGGTCCAAGGCGGCGCTGACGTTGACCAGGCAAATCTGTTGTTCCACCTGAACCGCTGGATTGCACGGTAGAACTACTCCTGGTAACCTCGCCAGTTTTCGCCATTGCACGGTGAATGATGTTGTCACCTTCGCATGGAACACGTCGATCATCGTGGTGTGTCGCACTCGGGATTCTCGATTGGCACGACAGCACCGACTTCAACAAAACTACTCGGGCAGGTAATTGTTCCTGGTGCCCGGCACTCCATGTGCGGCACGGGAAGAAAGTGCTGACCCGGTCATGCGGAAAACGGGCAAGCAGAAAGTAGTGAGAACAACCACAGAGAGCCGAGCAGACAGCCTCACCAACCAGTTTTTACGAAGTTTCGGCGGACGGGGCAGACCCGGTGCATATTTCTGTTTGCCCGCACCGACAGATGGGGCCAACACAACAGGTTCAGTGAGTCAACATGTTTTTTGGGGGGAGGGAGTGCTGCCGCCGAGTGAGTGGGGTAGAAATGGGGGCAACGCGGCAATGCAGGGCAGCGTGATTGTTCCAACCTCAGGGCATGCATGTGTTTGTGCGCCTTCTCTCTGTCATGTTCGCATCTGTGGACCAGAAATGTTTGGCAGGTGCAACCGTCGCGTTCATTCCGTTGTGTGTATTCTTAGACGCTTGTTCTTTCACTTGGGCTCTTCCGTCTGTCTCTTTTTGTGCGTACATATAACCCTTCAAATTATCGCTGATACGCCGCGTACCAGAAGCTCGTTTATATTGTAGCGACCAGCGCATATCTTTCCGTTCAAAGTCAAAACAGTCTCGATCCATCCCCATATCGATCAGATGCGGCGCGTCTCCTTCACAAGGAAGGCGCTATTACCACCGCTCCTCACGGCGGCGATTTTTTTGTCGCTGAGTTACGCTGCGGTGCTTGTGGAAGTAGTATCCGCTGCAGCGGCACATCCGCCGATCATTCCCCGAGGATTCAGCTGGCTGCCCGACACGGGGGGGGTTTTGCGCGCACTCTTCCGCGGATCCAGAAATTACGAAGCCTTTACATTGGCGCGAAGCGCGAATCGCACTGGGACACCGGCAGGTGGTCGGGGGATACGCGATGGCCCGATTTGTGATAAACAATCGGCAGAGGGCGGCGCGGTGCGAGGATATGCAGCGCTGACCGGTGAAGAGGCCGCGGTAGAGGCAGCGGAGAGGGATGAGGCGGAAGAGGAGAGGCGGAAGGAACTGGCGGAGGACGGGGGGCCGGGCGAAGGCGAAGGGGAAGGGGAAGGGGAAAATCCTCTTCCCTCTGTGTTTGAAGGGCCGCAGTTGCCGCATTCGGACGGGCTGATTACTGTTACAGGTGTAACCAACCGCCGATACAGGGCAGATGAACAACAGCCGGGGGAGCAGGAGGAGGACGAGGCGAACCACGATCAACTGGAGGAGGAAGAGCAAAGCAGGAAGGAGCGAGAGCTGTGGGAGGAAGCAGGACCTTCTGATAAGGCCACAGAGGAAGCTGGGATTTATGGCTCCAGGTACTCCCACAGGCCGTCCGGGCACCAGCAGTGGCAGCAGCAGCTGCAGCGGCGCACGCAGAAACACGCAAGAACTGCGAGCCTTCAAATCAAGCAGCAGCAGCAGCAGCAGCAAGGGGCGCAGCAGTGGCAGACGCAGGGAGAGCAGAGGGAGGCGCCGGAGTGGGCGAAGCGGGAGCAGCAGCGGTGGGAGCGGGACCAGCGACCGCAGACAGCAGAGGAGATTGCGATGCAGGAGGAGCACTGGCGGCAGCAGCAGGCGCTCGTGAAACCGCGGCTGCGGCAGTGGCGGCAGCAGGCGAAGCGGATGAGCCAAGTGACTAGAGCCAAGGAGGCGGTGTGGGCGGCAGAGGCGAGGAGCAGATGGGCGGCAGCGGCGCAGGGGCGGGAGAGGGCGGCAGGGGCAGCAGGCGCGGCAGGGCGGTTTGCTGTGATGACAGAAGACGACATGGATGACATGATGCCGGGCGGCACACTCTCCTGGCAGCGCCTGAAAGCCACCGCTACTGCCGCCAAACCCAACACTCCCGTCAATCTCAAGGCCACCATCGCCACTGTCAATCCCAAGGGAACCGTCACTCCCAAGGGGGCAGCAAAGCCATGCTCCCCGCGGCACAGCAGCCCCGTGATCAAAGTCTATTCAGTGTCCGACATCGCCAAGCGCACACGCTACCCTCCCCGGCAGACCGTCACTCTCGTGCTATACCGCTCCCTCTCCCTCTCCCGCGGCCTCCTCTTCGGGACGAATTTCTCCTGCACCATCTTCCGGTCCCGCTCGCTGCCCTCGCGCCACTCCATCTCCCTCTCCCGCTCCGACGAGCCCGTGCTGCGCGTGCACAACGCCAGCAACGTCCTGTTCATCGGCATCGGGCTGCGCAGCGCCGTGCGCAACTCCTCGCCCTTCTGCGAGATGCTTCCGGAATACGGCAGCCTGATGGGGTATGAGATCATCTGTCCTGCGCTCCACATTTACCGCTCCTTCGGGATTCAGTTCACGCAGGCTTCCGTGGTTGGCCGAATCGACGTCTTCCGATCCGGATACACGAAGCTGGACTCACTCTTTGTGACCGCCCCTGGGACGTACGAGCGGTCACCGGGAGTGATTCGCATGGGCATGTGCGGGCTGGGCATGACTCTGGTTTCATCCAAGAATGTGATCACCAACAACGATGTGTTTGGCGCGTGGGAGCTGATTAACCTCTACCGCGGGTCGATCGGCGTGAAGGTTCATAATAATTTCCTCCATGATTACCTCTTCGCGGGGTTCCGGTGCGGCGCTGATGTGCACTATTCATGGGACTGCATGCTGACGTCAGTGAAGAACAACTTTGTCTTCACGCCTCAGTCCAAGGGCCGCCTGACTTTTGACTCGGCCGGGATCTACTTCTGCACTCACTGGTTCAACCCTGGTAAGTATTCACTGGTTGACTCCCATTGACTTCACATGTAGCAGTGTAGCACAGTCTCCCGTTATGACATTACTCACTTTCTACCTTCCTCCCCACTCACTTCACTCAACACCCATACCATCTCCACCCCACCACAGGCAGCACCGTCTCCTGCAATTACGTGATAGGCGGGGACCACTGCTACTACCTGGACTACTGCACGTCAGGAGTGGACATCACAGGGGGCGTGTGTGCGCAGCTGTGGGACGGTGTGAAGCTGAACAACGGCAAGCGCAACAAGATCCGCAGCCTGCTCATGGTCGGCCTGGGGCAGAGCCCGGGTTATATTACCTGCCTCACTGTCACAATCAACCACTGTGGGAAGGACCCTGGGACGTACTGGGAGAGGATGCGGAAGCGGTACTACAACTCCCCAGAGATCAATAAGGTGAGGCTTTCCCTCCTTCCTTCCTCGTTTCCTCACCTCGAGCCTCGCCTCTTCACCACCTCTTTCCCCATCTCTCCTCCCACCTCTTCCAGAGTCCCCCACCTCTCCCCACGCCTTGCCACCTCTCTAGTTCCTCGTTTCATCCTGCCTCACCTCTCCCCTGTCCCCCGATCCCTCCCCTCATTTCGTCCCCCCACCAGCTATGGCCGTGGATGAAGCACGTCTGCAGGCAGACACGAATCGGCTCTCAATCCTGCAACCCTGCGGGTCACAAGGCTCTCACCTCCAAGGAGACTGGTGCCTGCAGCGGCCTGCCCACCGAAAACGACGTAGAGCTCATCGCAGTAGATGCCGACACAAGCCGCCCGGACGAGTACCGGTACTGCGAGCGGGCCCCTGCCGCCAATAAGGTGAACCGGCAGGTGCTCTACAGGTACACTGGCGATGAAATGCGGTTTCGCGATTATAGTAAAGGGGATTACGGGGTAAAAGCGGACTCCATAGTGTATAAGAAGCATAAGGGGTTTGTTTCGTGTCCGAGAGCGAGAGTTGGGATCATGCCGGTATCGGTACAAACGTATTATAAGGACTGGAATATACCAGCTCCTACATTCTACAGGAAGATGGTCGCATTGTCATATAATGTTATATACAATAAGGATATGTATTAGGTATGCTGTTAGTTAGCACGATTCTTTCATTGATGTATGCTTGTACATCAGCAGAATAAATGAATAAACAGTGACCGCTCTTATTCCTGGTACACACACTAAAACATTGCAGTGATACGGTACAGTACATAGCCCCAGCCCAGTCTATCCTAGGAGCAATACAGCACATCATAGTGTTCATTTGCATGTATAGGTTGCACTAGATTGGAAGAAAGCAGCATATCATATGTGTCATGTCACTGTATGGAGGATGGCTTCCTATGAACCCCAAGGCTACTTTTCATCACTTCAGAAGTCCCAGTGCTGCGCAGGATGGCTCTGGCAGCCAGCATGCCGTTCAATGCAGCACTCATGATGACTTTTGAGGCGCCTAAAAATATCCGCGAGAACTGAGACGACTTTTGAGGCGCCTCAAAAGGACCCCCAGCCTGAGACGAGCTGTCAACGGGGTGAACAGGGTCTGGCAGCCAGCATGCCGTCCCAGTGGTGCGCAGGATGGCTCTGGCAGCCAGCATGCCGTCCACAGCAGCACTCATGATGCCCCCCGCGTGCCCCTCCACCTGCGTACCCCTCCCCCCTGAGTACACCGCCCCCACGAGTACACCGCCCCCTTGCGTACCCTGTCGTTACTTGTCAACTACTTTAGAAGTGCCAGCAGTGCGCAGGATGGCTCTGGCAGCCAGCATGCCATCCACAGCAGCACTCACGATGCCCCCTGCGTACCCTGCTCCGTGCGTACCCCCGAGTTAATTCTCAGTCAGTTCAGAAGCAGCAGCAGCAGTGCGCAGGATGGCTCTAGCAGCCAGCATGCCATCCACAGCCGCACTCACGATGCCCCCTGCGTACCCCGCCCCTTCACCTATCGGGTACAGCCCTGGCAGCGACACACTCTCGTAGCTCTCTGCCCCTCGCTCCACACGCACTGGGCAACTCGTGCGCGTCTGGGGAAGAGGCAGGGGAAGGGAGGAGAGGAGGCAAGTAGGGTAAGTTACTAGTCTCCAGTTTGTCAGGTACAATAACTTACAATGAACCACTCCGATTTCGGATTCACTCTTCAGAACTCAAAAGTAACTCTTACAAGTAACTTACAATGAACCAAAACGAACCACTGAAGGAAGCTATTGGTCTCACCTCGGCAGCATGGAGCAGGGCGTGTGGGGAGATGAAGCCAGGCATCTGATGGGTGAAGGGTGGAAGGTTAGAGAGGAAGGGAGATGGGAAAACGGGAAAGGCGGGGAGATACGGAGATGACTGGCAAGAACAGACCGAGGGAATAGAGGGTGGAAGACCGAGGGGAGTGCAAGGGGGAGTGCATGCATGGGGAGACAGTGAAACAAGAAATGTGCATCACCTTCTTATCGAAGTTCTCTAAAGCGAGGCGGATGGCGAGCGTGATGGAGGGCGAGTAGAGCTGGTCCAGGCGGGCCGATGCCACTCCCAGGCGGTAGCTGGATGATGGCAGGGCGGACGCTGGGGGGAGAGGGTATGGACGAATAGTAAGGGGGTGAGCTGTGAGGGAGAGGGAGAGTGTGATGGAGGGCGAGTAGAGCTGGTCCAGGCGCGCTGATGCCACTCCCAGGCGGTAGCTGGATGATGGAAGAGAGGACGCTGGGAGGGAGAACGGGGAGGAGGGAAGAAGGAAAGGGGGCAGGGGGGAAAAGGGGGGAAAGTGAATCAAGGGAGGGTTGATGGTCCAGGCGGGCCGATGCCACTCCCAGGCGGTAGCTTGATGATGGCAGGGCGGAAGCTGGGAAAGGGGGAGAGGCAGGGGGAGGGGAAGGTCGATCGGTAAGGGGGTGTGCAGTGAGGCCAAGGGGAAAAGTGATGGAGCTGATCAAGGCGGGCTGATGCCACTCCCAAGCTGTAGCTGGATGATGGCAGGACGGACGCTGAGAAGGAAAAAAGGGAAGGGGGAAAGAGTGGGAGAGGAGGAGAGGGGGGAAGTGATGGAGGGCGAGTAGAGCTGATCCAGGCAGGATGATGCCACTCCCAGGCGGTAGCTAGACGATGGCAGGGCGGACGCTGGCGAAGGGGGAGAAGCAGGGGGAGAGAAAGGGACGATCGATAAGGGGGTGTGCAGTGAGGGCAAGGGCGGGCGTGATGGAGGGCGAGTAGAGTAGAGCTAATCCAGGCGGTAGCTGGACGATGGCAGGGCGGACGCTGGGAGAGAGAAAAGGGGGGGAAGGGAGAGCGAGGGGGAAAGACAGGAGAGAGGGCTGGCGATCCAGGCGGGCCTGTGCCACTCCCTGGCGGTAGCTGCATGGTGGGAGAGTCAACCGGGTACTACTCCCAGATAACGGTTAGCGGTTGGCATGGAGGACAGTGGGTGGAAACAGGGGAGGACGGCGGGCAGAAAACGGGCAGGGGGAGGGGAGGGGGGGATGGTGGAGGAGGGTAGTGCAGATGTGGGAAGCGGGCAAGGCGGATGCGGGTGGCATGAGCTGAGGGAGTGACTCTGCTCAGGCTGAGCATACTCCTGGGGAAGCATGCTCACCAGGGAAGAGAGTCTATGAAGGGAGCCAGTGGCACTCTGCACCGGTGCCACGAAGTCACGTGGGAACAGATTTGTACTGAGACGCTTCAAGATGGATTTGATTTCACGGTGCTCACCAGGAGAGAGTGTGCCATTGAGGAAGTCAGTGGCGCGCTGCACTGGTGCCACGAAGTCCCCACCTCCCATCACAGCTGCCTGGCGCTCTATTGCCCTCTGGGGGGAGAAGGGAGGGGCGAGTGAAGGAGGAGAAAGGAGGAGGTAGGAAGGGAGAGTGAAGAAAAGTGAAAGAGGCGAGCGTTATCAAGACAGCACCAGCAATCACCGCTCTCCCTTGCACGCTGCCTAACATTGACGCTTATTGGTCTGCGATTCATGCCTCCATCAGCAAACACAGCAGCTCGTCAAAGTCACCAGCCGCACCGCACCCACCACCACCGCACCCCATCCCCCACCACCACAAGGTCTCCTACCTGGTACTCCATGCCTGCCAGAGCGCCGTGCTCCCTTGACCACTCGTCAAAGTGACCACTAGCAGCGGAGACGAGCGCAGCGTTGGCCCAGAGAAAGGAGCGATTTGAAAATGACATGCCGTTCACACACAGCTCACCCCCTTCCCTCCCCACCACCACCCCACCCCAGCCCGCCACCTACCTGATACTCCATGCCTGCCAGTGCGCCGTGCTCCCGGGTGAAGTCATCGAAATCGCCAGCAGCAGCAGACACTGATGACACGAGAGCAGCGTTGGCCCAGAGCGAGGAGCGATTGGAGAAGGACATGCCGTTGAGGCACAGCTCGTCTGCTGTCACACTCGTGCACACCACCTGCCCTCCCTCCTTCTCTAGCCTACACACCACCCCCGCCTCCCACCCACCTTTCCTTGAGAACTCTTGGAAGCCGCTTCAACGTACCTGGTACCCCATGCCTGCCAAGGCACCATGCTCCCTTGTAAACTCGTCAAAGTCGCCAGCAGACGCGGATACGGAAGAGACCAGAGCAGCGTTGGCCCAGAGCGAGGAGCGGTTGGAGAAGGACATGCCGTTGAGGCACAGCTCATCTGCTGTCACACTCGTGCACACCACCTGCCCTCCCTCCTTGCCAGCCTCCAACATACCTGGTACTCCATTCCTGCTAGCGCGCCGTGCTCCCTGCTGAAGTCATCGAAATCGCCAGCAGACGCCGAGACAGATGACACGAGAGCAGCGTTGGCCCAGAGCGAGGAGCGGTTGGAGAAGGACATGCCGTTGAGGCACAGCTCGTCTGCTGTCACACTCGTGCACACCACCTGCCCTCCCGGACACATGCAGAACGAGTAGCAGCTGCGCTCCTGCTGCCCACTGCTGCCGCTGCCACTGTCAGTGGAGCTGCTGCTGCCGGTGCTGGCAGTGCTGTCAGCGGTACTGCCGGTAAGGGAGAACTGGCCGGCGAGGGAGTAGTCAGCCACAGGGATGGGCCCTTTGCCGCGCGCCACTGCTGCCTGCACGTCCATGCTGCCCTGCCACCGCCGGTACTGCCCGGGGGGGGAGCAGGATGAGGGGAGAGAGGGGGAAGAAAGGTGTGTTGGGGCAAGTGGCCCTTCAAGGGGCCCCAGCCCTCGCCTCAGCAGACGCCACTGCTGCCTCCACGTCCATGCTGCCCTGCCACCGCCGGTACTGCCATGAGGAAAGTGGAGGGACGCAGGGGACTGTCCGTTTGATGCAGCGGAAGTTGCCCCAATAAACGGAAGCTATGACTTGTTGTTGAGGAGCAAACTAGGATCAACGGAACTAATATATATACACATATATATATCGGCTGAGTGCCGCTTACCCGGATGGCGTTAATCTCGCGCTGGGGGTGCTCAATACGAAAGCCCACAGCAAAGTCCTTGAGGGTGAGCAGCACGTTGTGAGACAGCAGCATGTCAAACACTGCCCTTGCTGAGTGCCCCACCCCCAGCAGCACCTTATCCGCTGCAATCACACTCTGCCCCTCTGCACCGCTTCCCACCGCACTCCCAGCCGGCCTCACGTGCACCCCAGCCACCCGCCCGTTCCGAACCTCCAAATCCTCCACCACCGTGCCGAACCTTATCTCCACGCCCAAACCTAGCAAGTAGGTTCGGAACTGCTGCAGGATGCGCACGAGCCTGTCCGTCCCCAGGTGCGGGCGCCCGTCCACAAGAATACGTTCAGGAGCACCCATCCTCACCAGCACATTCAGCACCTCCCTCACATCTTGACTATTCTTCCCGATCCTAGTCGTCAGCTTGCCGTCACTCCACGTCCCCGCCCCACCCTCCCCATAGCAGAAATTACTGTCTGGGTTGAGCACATGGCGCACGGCTAGAGCGCCGATGTCCCGCCCTCGCTCCTCCACGGGCTGACCTCGCTCCACCACTATCACCTGCTCGCCCGCCTCTGCGAGTACCAGCGCCGCCAGCAACCCCGCTGGACCCATCCCCACCACCACGTTGCGCGTTCGCTCTCTCGGTGGCTTGTCTCTCGCCCCCACTGCTCCTGTGGGAGCACCTGTGCTGCTGCTGGTATAAGCACCAGCACCAGCACCAACACTATCAGCAGTGGAAGAAGCAGCAGCAGCAGGAGCAGCAGCAGGAGCAGCAGCAGGGGTGCGGGCAGCGAGCAGGCTGAAGGGTGGTTCGGGCAGCACGACCTGGGCTTTAAGGGCCACGTCTCTGCGCTTGCTGGGCGGCGTGGCTGAGAGCGTGAAGGCCCGCGCAAGTGCTGCTGCATCGATGTCAATGGCATAGGCGAACACAGGGGCCTGGGAATGTGGTGGGAAGGGGGTGGGGATGGGGATGGAGGAGGGAGAGAGTGAGAAAGCATGAGAGCGTGAAGGCCTGGGCTACTGCTGCTGCATCGATGTCAATGGCATAGGCGAACACAGGGGCCTGGGAACGTGGGGGGCGGGATGGGGGTGGGGGAGGGCGAGGGTGAAAGAGTGGGAGAGCAAGACAGGGTGAAGGTCCGCGCTAGTGCTGCTGCGTCGATGTCAATGGCATAGGCGAACACTGGGGCCTGTGAGTGAGGGGGTGGGGATGGGGATGGGCGAGGGAGAGCATGAAAGATTGAAAGTGGGAGAGGGTGAAGGCCCTGCCCTTGCACCCTACCCCAGCGTGTCTTGCAATGCATACAGCCCAGCCCAACACACCTTGCGGGCGTCGAAGGACTTGCGGACGACAGTGAGAGCAGACGGGGGAAGATGCTCTGCCCGCACGTGCAGCGCCGCAGCTGCCGCCCGCACCAGCCCCTCACTCACTGCCACGTCATCCTTGCCAGGGTCGGCATGCAGCGGCACATCCACATTCATCAGTCTGATCACCCCCTCTGTCGGCAAATGCCCGTCTTTCGGAAATTTCCCATCCCCTTGAGAGTCCCTATCTGTTGATAGATGCCCCTCCTGCACTCCATTCGCCTTGACATCTGACATCCTCTCCTCCTGCTGTCCGTCAAGCCTCTCCCGCCCCCACCCTCTTTCCTCTTGGCGTGGACGGCGGTGAAAGTCTGATTGCGTATCTCCACCTCTCCTGCCGTTGTCACTCCTCCCTCTTCCCCCGTATCCACCCCTTCCTCTCCCCACATACTCGCCCCTCCCTGTACTCCCATACTCGCCCCTCCCTGTACTCCCATACTCGCCTCTCCCTCTTCCCCGATAATCCCCCCTCCCTCTCCCTCTCACCCCATTATCATCCGTCTCTCTTCCCCTGTACTCAACCCTCCCTCTTTCTTCTGATCCGCCCATCTCGCTCCCTCCATACTCACTCCTCTCCCTTCCCTCATACTCACTCCTCTCCCTTCCCTCATACTCACTCCTCTCCCTTCCCCCATACTCACTCCTCTCCCTTCCCCCATACTCACTCCTCTCCCTTCCCCCATAACCACCCCTCTCGCTTCCCCCATAACCACCCCTCTCGCTTCCTCCATACGAGCCCCTGCCTCTTCCCCCATACCCGCCCCTGTCCCCCCTTCCGTATCCCGCCCTCTCTGTCCCCCCATAACCGCCCCTCCCTCTCCTCCCATAATCGCCCCCCCCTCTCTCCCCATAACCCCTCCTCCCTTCCTCCCCATAGTCTCCCCCTTCTCTCCCTCCATCCCCCCACTTCTCGCTCCGCTCACCCCCACTCTCCCCTGCTTCCCCCCACCGTTCCTCAACCCCCCGCCCGCCCCTTCCCCCATATTCCCTCTTTCCCTCTCCACCTCCTCGGCCCCCACTCTCTCTGCCATTCCCAGAGTACCGCTCGCTTGCCCCCTGGTATCGCTCTGAACCCTTTGGTAACCGCTCCCTTTCACCCCCATACACCTCTCGCCTCTCGTTTCCGCCTCTCCTTGCATCATCAATCCCCACCGCCCCCTCCCCCCTGCCATACCCCCTCCCTCCTCTCTCTCTCCCATACCCCTCTCGATCCGCACTCTTATACCCGTATCGCTCTTCCCTATAGCGAACCTTCTCGTCACCATCCCCATCGCTAAACCCCTCTCTATCCCCAAACCCTGAACCCTCACGTGCCTGTCCCCCCATGTCCCTCTCCCCTCGCTCTCTCCCACTTGAACCACCCTTTCCTCTGCCCCCAAAGCGACCTTCCCCTCCATCGCTCTCCATCCCTCTGTACTCTCTCCGCGTATAGTCACCACCGATAGGAGAACGAGCTCCAGCACCATCCCCCCTCGTCGTCCTCCTCTGATCGTCTCCCTCTCCCCCCCCCCTGCTCTCACCAGCGAAACGCCTCTCGTTCTCACTCGTTTCCCCATTCTCTCGCCAAGCCCGACTCTCCCTTGGAGCTACGTCCTCTCTCCCAACGGCATTCCCCCTTCGCCGCTCGTCGGATCGGTCCCGGCTGAACCGCGCTGTCACGGCGAACGAACGGCCATTCCGGGAGATTCCCGAGGCATCGTCGCGACGAAATGGTAACCCGCGAGTTGACAAGCTCCCGTGGTGACACAAGCTGGTGTGCTTGAATGGAACGACAACGCGTGACCCCGTTAGAATATTAACCAGCGTCATCGCTCATTCACTTGTAATGGATCCACGGACTAGGTTGCTTCGGAACAATGTGGGATGGTACCTCTTCTATTCAAGCATGAACCATCTATTCAATGGAAGAGAGACCATCTGTGTAAACTGGTCGACACGATTGAAGCAGAATTGCTTGAACCAGGAACGGTAATGCGGGGAACCTTGGGATCTCCTCGCACTTTTTCTGCGAGGCATGAAAAGTACCGATGGAAGATATTTACCGTGGTTCAGTCGGCGAGATTTACTCATTTCTACAACGATATAACATCACATGAATAGCTGGCTAAAACATAAAGGTGATGTGTAGCCTTATTTCTCAGTTCAGTGAATTTCACTGCCATCAACCAGACCTTGCACAGTGATGCCTCCGCCTGCCCCTGTGACCAGAGCCTGCCCATCAAACGTTGCAGCTCCTCCTGGGGAACAAAACATAACACACCACACAGTGGTTTAAACTAATTAGCAGATTAACATGTGAACGGGGGACTTAGCGAAATATGCCAACTCCCTACTGTAACTGTGAATAGAAACGTTTGATATTTCCGTATTATAATACCCACCTTGCACTCGAAGCAGCCCTGCTACCTTCTCCCACACTTTGGAGCTGAGTTGCTTCACTGGGGCTGCACTCGCAGGCCGACCCTGGGATTTGCCGCCAGGGTGAATGGGACGCGAGGGAAGTTGAGACAGAAGAAGAACGGATTTTCAGGGGGAGTTTGAAAAACGGGTGAACCATGGCAAAAGCAAGTGGAATATGACGGGCATAGGCTTGGTGGATGGGGTTGGTTCGCACATGAGGCACACTGGATGGGCATGAGGCAGACCGACAGGTCATGCATATGTGTATGAAGTAAGTCGTACATCGGGCATGCATGAAAGGAGGCACACGTGAGCTTGCATCCATGATACGACTCATGCAGGAAGGTACAGGCATGGGCAGGGCACATAGGAACAGGGAACGATCACAGGCATAATGCGTACCTGGATGCAGATTCGATCACCAACTGCCGCATCTTGGGGCGGATCAATGAGCTGTTGGGGCGGAGAGTCAAAGGGATGGGATGAAACGGGTGTGCGGAAATGAGGGAGATGGAGCAGTGGGGGGATTGAACTGTAAGGTGGAGTGCACAGTGGAGTGGGGGGCTTCAGACACATCAACACAAAGAGCGCGCAACGCGACTCATGTGCTGGACAGCCACAGACACGCGTGCATCGCCCACTCCTCCTTCCTCACCTCACCGTCGCAGCATTCCCCCCCTCAGCGTGAGGCGCCTAAAAAAACACCTTGAGGCCAGGCGCTTAAAAAAAGTCATCGCCCAGGCCTGCTCACCTTGACAACCTCCCCGGCCTCAGCCTCGGCAGAGGGGTGCGAGCCAGCGAGCATCATGGCTTGGCTGGGCTGCCCGGCCAGCTTGGCGGGCTTGAGGTTGCACACGGCACACACCAGCCGCCCCTGCAGCTCCTCCTGCGAGATGAACTTCTTTAGACCAGCCACCACCTGGGAAAGGGTTGAGAGTACAAGAGGAAATAGTGAGTATAACGAGTGTGACGGGCTTGAGGTTGCACACGACACACACCAGCCGCCCCTGCAGCTCCTCCTGCGATATGAACTTCTTTAGACCAGCCACCACCTGAAGGGGGTTCAGTTCACACGGACACAGGTGAGCAGAGGATAGCTGTTTGAGAAAAAGAATTCGGGCTGCAGGGAGCCAGTGTGCGCATAGGGAAAGGAAGGGGCGTGCATGCTGCATGCACGAGGTAGAGCGGCTGACGCAGCAGAAGAGGGGGAGCAATTGATGGAGAGAGGAGCGCAAACGTTTAGACGGGGAAGTAATACGCAGTGCCGGTGCTACACACCTGGCGGACCTCCCCTGGCGCAACCTCCACCTGGCAGACGTAAAGCTTCTCCGCCACCGGGTGGGGCTCCACCGCCTGCACCCGCGCCACCTGCGCGCGGGGGGCGGAGAGGGGGAAGAAGGGGGAAAAGATGTTGCGAGGCGCCTCAAATGCATCTCCTCATACAGTTGCATTAACAGCGCGTTATTTTCGAGAAGTTATCCAGGATAAGCAGAATACAAGCTCGCATTCATGTTCATTCGCCAACGGCCAGGAATGTGGTAGCAACGAGAGGAGAAGGCATGTGTTGGCGACGTTTGCTGATCTAACGAAAGTTTGCGTGTTGTCGCACGACCCTCACCCTGATGTCGCATTTGTCGAAATTCTCTACGCTCTCCCCCGCTGACGCTGGAGTAGCTGATGATTGCGCTGCTGGCGGAGAGGGAAAGGAGTGCCACAAGGATCAGCCAAACGAATCAGTAGAAACATCACAGAAAGACAATGGCGAACAACGATTTATTATGTTCAGATGGAGCATTTACGGAGTTCCGCGGTTTTGCACAGAATAAATCACCTAGTTTCGCAGCTTTTGCTTTCCCTTTTTCTGACGACTGCTTCTCGCCACTGCTTCCAGCTACTGCTGCTTTCGGCTGAGCGGCAACGGGAACGTCAGCTGAGGAGGCGGACGACGCGGTGAGGCGGGAGATGAGGAGGTCGATCTGCGCGATCGCATTGTCCAGAGCCACTAGCGCTGGAGCAGGATCAGCGGCAGCCATTTCGTCGAGGACAGCAGAAACGAGTATTGAATTGGGACAATCTAGCACAAGTGTCTCTCGGAAGGAATGTGAGAAATATGTTTGTAGTCTGTTGGCCTTTCCGGAATGATATGGTGTGCTGCAATAAGAAGAATAGCATCGCAATCTCGAACCGGTGTACCCAAGACACCGGCGAAATTAGCAGCTCTATAACGAGGATTTCATTTTCGCACTTGTCATTTCGCACCTCGACCGAAGATTTCAAAATGTCCCGCCAAATTTGTGACAGACGCATTCCCTGACGCGAACCGCCTGAAACCTGCAACCAAAAAAACACTTCTCCTTGTTCTCCCTCTCCATGCTGCTGATACCCAAACCGCAAACTCTCATCCCAATTCCCAAGATCATTCCATGGCAAACTGATAGACAATCTCGAGGGCATAACTGACTGTTCACGTTGGAGTATAGTCCGCTGCGTCTTAGCCTGCCGAAGCCATTGTCTGGCAAAGTTTGTCCTAGTTGCGATCACTTCATAGGTATTACCTAAGCGATCTGACATCTCGTCGGATATATTACTAGATTTCGAAGCCTTCCAGTGTGGTGTATAGTTGCGATCAGCAATGGAGACGGACGAATTGATTCTAGGAAACGTCAGCCTGAACACCTTATCAGCCTTTGGTTAGTTCTACCTATCGTATCCTCCTCGTTCGTCTTCTGAATTTAACTGGTGACCTGCTGTGAAGGATACTAACTGAATATGTCTTATTGATATGCAGATGAGGCGAATCAGAAGTTCCCAGGACGATTTGACTTCGCAATTACCCCGTTGCGACCTCAGAAGCGAATTTTAAACGACACTGCTGGCGGAGGTGACATCATACAGGGCAGCTTGCAGCAGGAAAAAACTGGTGCTGGTAAATTAAATCACTCCTCAAATCTTACCTTCAATTTAGTGGAGAATAATGAGAATAACGCCAGCATTCCAGTTTCAGTTAACGTCAACGCTGCCTCTAAGCTCGCTCCGACACCGACGGCTGCACGGAGGAAGAGCCGACGGAGCGTCGCACGGCAGAGCCTGCCATGGAACAACGTGTTCCTGGAGGACGAAGGTGGGATACAAACCCTGGTGTCTATTTTATCCGTACAAGCAATTAGTATTCTAGAGAAAAGATGACTTACCATTCAAATGGTTGATATGCAGGTCTTTTGAATGATGACGAGTTGCACGGCGAAGTCATCGATGACAGTTTTATCATGGAGCGAATGACCGACATCGATTGGCCCGAAGATCCCCAGCATGAAACATCCAAGGAAGTCTCCAAGATGTGCGCTCCAAGCGGCTCTGGTTCCGACGCATGCGCCTCTGCAGCACTGGCTAAGATTCAGACTCCTGAGCCGAAACCCGTGCGCAAGGATCGTCGCGTTAGCGCTGCCTGGAACGAGGCTTTCCTCAACAAGAACGCAGGTGCGTGCTTCCCTAACCAGGACTCAAATGAGACAAAGTTTATTCCAGGATTTCCCTTCAATCTCATGTCGTTCAGCGTCCATACATGCAATAATGACAACTGCAATTCCTGCGTCTATCTTTCTATTTTCGCTCTGCCCGCAGAGTCGCTCCTAGACCTGGACGATGAAGAGGACCAGCTCGCGCCAGATCTCCCTCCAGTCGACCTGTCTTTCCTTCCCATGTATACCGCTCCCCCTTCCGGAGACACCGCTGCTAACGAATCCGGCAATACTCCGGAGGATGATCGGGACGCGTTGTGCAGCGAATCAGGTGGTGCTGCAGAGCTCCAGCGGATGACGAGCGAGCAGAAAGTAGCCGCGATAATAGAAAAGAGCAGCACGAGCGACTGCGCGGAGGTCTCGAAGAGTGCGACGAGTGGAGGGTTGAACCAGGGCCCTTCAAGCACACGACTCAAGCTGCCCGGCGCAGCACCTCGTAAGCGCCTACGTCAGAATATTGTTTTTCATTTTGGTTGTGTAAAAGTATGGTCCTGTATTACGCTGGCGTTACTACCTGCCATTTTTTCTTATCTAACAGGTGTGTCGCTTGGTCTTTCAGGGTTGCATTCGTCGAATGCGAAGACGGCGAAGGGAGCAGGAGCCTCCCCCGCTCCAGGAGCGAAGACTCCCGCCCATTCCAGCAGGACTCCCAGGTCAGCGGCAACGACAGCGACGGGTACAAGCCGCCAGCAGAGCGTGGGCGCGAGCGCTTCCAGGCTCGCAAAGCAAGGTAGCGGTGGCGGCGGTGTCGGTTCATGCAGCCTGTCGAAGCATGGCGGTAGCACCACCTCACACACGGGAACGGCAGAGAGGAGCAAGAGGGCGGCGGCGGAGTCTGGTACCTCCTCTCACTCCCGTCAGGCGGCATCGTCAGGGCTTTCGAGTAAAGGAGGCGCGGGGGTTGGCTCGTGTGGGGCGAGAGTGGATCTGCACAGCCGCTTTGAGTCGTCCACAGACGTTGACGACTCCAACGACTCGTTGAGGGACGCTGGGCAATCGCGTCGTCCTGAAGAAGAAGAATTGGTCGATGAGGCCCAATCGCATGCGAGTTCTGTGAGTGGGGAGGAAGAGAGTGCGATCACGGCAACTGAAGGCCAGCGCGATGTGCAGGGTACAGCGACGGCAGTAGTGCGATTTGAGGAGGAAGACTCGGTGGTTTCCGCTGCCTCTGGCGCTGAGAAGCCCGCAGGGAATGCACATTCGCACGCGTCCGAGTCGGAGATTGTGGCCAAGTCTGAGGATGCGCCTGTAGGCGCGTTGCGCGGCATGGTGTGGCGCGGATCCAAGGCCATGCGCGCGTGCGCGCCGTCCCCGATGAAGCCTGCCGCCGCGCGGGAGCCGTTGCCGCCGCAGGCGAGCGCAGCTGCTGCTCATCGAGGCTCGAGTGGGAGTGTGAGCAGCGCGCGCAGCTCGAACGACTCGAAGCAGCAGCAGCTGCGGGAGTGGCAGCAGCAGCGTCAGCAGGCTGTGGCGGCGAAATCCCGGCCGTCAGGCAGCGCGACCGCTGGAGGACCCCCAAGGCCTGCTGTTCGGGCTGGTGCGAACATCGGGGGGAAGTCTGGTGTGGGTCCAGGAGCGGTGGCGGCGAGAGCAGGGGTGCCGAAGTCGACGAGCCACTGCACGAGTACGAGTCTCGTTCCCGCTGGCCGCTCGCTGGCGCACGGTGCTGCGTCGTCTGGCGTGGGGGGGTCGGGGTTGGACGTGCTGCGAACGTCGTCGACTCGCTCCACTGGGACCTCTGCCGATGCCGGGAAACGCGTGGGGTTCGTGGGTGTGGGGAGTGGTTACAATGGTGGAGGGAATTACGGCACGGGACACGGCACGAATCGCGTGGCAGCTGCTGCTGGGTTTGCCTTCTCCGCCGCTGCGAACTCTGCGACGGCGAAGGTGGCGAGTGCTGTTGCTCGCACTGTGTTTTCTGCGAAACCGCGGACGTTGGGTAAGGACGTGAAGGCTGTGAGCACGGAGGGATCTGCAGGTGCCTCACAGGGTAGTACCAGCGGAGCGGGAGGTGCTCCCAGTGCGGACGGTGCTTCCAGTACGGGTGGCCTGTTTGGGCTCAAGTTCACTGCGGGAAAAGCGGATGATCGTGCGGCTGTCAAGAAAGGCGCGCCTGCTGCTACCTCCAGGCGGGTCAGCGGAGTGGGAGCGAGAAAGGCACGGTTCGGGTTCGGCCTCGGCGGGAAGGCAGCACCGACTGCCAAGGAGAAAGAGGAGGAAGTGAAGGAGAAGGCCCGTTGCGGTGGTACTAGTCAAGCAGTGGGGCAAGGGGGAGCGAAACGGGTGGCGGCAGACAGCAAAGTGGCGAGCGGGAAGCAGCTGGTGGTGAGCAAGGGCGGTGCTCTCGCCAAGGAGAAAGCGCCGGGTGCAGCGACGTCCCCTCTCGCGGCGGCGCTGAAAGTGGCCGCTAACCACTCGAAGCTGCTGGGTCTTGCCTCCAGGATTCCTGTTCCGAAAGCGACTGGGAGGTTCGGGTTTGGCGGGAGCTCGTCCGGCGCGAAGGCTGGCGCGGGGAAGGAGAGTGAGAAGGCAGCGGGGAGGGGGGTGCACGGTTCGGGTTTGGGTGGTAAGGTCGAGGCGACGCACGGGCGGGCTGGTCAGCAGAAGACGCAGCAGACTCACGCAGGGCCTTCTCAGACCAAAGTCGAGGTAAGATATGTTTGGTTCGCTTTTGACAACCCTGGTGTGTAGGATGTGATGGTGATGGTGGGGTCCCCAACATCCTCTCAATCAAATTCGTGTGTCGTGCTGTGTGTCACAGGCTGTCACCCCTCGGGCGAGTCGAGAGAGCAATGGATCACACAAGAGCGGCTCATCGCAGCACAGCAACACACCGCCCACGAGCAGCACGCCCCGCGCGAGCAGCAGCGCGCAGAAGAAGCCGTCCCCGCGGGTGGAGAAGAAGGCGGGCAGCGGCACCCACTGGGTGCCAGGGGGCGTGGCGCAGCCGTCCGCGCTCGCCGCGGCGGACGCTGCGTTCTCCGCCATGTCCACCCCGCGGAGCAGTGATGCGGGGCAGCAGCTCAGCCGGGAAAGGGCTGGAGAGAAACGTACCGGCAACGACGGGCAAGAGGAGCAGCAGCAGCAGCAGGTTGAGGAGCGGAGGCAGGCTGTGCACCCTGGGGGGGTGCTGACGGTTGCGTTGGGAAATCTGGAGGAGCAGGGTGAGTGTGCCGTTGGGGAGAATGCTGGAGGGGAGATTGGTACGGTGCAGGGAGGTGGTGAGGGTGGGGAGAACGCGGCAGATGAGGGGCACAAGACGCCCGGCGGCAAGAGCGGGAGCGAGAGCGAGAAAGGGAGGAAGGGGCTGTCGCTGAAGGCGATTGGGGCGTTCGTTGCTAGCGGGAGCCCGTGGAAGAAATCAGTCAGGAAGGTGGCGGCAGAGAGGGAGAGAGAGGAAACGGAGGAAGCTGGGAACGAGAAGAAGGAGAGGGGAGGGTCTGTGGTGTGCACTCCGCAAAAGTCGCCAGGGAAGGCTGGGCGGGTGGAGGAGGGCGAGAGGGGGGCGGGTTTTGAGACGGTTCAGAAGGAGGGCGAGAAGGGGGCGTGGGCGAGCACGGAGAAGGTGGGCGAGTGGGTGGGCGAGGTGCTTGAAACCGCTGGGACGCCAGACGGCTGTGAGCAAGGGGAAAGGAGAAGAACCCCTCCACGAGAGTCAGAGCAGAATGCTGGGACCATGGTTGCTTCAGGGGCGATGGCTACACTGCCAGTGCCAGTGGCAGCGGCGGTGACAGGGGTTGCTACAACGGCAGTAACTACTCCAGTGGCGGTGGCTACTCCAGTGGCAGTGGCAGCGTCAGGAGGCGTGTCTGGCAGCAAGGGAGGGGGTGACAGCAGGCAGCGCCGCTCCTCCCCTCTGCCTCGGTTCCTTGGATCCCCCATCGCCAGCCTGTTCAAGGTACAGGGGCCGTCTTCACATATCCATGCTCCTTGCTGAAAGTTTGCATGGTGCCCCTTTTGAGTGTGCTTGGTTGATGCTCCTTGCCTCACGAGAGTCTTGTTGTTTATGGCCGTGAGGCATGTCCTGACTTTATCTTCCCCTCTCCTTGTGCAGAGCCCCAAGCGATCCAACAAGAAGACACAGGAGGTCCACGTGGCAGCAAGTGGGACGCCAGCAACTGCCACAATAGGCCGGTCGTCGTCAGCCATGGCGGAGCAGCAACAGCAGGAGAGGAAGGAGGATCAGCAGCAGGAGCAGCAGGAGTGTTACCACGAGGCAGTGCCTACTCCAGCGGCTGAAAGCCCCACCCTCCCCAGGAGGAGCCTGTTCAAAGCAGAGCAGCTCAAGACAGACCTCTTCAAAGGGGCCTTTCCCAAGCCAGATTTTCCCCAGGCACCTCTCTCGAGCACGAGCGAGCAGCCTTCTGAGGCGCTTCAGAATCAGAATCAAAAGCCAGTCACGAGCACGAGCCTGCAGTCTGCAGCATCGTCCTCTGAAGCGGGCATGTATACTGCTCCTGCCTCGCCTGAGGCCGAGGAGGAGGGCAAGGAGGGGCAGGAGGGCGAGAGCAGGAGCATACTTTCTCAGAAGGGTGGTAGTGCGAGCAGAGGCAGGTCTCTTGGTGCGTCTAGCAGGGGCATGTTCACTGCTCCTGCTTCTCCTGAAGCGGAGGTGGAGGGGGGAGGGGAGATGGGGGAGAAGGAAGAAGGGGAGATCACTCCTCCTGGGAGTGCGGAGAAGCAGGGGGGAGGGGTGGAACGGGCAAAGGCAGCGGTGGGGGCGGAAGGGGAGGATCTAGATCCGTTTATGAAGAAGGTTCTGGAGGCAGAGGCGCTAGGCGTGGTGAGTGTGCGGCGTGACTGCTGGTGGGTGGATGGATGGCTTTGCATTATGGAGTGTGACTGCTGGGGAAGTGCTTGAAAAACGCTCGGCTGTCCTACCTTTTGCTCACGGCTTTCACTGTGTCTGGTCTCTGGTTTTGTTCTGCTTCAGGTTGATCTTGAGAAGAAAGGAGGGAGGGTACTTAACTCGCCACTGATGACCAAGCAGCCATTACCGCCCAGAAATCCCTGGTCACCCGTGAGTTGTCCTTCCTTTTGAGTAGCATTTTTGGGTGCTCACGAGTGTATTCCAGGCACAATATTTCCTCTCTCTTTCGTTGACTTACGTCTTCTTCCGTCCCCCGTACCGCTCTGCACCGCTCAGGTACGCAAGGCAGAGGTGGGTCCGTATGACTGCACCAAGAAGTCTCTAGCCGCCTCGCTGGACAGCTTCTCCCTCCCTGCCAGCAGCTCTGGCGCCTCCAACTTCGCAGTTACTGGCAGGATTGGCAGTGGCAGCAGTGCTGCTGGGTTTTCTGGTATGGGGAATGCCGGGATGCGCATGTCCTATGGGCACTAAGCAGCACAGCACACATGGTTTGTTGTGCTGGTAGTAAGCAACACAGATGGTTGTTAGTTACCGTATGGGGTTGCTAGGGTTTTCAAGACGCGCATAGGGATGAAGCAAGACTTCTAGGATAGTTTTATTACTGCAGTTACCATAGTTGATGATGCTGTTCTTTTTCTGTAATTAGCCGTTCTGTACCTAATGCTGGATAATTAGTTCTGCTTTGGCTCAACCACGTTCATGAATTGCTGTACACACGTTGAAAAACATGCATGACGGGAAACAAAATTTGCATATTATGCATCTTGGAGCTTGCAGCAAAGGATTATGCTCTATCAGCAGCATTAACAACTGCTGCCGCCGCTGCTGGTCTCCAGCTAGTAATCCAAACCATACTAGTAAACAAACAACCTACAGTATAACTCGTTCCCTGGTAACCCAGGTTGCAGCAGGTACAGTCGTCTAGTTACTCAACGATTGTTATTCGTCTGCCTCCTCTGCCTGTCAGTCAGCATTTACAACAGCAGGGAAGAGAAGAGAAACAGCAAGCCATATGATTGAAAAGTCTCAGAAACACCTTACAACAGGACATTCTAGCATTCTGTGTTTGTGCCAGGACACATGTGAATCCCCCTTCATGTGTCCCCGCATGTGACCTATGATGGAGGTGCCATGCAACCCATGATCGCCATCATCAAACATACACCATTTCCACCATACCATACCCATCCCCACCACACCACACAACAACCATCGTTAGCATCATCATCCCCACCCACCGTTAACACCATCACACCCACCCACCACTCCCCCACATCATACCTCGTCGTCGTCGCCCTCCTCTCCCTCCTCTCCCTCCTCCTCCTCATCCCCGCTGTACTCAAACCCAAACTCAGGCTCGTCATCCTCCTCCTCCACCTCCTCTCGTGGCCGCACTCCCTCCTGCCACGAGGGGGGGAAAGGTATGGGTGAGAGAAGGGGGGGAGGAATCTAAAAGTCAGAACCAACACACCCTCCTCTCGTTGCAAGGTACAGGTGTGAAAGGGAAAGAAGAGGAGGTAAGGGGGGGACAGTTGTACCCTCGGGCTGTTTAGTAAAGGAGCGATGTGATTACCAGTAATATTGAGAATGGCTGAAAATCATGTGTGATAACCATGGTTGGCAAAAGAGATTGCATGATAGACAGGGAAGAGAGAGACACAGAGAGTGGATGTGGAGTGGGGCGACTCATGAGGATCGAAACAACAAGAAGCAGCAGGACTTCAACTTGTGGTTACAATACTTGAGAGTTTTTGAAGCGTTATTGAGATGCCTAAAAGCGCATGCCCTTACCTTGTGATAGTACTTGATAGGGTTTGGCCAGATATCATCCCGAATAGCATTCCCAATCTGCCGGACAAGAGGCAACGCAAACAGCGCCAGAGAACGGTTGTTGAGAAAGCATAGGAGAAATTAATGAAAGAGCTTGTAGACCAGGCGGTATGGGTGCCCCCCCCGGAAGCTGTTTCTGAGGATCCACATGGAGTTCATGAAAGCACAGCACATATAAGAAGGGTGGACGGACATGCCCATGGTTCACACATCCCTAGAATGCAGTGTTGGCATACAGGTGAGCAGCCATCTTCTAAAACCTGAAAGCTACACTACTTACACCCACCTCCCTACGAAAATGGAGTCATCTCCCTCTCCCCCCCCCCCATTATCTATATCCTCCTTTCCACATCCACACCACTCCCCCCTACCCCATCCTCTGTCCCACTCCCACACCTCTCCCTTTCCCTCGTTCCCCTCTCACATCATCATTCGCGACAGAGATGGGATCATCGTCCCCAAATGCCATCCAGCTGAACAAACTGCAGCGCGAGGAGGCAGGAAAGGGAGAGGGGTGCAACGGGGGAGGGAGCGGAGAGGGGAGGAGAGTAAAGGTGAGTGGGAAGACACGTGGCAGAGATGGGATAATCGTCGTCCAATGCCATCCAGCTGAACAAACTGCAGCGCGTGCACGCAGGGAGGGAGAGGGGTGTAGGGGGAGAGGGGGAAGAGAGGGGAGGAGAGTAAAGGTGAGTAGGAAGACAGCAGGAGGGAGGTGTGCACGGCGATTGAACCAACTAATCTTAAACCACCTGGAAACCTGCCAAATTACCTGACGACCTGTCAATTCACCTGACGAGCTATCAATTCACCTGACGACCTGTCAATTCACCTGACGAGCTGCTCCTTGCCCTCTTCCCCCCCCTCCTCCTCCTCCTCCTCCTCATCGTCCACATATGCCTTGATGCCTGCTGTGTAGTCCTGCGGGTGGAATGTGCGAGGAGAGAAAGTGAGCATCAACTCGCCTGCCCCTCTCGCCCTTACACTCCACCTACCACTCCTTCCACTTAATCCGTTCCCTTACCCGACCTCCCCCCCTCTCTCTCCCCCTTCCCACTCCACATCCCCCTACCCCTGCCCACCGCACCTGCCCCTCCTTCCAGTTGATGCGAGTGCCTGTGACGCGCAGAGTGAGCTCATCTTGCATCAACAGCGACCAAAGCCGTGTCCCAAGCCCACTCGACACACGCAGCCCGAAACCCGACCAAAGCCTCTCTACCACCCCACCTCCCAACCCACCTGCCCCTCCTTCCAGTTGATGCGAGTGCCTGTGACGCGCAGAGTGAGCTCATCTTGCATTATCAGCGACCGTGTGAGTGTCTCGTTGCTGAAAAACGGATTCGGACTGAACGTCTGGTGAGGAGGGGAGATGGGAGCAGCGGGAGGATGGGGAAAAGAACGGTATGGGTCCCAGCAAGAAGGTTCTGAGAAGGTCCTCCTGATAAGGTCCTGATAAGACTTGAAGAAGCTCTGAAGCGGGATGGGTGCTGTGTGCACATGATTCCACCTCACATACCGCATCTCGGTAACGAAAATCCCACACAGTAACATGGTAACCACGTCTCACTATGGTGATGGTGTAGCCAATATCGCCCTCCTCCTTGCATTCCTCCACGTCTAGACTCGTGAGGTGGTTCAACACCTGCACGCCCCCACATGGTAACCACATCTCCCCACATGGTAACCACGTGTCTCACCATGGTGATGGTGTAGCCAATATCGCCCTCCTCCTTGCATTCCTCCACGTCTAGACTCGTGAGGTGGTCCAACACCTTCACATCCTGCTCCACCGTGCTGTGACGTATGGCACCGCAGTTGCACAGCTGGGAGGAGGGGATGACGAGCGGTGAAGAGTGGTACAGATGGTGAGAAAGGGAGAAGGGAAGAGAAGAAGGTGCTTGAGCACCTGCACGTCCTGCTCCACCGTGCTGTACCGTATGGCACCGCAGTTGCACAGCTGGACAGGAGAGGGAGGAAGGGATGGATGGGCGAGAGGAAGAAGAAAGCGGAAACGGCAATGGGAAGAGAGGGGTGGTAGAAAAGAAGGGGAGAGGGGAAGGGTGATAGAGGGGAGAGGGGTATCGGGAAGGGGGACGGGGGATGGGGGAGAGGGGAGAAGGGAGAGGGGTTGGAGGACGGGGGAGAAGAAAAAACGACGTTGTGATTTCGGCTAGATGGCAGTAGTACGTGCGGTGGCGAATGGGAGAAGCAATCGCAGCAGTGCGGAATTGCGAGTGCGTACCACGTTCTGCCAGAAGTGCGGGATCTTATCGAGCACGGCCTTGCGCTTATCGTACAGCGGCCTCCGGCGTTGTGACACAAACGAGCGCTCCACCTCCAGCACCTCCTCGGTCGCCTTGTCCGTCACCTGCCGAGCAGAGCACGCGAGAAAGAAGCGCGCAGCGTAGGTGAAAAAGTATGGCCACGGTGGAAGGCGAGATCGAGAAGGAGTTGTAGTAAAAAAAAAACTGCCCAAACGGGATGATGGCGGATTTGATAACGGGTACAGGGTGTGTACGAGGTTCAGGGTTCGCCAGAAAGTATAGCCAGCGAACAACCAACGCAACGAAATCCGGAAAAAACAACCCTAATCTACGTCAGTTGCGGACCTCCTCGATCTCCTCGTGCAGTTTCCGCATCTTCTCCACGAATTCCGCTAGCTTCTCCTCCGCCATTGTCGGTGCAGCTTGTCCGTTCTCCACCGCAGCCTTCTTAGCCTCTTTCCCGCCCGCATCGCTCGCGCGCGCTCGCTTCGATTTCTCCATCACCATTGCACGGCGATTTAGTCACTACAGGCTAGCTCGAATGGTCGCTTTCGGAAGCAAACTGCCTGAGTAAAACGAGCGCTGGCTGGATTGAAATCAAGTCTCAGATTCAAACATAGCTTGCAGTGCACACAAGACATGCTCGACATAAGCCTGCAGGGAATCGAGTTTCTGCAATAAAAAACATTCGTAACATGTACCATTTGAAATACTATATACAGGAGTTAATCACAAGCTTCACTAAGAATGCTGGTCATATCACATCAGATAGTGCTGAGAAATTCTCTACTATTAAATTCAGCCGGTGCTTCTCTCATCAGCAAATCCGTGGTTGCTAGCTGCATGCCTTCGCGCGGCAACTGCGAAGGATCAAACAGCTGCAGCGAGGCATACTGATTCAAGAACATAAGCATGTACTTGTACACATTTTCCATTGAAAGCTTGTCTTGCACGAAGTCTGAAGCAGTATCTGCAATTGCCTTTGCTTCCTGCTGGTGCTCATTACCCCAATCAACAATTCGCTGCCCAGAAAAAAGAGTCAAAAGGACGATGTAGATATCAGGAGAGTTGAAAATGGGACGTCAACTGAAGTTCAGGCTCTACAAGCTTACCTTGAGGTTGGGGCACATGGGTGATTCGGTTGGAAGAGGTGCCTCAATAAAATGTATGCCGTTATGTAGCCCTCTTGAAAAGAAATCATAGTATTGTGTTTTGATGAATACGGGTGTGGAAGCACAAGCGAGGATGTATTTCAGACTGCATGACCATGAAGTCCCCTCCACATACACCTTGTACCTGCCAACCAAGGTTACACTCGCCATGCATTAAGCAGGAACAACATTGCAGAGAAAATAACTAACACGACAAGTGAGGAGATTTAAATCCGAAAGGGCACGATACTAAAGGGCGAAGCCTGTGTGTGAGGCTTCTCTTTGCACAAGTATGATGCGTGATCCACAACAGGACCCACCTGTGCTGCCATCAACCCACCTGTGCTGCCATCAACCCACCTGTGCTGCCATCAACCCACCTGTGCTGCCATCAACCCACCTGTGCTGCCATCAACCCACCTGTGCGTGCACTGATTCTCCAATCGTGTAGTCTCCTCTGCAATCTCATGCACCCAGTTCGTATCCCACGCATCCACTCCCCAATCCCTCTCTGCCTCCTTCCCCTCACTCCCCTGACCTTTCGCATCCTCCCCCACCATCCCCCCTTCCTTACCACCGCCTCCGCCAGCACCCTCTTCGCTATCTTCCCCTCCTTCCCCTCCCCCCTGACTGCTACAGCTGACCAGAGGACCCCTGAGGTCCGGGGCAACCCACGTGGCGCCTTTCCAGTGAGCACGTGGGATTCTGTCCCTCCAGGGAATCAAACCTGTGCCTTCTTTGATCAGCTTCCTTGCCGTTTCCCACTCCCAGATTCGCACTTCAGGCCTGTGAAAAGAAACCAGCAGAACTAGTGGCGCCTCAGAACTGTTACGTTCTTAAGGTGCACGGATTCTTCAGCTTCAAATTGCATCAGATTTTGCCAGCTGCATGTTCATGGAGAGTCAGGTGTTAACGGATTTTTTTCAATAGCCTGATTCCAGATGCACTCACCAGCCCCAGAAGGACCAATCAGGCCACACCACGTCCATGTGCCGGGCCGTGCTACAGTACTTGAGCAACAGCGGCGGGGGGTGGGCGGCAGCTGCATGGACAGCTCTCTCCACCAGCGGCCAATCATTGCACTCAAACATCAGATCCACGTCAGGCACACACCATGACACGTTGCCTGTTACGTCTGTCATCGTTCCACCGTACTTAGCTGTTCTGTTACTATTTGATGCATCAGCGGCATGGGGAGAAGAAGCTGGGCAGGGAGGGTAGCTGCGCAAGAGTTGGAGGATTCCCCACAGCGTGAAAAGCGCTCGGGTTTGATAACATTCCTGAACATAAAACGAGGTAAACCGCAGGCAAAATGAATCATTCGACAAGCAGAACAGACGAAGAAAGCTGCTGCTTACTGAAATATTTGCATCCTCATCATCCGTGGTGAATGGACACGAGTGTTGTGTTATCTCACCGCATAGTGCTCCACAAAGAGTTGGCCGTTCACAATAAGCACACGGAAGGATGCTCCTACGGCGCGTGCGTTAGAGAGCGCCTCCTGTGGGATGCCACCTCTCTCCCTCCATGGCCAGAGGTCGTCTTCTATGAACCTGAAATACTCGGGAAGCTCTTTCTCCCTGTTGACCTGTGGAATTTCACCAGTTTTTTCGCCGATATTTACAAATTCATCCACCCATGTGACGGTCTCATTAAAAGCTGCTTCAAGCGCATGAGGGCTTTGCGGCTTACTTGATCTGCGCAGGAGACGATCAGCCTGAGTAGCATCGGGGGTCTGCTGAACGAAACCTACTTTCTGTCGAAGTGAACGCGGAATGGCATGAAACTGGACAAGTGGTGCCGTCGTGTCAAACCTAGAAATGGAGATGGCGTTGTCGAGAAGGAGCCATTGGAGGAAAAGCACCTGCAATCCACACTCGAGAGTTTGTCAGTGCCCTGGAGGGGCTGTGAAGGGGAGTTGACGCTTCCCTGATGTGTCAGTGAAGGATTGAAACCTACATCGAGCTTACCCCAAAGAAGCATGCAACTAAAATCGGAATCAAGGGAAGCTTCATACTGGCGTGAATTCTGAGCAGCGTTACACAACAAGCAGCTTTCTCTTTACCTCACTGAAGGACATTATTTATTCGAACTCGAAAGAACGACCACGGGATACCAAGTCTGGCAGGATACGTGGTGAATAACAGGCAATCTGCCTCGACGCCATGCTGCGCTGCCAGCCTAGCACTGCTGGCAAGACACGAATCAGTGGTCTCGTCTCGATCGGCTGCTCCGAGCATCGATCAAGTCGAATGGAGTGATGAATGACGTGGTACGGAATGCCATGGCCCTCCCAGGTGCACCGGGTTTCAAAGCTTCTGCACACTCAAATACCCGGCGCACCACCTCAGCCCAGCATGCTCAGGGCGCGTCATTCTCATATCAGGTCAGCTCAATCTACGCAACCAGAAATGAAGTTCATAGAGTAACCAGCTAGCTAGGGTTAAGCGTGTCCCCACGCAGAAATGCGCCAAACTGTGGGGACGCTATACGGGTCCCCACACGAACCGAATTCGTGCACATTTCAAAATTTAGCGAGGCCCCAGCAGCTGTCTCCCTCAACAGACGTGTCCCCCGCAAATCCAGTGACCAAATTCGGTCTCCAGCACGTATCAGAAACGTGCTGTTTTATCTGTGCAGATTTCGAAAAATTGTGTCCTTTTGCCGAAACGAACGCGGGGGACCCGCCCTCAGGCGCGAAATTGTCGTTTTTTCCCTGAGGGGACATTTGTGTGGTTTTTGGTGGAGGTCGAGGAGTTCGTTGATTGGGGCTTTTTTCTGAGTTGTCAATCGCGAATCTTTTTGTGACGAGCGGGGTTGGCGACAGTCAACCGTGTACACATCCGAGGGCGAACTTTGCTTGCTAGTCGCTCACTTTCGCCCACCCTAATTTGGGGTGAACTCTTGACGGATTGCATCAACACCAGCACGATCCATGTACCACATCATCCCCCCATGACTTCTAGTTCTCCATTGCCATCACTAAGGGCGGGTCCAGCGCGTACGTTTACAGTTCATCCTGTGCGGTTGACCTTGTTGCGTCACGGTTAAAAATGGTGGAAACTGCAAATCGCTTTGAACCATTTAATATCGTGTTGCGCCATGAGTCATGAACTGTAAACGAACCGTAAACGTACGCGCTGGACACGCCCTAAGACAACAAATTTTATTTGGTTGAGGAGCCCGCATAGTCAAGCAAGGCATAATCACGAAGCTATGGCTGCTTCTCTGGTTAGCATTCGGTGTCCTGCCTCCATCACCGCTTCACCCCCACAATGGCTCATCTGGACGGATGGATCTGCTAGATCCTGTCTATCCCGATGCAATCTACCATGCTCACCGCGACACATTAGGCGCCTTGCAGCCTCCACTCTCGCTGAATGGCCTTCTCAACATCGGCCTTCCTTCCAAAGCCATCGGGTTGCTTCCACTCATATAATCTCGGCCATGCAACGGGTTGACGAATCGCAATATCTTCATCAGGGAAATTCAGCGATCAGCCTTGCCACGCTTTGCATTCCACCGTACGTGCGCATCGCAGCCGTGGCGCTCGCAGCCGCTTCGTGCTCATTGCTGCTCGCCTTGAGTCCAGCCATGGCTGCTGCCGAAAATGACGCGCTGTTGGACATTCAGACGCTAAGACCGCGAGTGCAAGAGGTAAGAGATTGGCCATCAATATGTTTACGTGGCAGAAGGAGTAAAGAGCAAGAAGAAAAAGTTTTAGCCCTAAAGTACCAATTTCCTGCGTTTGTTTTTCATCTGTCACAATATTTATTGTATCTAAAAAATGTTCCATTGATCAGCAAATCAACGAGTCGTACGTCAAGAGGGATGGCCAAGATTTGTCAGTGTCTGATCTGCAAGGCGCGACCTTCATGGAAGCTTCCCTTCGTGGCACCGACCTGCATGGTTCTGACCTTCGAGGGGCCATGTTCACTAAGGTATGCCATGTCAAATTGATCTTTCTTATATCTGCTCACCAAGGTGCTGGATAGAGCCATGTCACTTCCCATGTGAGACTATGACTCACGTTGTTGAATACTCCAGTTTGTCTGTTGTCCTGCCTTTCAATGAACCGTCTCTCTCTATCTGACTTTTCTGTTTTTCACTTCCTAGGCGGTCCTGTACAAGGCGAACTTATCAGGAGCTGATCTATCAGATGCCCTGATTGACAGAGCAGTATTAAATGATGCAGACCTTCGCAACGCTGTACTGCGAGGGGCATGGTTGGCACTCACTGACTTAGGAGGAGCTGATATCACTGGGGCTGACTTTACTGACGCCATCATTGACAAGTATCAAGTAAGTATGGATGTTTCTCTGGTTTGTAAGAGTTGCTTCTGTCTGAAGTCTTGCACACTCTCTAATCTGTCCTCTAATCCTTTCAAATTCTCTTCTGCAGTTGAAGCAACTGTGCTTGAGGGCTTCTGGAGTGAATACTTTAACGGGGGCCGACACTGCAGAGAGCTTGCGGTGTGCATCTACACGGTTCTATTCTGGCTCTGGAAGCACAAGATGATAGGATTCATGAAGTATCTGCTATATAGCTTCACGCTGTGGGCCACAGTTTTAGTGGCTGATTATTGTTGTACATTTGATTCAAGTGTAGGCGTCAGAAAGATTATTGTACTTCTGTACACACCTACACTTGTAAGTGGAAAAAATTGTCAGGAAACGCGCAGCCGTCCATTTTCTGGGAAGCACCAGCCCCGAACCACGCCGTGCCATTTGTTGGATAGTCCACCTCAGCGGGTCCTGGAAAGTAGCTAGTACTCACGGCCGTCAATTCAGTTTCCCGCAAAAGATCTGCCCTGGTTTTGATGAAAGTTGCTCGTCAAGCAGTGACTATCGCACCCAGCACGCACCTAGTCTACTTCCAACCAACCTCAACTAGTTCCTGCTGCGGGAAGGCAACTGCGCCGTGATATGGTAGTGACTGACGACGGTAATTCGTGCAGGAGCGTTTATGGCTGACGAGCCTAAGCTCGATCTTGGCTAGCAACTGGATTTATGGAATGGCGAATGCGCTGACCTGCTGCGGATCAGTCAGAACACCTACCCGTGAAAAATCAGCGTATACGTTGCACGTGTCACACGCGGCGCGTCGCTGGATGTTTCGCAGCATAGTGCGCATTGCCTTGACCGTATCGGCAAAGCCTAATGCGTGAATTGGTTGCTGTAGTCGTTGGGAAACATTGTCATACTCGGTGCTCGGCGACGCGACAGATGTGCTTCGAGTCGTAGATGCGATACAGATGCGACGTAGTGGCGTATGTATACGATAGGTATGAGATGGGTACACAGGATTTTCGATCGTAGATAAAGAGTAGCTTCATACCTCGGATCCCCGAGCAGTCCATGTGTAAAAAGCACACCTTTTCCCCCTGAATAGTGACTTCTCTAGCCTGTCAGACGTCGCCACATCAGCCATGGAGGGCGCGCCTGCGCCGCCACGTGGCAGCGGAGCAAATGCGGAGTTTTACCTGCCGAACTATCGGTTAGGGAAGACGCTGGGTGTGGGGTCGTTCGGCAAGGTGAAGGTAGCGGAGCACGTACTAACGGGACACAAAGTGGCAATTAAGATCCTGAACCGGCGGAAGATTAGATCGATGGACATGGAGGAAAAAGGTACGGCGACCTTCGTTTCCCGTCGTGGAACCCTAAGCGCGTGAATTTTCCTATCTCGTTATAATGCTTGCCATGTGCGGGCTTCTTTCAGCGCTAGCTATTAAGCTTTAACCTCCGTTGAGCTTTGACACTCAACTGGACCCTCTTCCCTCTCATCAGCTTCTCCATCCCACAGCGTTTCCTCTCTCAATGCATTCGCCCCTTCATTCATCTGTGCATGCATCATCTGTCCAGTCATATGTCCATGCACACGCACATCATCCAATCGTTCGAGATGACAGAGCCGCTTCCGTCCGCAATTCTCCTCTCCCTCGTCCCCTCCCGTTCTTCCCCGCGCCTCCCCGCGCCGCCCGGCAGTGCGGAGGGAGATAAAGATCCTGCGGCTGTTCATGCATCCGCACATCATTCGCCTGTACGAGGTCATCGAGACGCCCGCGGACATATTCGTGGTGATGGAGTACGTGAAGGCGGGCGAGCTCTTCGACTACATCGTTGAGAAAGGGCGCCTACTTGA